ATTTTCTGTTATTAAAAAGAAAAAAGGATATGACGTAAGCCCGGTATCCATTTCAAAGACTCTTAAAGATTTTTTTAGACACTTGGAAACTGCTTCAAATGTTTTGGTTGAGTTATATGGGTCTATATGGGTCATGCTTTTTTCCTTTTTCCGTACCAAAGGTCACTTAATTTATAAAAGGAATTTGTCAGTTGGACATTTCGTAAAGTTTTTCTAATAATTTGAGCCCGCGTAAATTGTTTAAAACCGTGTTAATATGATGAGGGTCATATTCTATAGAGATGCTCACATTTATCTAGAAATTATTTTAAAACAACTTTTTAAGAAATTCTGTATTCTCCATTACGTTAATTCGTTTACAATATGCAAAATGCAAATCATATATGGCTCTAAAATCACTAATTATAAAATTATGTTTTCAGACAAGTGTGTTGTCTTCAAATTAAAAGATGCATAAATAGATCGTATTTTGTGTCATTGAGAGAAAACATAATATTGAGATCGAATCCAGAACATCGAAACTACATCGAGATCGAAACTACATCATTTATCCCTAACGTGTTAGATTTCTTTCCTTTTTTTTTTGCATTTAATATCAAAACTATTATAATTTTTTCCTGTGTTCTGATAAGCCAAATTATATGAATGAAAAATCATTGAATGCCTGGTATTATGGTACCTTTACAGAACGAGAGAAAGTCTTACGGTGCGCCAGCAGCACACATCTCAAAATCGATGTCGTAAAAACGTAGTTTTTAACATCGCACAATATTGTTGCGAAATATTCTTCGATGTTTTAAGAAGCGCTGTAAAATGTCGATAAATATTTCCCAACATTTACAGATACTGTAGAATGTCGACCGACATCGTCAGCAAGATATTCACAAAGCCAATGTTGTGGAATGTTAGTTTGGTCATTATCACCATTGCGTTAATTTTAAAAACTAATAATTTAAAAAAAGGTGTTTATGAATATTTAGGCCTGTTTGTAGCCTATAAAAGGTCATTTCCAGTTCATTTTCAAAAGAAATAAAATACCCTTCAATACTGTAACATTTTTACAGTTATTAACAGTTTTAACGTGCATATTTACATCTGAAAAATTTACATGTGAATTACAGCCCTTATTTATTTAATTGGTAAAGCCTTTTCGATTAATTATTAACTAAACGCCACTATTTACATTTTTCAGGATAAGAAACTGCCCTGTACATGTATGCTATAATTTTAGTATTGTCAGCGATATTTTCTTATTATTCCCGAAAATAATGCAGCAATAAAATGGCTTTGCTACGAGTTTTCTCTCTTTTCCGGGGTACAAACATTCCTTTTATAATTTTAATTTGCCATTTCTTTAAACTTTATTTCTACAGTATCTAAAACTTATTGCTTTAAAAAAAAATACCAAGATCCTGCAACTAAACCTAGAGAGAAAGAATTGCGTTTAGGACATTTAGTAATATTTTATTCACGTCTCACTGAATCTGCACAATGGGCTTTTGGTGACGATCTGGGAAGACAAGTATGCTGAGTAGGAATAAAAAGTGACAAAAAAATTTTGTAAATTTTTTAATGTTCTATTTCTGTCAACTAAGCATAGATAATAACAGAGATGATGATCAAGATCACCCTTCATTGCTTTTATAAATAAATGTTTACAAAATGTTTTGTATTGCTTTAGCTGCATAAAAATGTAAGGATATGATATCAGAAATAGTCAAGCAATTTTTTTTTAACGCTGACGTTAAGCAATATCTCCAGCTTGTGAATATTTATATTATCAGCATTGTGTTTGTTACTTTAAATTTGTATTATTCCTTTTAAATTTAAGACAAGTACATATTTTTTTTTATCTCGTTTAAAATACAGTACTAAAATAATGGTGATAGTAAAACATTCCCTTAATTGACTTAATATTTTAGCTTAATATACACATTATAATGGTCATAAAAAAAGTAAATAAATCAATATTAGGAAGAATCTTGTTTAAATTTTCCTCTGAAAAGTTCTGTATGTTCTTAACGAAAACAAATTTTGTGAATACATAATATAGCTTTTTCTATTGGCGATCGAAATGGGCTACAGGTGGCACATAGCATACCTATGGCAAAATTAGCCATGTTTTCACCATTAGCGTGTGAGTAGAGATAGGATTTCGAAGTACGTTTGTTTCTGTCTTGATTTTCACACCGATTAAAAATTTTTCAAACATGGAAATTACATGAAACTAAACATTTCATGAAACATTATGCGTAATGTAAGTATCATGGAAATTTTGAAAACTATTCTTAATAATCTAAGCACGAAAAATGTTATGGATGGGGGGAACATCGTTCTACATTCCCATACATGTGAGCAAATGAAGAGAAGGAGGCTGTAAACATGGAAACGATCCTCTCCCTAGATTGCGTAATCGAGTGTTGTGATAACTAATGGCTAATTAATGAATACTGGAAATTGCCTTGCTTGAAAACGCATAGTTTTTTGGAGGAAAGCTCTTTACTTAAGGCTCCTATACTATCAGAGCTGACCTATCAAGCAATATTGGAGCAAACAAGTTCGCAAGTTAACGTTATGTTAGTATTGTGCTTATGTTAGCCCTTTGCTCCAAAAAGAGATGATAAGTCAGCCTGTCTAATTCAGGGGCTCTATCTTTACTATGCTCGTAATGCGTAATCTCTTATCATTAAAATACAAGCAATGGAATTGGTTTGACAAAATATATTTTCAATATTAATTTGTTTAATTAGAAATACTAATTAAACAAAAATATATTTAGTGGTAGCAGCGTTCTCAAAATAGCAACTGGTGGTACTTAAATTTCGATCAATATTAATGGCAACTTTTAAAAGTTGATGTAAAAATAGTATATATGTTTTTTTGGCACTATCCCGTATGCATGCTTGTGCAAATCTAATTTAGGTAAATACAATATTTATAAATTTTTTTTAATTTGAATGGTATGTAAATGTTTTTGTCAAAAATTGTTGGTTTAGTACATAATAGCTTTAAATAATTATAGAATTAAAAATTTCTGATGAACCCAAGTAAAGTTTATTTTTATGGGGATATCTGTTTATATCTGTTCCACTTGACTCAAATGAGGATATCGTTGCTCGAATATCCGAAGCTGCTATGCGCGTGTGTGAAATACCTGGCATCCTTGAATGAATTAATCGCTCCACCGACGCTGCCAAGCATGTATCGCTACTGGAGGACGCAATTTTGAATAGTTATTGTAAACATTACACTTGTCCGCAACGCTTTCAACAAGCACTTTGTCCTCCCTTTCGTCTCTTATTTTTTTGCGTTTGCACCTCACCGCGTCACTTACGCCCACACATTCCTATACGGTAAATGATTGTTATAATGTCCTGTATCTACCCTTAAAATTTGTACCATTAATTCGGGACCACACTGTATATTTTATTTAGTATTTCTGTATTGTTAAGTAAATAATGCACGGAATGACATTATAAAACCATTGTTCTAAGTTTTACTGCTTCACAATAATGCAGAAAAATTAATTCCAAAATCTTATTCTAAGAATAAAAAACGAAGCAAGATGATAACAGAAAATATAAAATCTAATACTATGTGGCGTAACTACCACTATAAATATTAAGTACCGAATCACTAGTACATAAGACATGTTAACTTGACTCTATCAGGAGGTACCTTTTGATAGATGAAGGTTGACATAGTCGATTTGTAATTCCCCCACAACTATACAGCATCAAAAGAAATGCAAAATAATGTTACGTTGAACGTTAGATAAAATATGATTTTGTGTAGAATCTAACGTTATGTAACGCAGGGAAAATAGCGACCTCTTGCATCTGTCTAATGTTCGAAAGTTGAACGAAATATCGTTATTTTTTATTTTTTCTGAAGCTATTTAATATTATCCGTTACTTACATGGGAAACTAGGGAAGTGTGACTCGCCAATTTTGAAATAAACTAGTGGGATGTATGCCTTATGAGGAATAATTTTAGGGGCCAACATTCGTTTCGGCCCATAGAAGGTCCTGTGAGAGATAAAAAATAATTCAATATATAGAAAGATCAGTATTTTATTACTTCAATGCAGACTATTAGTTATTGTAATTGTCTCATACTCCAATTAATTTTGTGGTACTTTCACGTACTATATAATGCATATTTATTGTCAAAAATGATTTCGAAAATTTTATATATCAGTTCAGGTTTTACCTAACAGGTATTTCAGAAAAACCTGTTAGGTAAATTTAAAAAAAAAAATTTGACATCAAATTATTTTAATTTTTTTTTCTTTAAAAAACTTTCCAAATTAATTTAAGCATGCAATTATTGCAAATCAATTAATAATTAATTAACAATTAATTAACAATAATTTATTAATTAATTATTTTTTAATTAATTTATTAATTAGAAAATTAATTAGTTATCCAATTCATTACAAATTAATTGGATTATGAGACAATTACAATAACTAATAGTCTGCATTGAAGTAACACAACACCGATTTTTCTATATATTGAATTATTTTTTATCTCTCACAGAACCTTCTATGAGCCGAAACGAATGTTGCCCCCTAAAATTATTCCTCATAAGGCATACATCCCACTTGTTTATTTCAAAATTGGCGAGTCACACTTCCCTAGTTTCCCTTGTTAGATAGAAGAACAGAATTTATGTTGCAAAATGTCAATATTTTAGTCATTACAAATTATAGAAGGATAGATATTTTACGTAGTAAAGATGAATCCAATATATTCTACAATATATTCTCTTCCCAATATATTCTCTTAGAAGAAAATTAATGGACAGATATTTAAATACCGCACACATTTAAATTATACAATCTCAAACTGTCAGTAAAATTACATAATTAGCTATATTCCTATATTTACTACCAGATGGCGCAGCTGTAAATCCGATGTGCATGAATAAATAACCTTTTGCTTTCAGTGAGAATATAACTGATCTAAATGTAAAAAGAAAGCTATAAGCTGAACTATACTATAAAGCTGAGGTCTGCTAATGCGTCAACCCTATCAACAGTTCTGTTATTCGAGTTACATGAAAAAGCATCTAAAATATTTTACTTCTCTTTCATATACCCAATCAACTTACGACATTTTCTAACGTCAAACAATTAAAAAATTTAAAAAGAATTTTTAAATTGCTTTAAATTATTTCGTGAAAGTTTAAAATGTCTAACCAAGTGTATTCTGGCTGCTCCACATACCTAAAAAGTGTTCTTCAAAACGGCATAGGAAGATATATTTGCCAACTTCAGCGAGTAACATTCAGATTTTCTAAAAGCCACGGTGGTAGTAGAGGATTGCGTGAGTTTTTAGAGAAAGACTTGATGGATCTTGTAAGAAATAATCCTGGCGTTGTTGTGTATTTAAAACCTCGCCGCATTGGTCCTCCCAGTATAACAGCTGAATATCTTAATGGCCATTCACACTATCATTCTTTTCCTAGAAAGCCTAGAGAAGAAATTGTTAAATGGGTTGAATATATGTTTACCCAATCTGGTTTTCCTACATCACGTTTTATAAACAATCATCACACAGACACTCCCAGTATTCAAGGTGTCTGGACGCCATTTACTCACAAACCTACTTGGTTAAACATGACACAATTTCCAAACGAAGATTTGTCCAAAGCCAAGACATTTTTTCCTAATGCTACAGAACAGCTTTTGGACATAGCATCAAACTGCAACTCCGAGACTGTGGAAACTGAACATATCAAATCAACTGAGTAAACGAAACAATAGTTTTTAATTTTATTTTGATTGTTTATCTGTTGTTTTGGTCAAGATTTATAATAGAAATAAAATGCTAGTTTTTATCAGAACAGATATAGTGATTGTGATAATAAACGGTATAACATTTAAAATAAATTGTTCAAAATTAGTGATGTTATTTTTATTCTGGTTAATGAACTGAATATTAGTATGTCATCTCTTAATATCAACTTATTCTTGATGAATTATGAAAAATATTGTAATTTGTTCTACATCGGCAGGACCACACTAAGCATTCGCCACCTCTTCAAATGCGATAAAATCGTAAATTTGGCACCAAAAAAATTTTATTTGGCAGATTTTTTCTACAAAAATGAAATATATATGTATATATTCATTTTGATCTTTAGAAAAAAAAAATAAAGGGAATTTTTCTGAAGAAATCTTGTATTTTTTATTTGTTAACAGTAATTTCCGTTAGATACATCCCATAACCAATTAGAATTATTAAGTCCAGATAATGTAAGCAACGAGAGATTATGTAAGCATACGACAAACTATGGTAAAATACAAATCACCACACCCGTGCCGAATTATTCAGTATCATGTGACGAAATTTTCCCCTACTGTTTGTATCAATAAAACAGATAAGAGGGTAGCAAAATGTATATTATCATCCTACTGTTTTTGCAGAAAATATGTTTTCCATTACAGTAAAATATACAATAATGTGGCGATAACATAATGTCAATTCAGGTTTATTTTTATATTACTGCTCTAGTCTGTGAAATTATCAAAAATAAACCTCAACCTTTTTCTTCTCCTCAATGATGTTAAAACAACTTCTACATTTTTCATCCTCTCTCCCATTCATTGCTCATCCTATTCAATAACAAGCATTTTGAGCTTTTTCCATTTTCTTAAATACACATTTTGAGTTTCATGCATTTTCTTAAGAATACATTTTAAGCTATATTAATTTAAAAGTGTATTTATATGCTACACTCATTTCTTGAATTAGCATTTTGAGTTGTGTCGTTTTTCTAAAATACAGATTTTGAGCTATGGCCATCCTTAAATATGCAGTCTAATTAAAATTTAAAGCTCAGTAACTCTATGCTAGATGTTTTGTGCTTGTTACCACTTAAATTGACATAAAATCGTAGGAATAGGAATCGCGATGGGTGATTTCTAAAACATCTTAATGTGTAACTTCTAAATCACGTTAATACGACAAGTGATTTTTGATATGAAAATCACAGGATGTATATTTTCATTCGATATCGATTCATCTTGCGTGTCATTGCGAATCGCAATGTGCGATATTTAAACCACAAGGATATGATTTGCGATATTTGATTTTTAAAAGACATGAATTGAAATTGCGCTGTCTAGTTCTAAAATTGAGTGGATACGACTCTGAAGAATTATGATGTGTGATTTTTACATTGCTTGAAAAATTGCTAGGTCTGATCTTTAAATCATGTGAATACGAATAGCAATGTTTTATTTGTGTATGAAATGCGGTCAATGTGGAGACTTAGTGATCAAACCAGACTTGCGAAAAGAGATGAAGTGGCGATGTACACTTTGTAAATCAGTTCAATATCTTCATTAATAGCAAAACATACAGTTAAAAAAATATATGAAGTAAGGAGTTGCAAGTTAGTTGTTAGTATAAATCATAAATCAAAATAGTAATAAATCACTTTAATGCAAATCTTGATTTGTGGATCAATTTAATGCAAATCGTGATGTCTATTTTATAAATTGCTTTTATACGTTTTTACTCAAGGATGTCAAGGAATTTGGTAAGCAGAAAAAAATATCAGAAAAATCCCTCCCTTAGGATATATCATTGCTAAATTAGATCAATTTTGTTTAAGTATAGAATTTCTTTAAACTCTTTTTCCATACTTTCATAAATAATTATAACCAATGCTTGTACAATGGAAAATTTATGTTTTAATACATTTTAATAATGATTCTATAAAAATAATAATTACCAGTGGAATTTTATTTATTTTTTTATTGTATTTATAAAATGGGTATTCTCAAAATGCTATTATTTTTTTTCTCGGCTGACATTTAATATTAATTTGCAAAGTATCAACCTCAGCCTTCCCTGCTTTCTTGTTTCAGTGGGTCTAAAGAGCAACTTAATCAAACTTACTTCATACTTTAGATCAAAAATCTAAAAATGAATGTACATCAATCATAAGATCAGGTCAGATTATTAATCAATGTCATTATCTTCATAGTTGACCAGAACCCCCAATGCCTTCCTCTGAAGATTTCTCCATAACAACTTCCAATTTATCTTTGATCTCCAATTCTTTTCATTAATTGCAAGAAAATCAGACTCCACTGAATCAGCCCGTGTCAACCATGGCCTTCCCCGCTTTCTTGTTTCAGAGGGTCTAAAGAGCAATATTTTTTTTATGGTATTGTCATCTCTCATTCTAATCACACGGGCCATTCAATTCTTTCTATTTATTTTTATGTATTTAATAATATCAGGTTGTTTATGAATCTGGTTATTGTTCAAAGTTACTCCTTCTCCAGTTATGGTTTTCATTTACACCGCCAAATAAACTCAGCAAAATCTTTCTCAAATATTACGCTACAATTTTCCTCCAAGTTTGTCATTGCACAAGCTTCAGAAGTATATGTCAAGACCAACCGGACAAGGGTTTTGTAAATTGAGAACTTTGTTTTTCTAGCAAGAAACCTAGATTTAATAAATCTTCTCAGCCCTATTTGCCAGATAGGGTTGATTTTTTGTTTCAGGAGACATTCTGTTATCAATGATCCTAAGTAAGTATAACTCCTTACTGTTTCAAATCTATAAGAACCTATTTTAAGATAGGAGTCTGGGACTCTGTTTCTTGAGGATAACATGTATTTTGTTTTCTCTACATTTGTCTTGCAGCCACCTCAAGGGCAAGAAATACTTCTTTCAGGGCAGGAAAGGAACAAGCAATTACATCAATATCATAAGCATATGCAAATAGTTGTACTAAATCAATGTCATCAAGCATTTGTAAATTTTTTAAAACTCTGTGCATCAAAACTTAATGATTCTGTTTTTTGTAGTATTACATGGGGTCTTTTCTGAAGCCTTTTTTTCACAGACTATATTTTTCCCGAAATTTTTGAAATTCACGCTGTTGTAAATAAAATAAAAAATTAACTTTCCTTGGAGAAGGCTGAATTTAAAATTTTTCTTAAGAATATTGGTATTTTATAAAAATGCCTCTAAAAAAATTTAAAAAGTATCTGCAAAATTTAAGAATATCTGCTGGTGGTATCTGTGCATGGTGTATGCAACTTCTTTAACTGATAGCTCTCAAAAATAATTAAAAACAAGGAACATTTTTCGAATGTTTTATAAATAAAAAAATCTATTTAATTTTCACATTAAGCACCTAATTTAATAGATCATTTGAATCTATTGCAAAATAAATAAACCACACAACTTTTCCATTGTTGCAATATAATTTATTACTTTATAAAGTTTATCTTGCATGTCATCAAAAAAAAAATAAACAAAAATTTTTAATTTTCATGATTTTAACTATACAAAAACAATTTAACAAGGCTAAATCTAAAGAAATATTCAAATTATTAATAATATACCAATCATGCTACATTTTTAACTTAAATTTATGGTAAATTTCCAGATAACTCAATCCACTATGAAATAAATAAAATAGTACTGATTATTCTATTAACAAAGAGGATTAAAATATATGTTTCCGTAAACTCCATCTTTTCAAAAATATATTTTTCTTAAAAAGTTAATAAAAAAAGTTTTTTTTTTTTTTACTTTTCTGTTCCAACTGCATGTGAAAAAAACTGCATTATGCTTTTTTTTTTTAATTTTTATTGACTATTTTCTCAGCTCACACATAACATGCTGAAAAATCACTTTTTGCACACCAAAAATCTAAAGCAGTGTAATAAAATTTTAGTTGTTAAAATATTTAAAAAGTTTGCAGTGATATAGAAAATAAAATTTTTAATTAAAGCAATTTAATAGATTTTGTAAAGAATTTTTTTTTTTATTTATAGCAAAAATGTTATAAAATACTTATTAAGCATTTAAAAATAAATATATTGAAATAATTTCCACATTACTTTAAATTATAGGAGGGAGAAAACACTACTCAAAATTCATAGTATGTAAAAAACAAAACCCTGATATTAATTCCTGACACTTAGTAATAATATAAATTTACTCAAAAATAATTTAAATAAAAATTACTCAAAAATAGTTAAATAAAATTAAATAAAATTTAAATAAAGTTGAATGTTNCCTTATCAAGAAAATTAACAACACAACACAACTGACACTTAAGCATTTCAAAAATTTTATTACATATACAAAATGCTTTAAAATTACCAAATTTTTTTCTCTTACATATAATCTGTGAAATAATTGCTAATAGAATTAATAGTTTTAATAAATATATTTTAAAAATTTGTTCGATTATAATACTTTCTATTTTAATGTGTTTTTAAGCAGTTCATAGCCAATTATTTAAAATGAAAAAAACATTTAAAAAATTATTAAATTTTATTCATTTTTACTGAAATTCTTAATGATATAATAAACAAAAGTTTATAGTTTGAATCACAACACAAATTGTCACATATATACAGTTATGCATTCAACATATATGCATTTTGTAGAACATAATATGAGTTACAAATAAAAAGATTCAAATATCCTAAGGATCCTAAAAAATATGGAATTAATTTTCTTATTTTGTATACACAGTTATCAGAAATGGTGAAAATGCGGAAATAATTATTTTAATTCAGGTTTTTATCTATTATATTTTAATATTTTTCTTGAAAAGGTAATTTTATAGCTGCTAACATGCATGGCTGTACGGAAAGCGTTTCTAAAGTGAAGTATTAATAACAACACAAGTAGGAACAATTTTCTAAAAATTAGTCTTCTTTGACAACTCAGTCTTGAAAGCAAAACTGCCTAGTAAACTTTACATGCATGTATTTTAATTACTGATTATTCATGATGGGTAAAACAGTGTGCTTACGAACTTCATAAGATAAGTTTTATGCATAAATGATACTATCACTAATTCCAGTTTTATTCATTAGCCATACAAGCAGTTATGTATTTTAACGTGCAACCGTAGAATTTTTTAAGTATATTTTCTTATATATATATATATACGTACACACAAATATGAATTGATATGTATATTTTAATCCAGGATTTATAGAAAAATACTTATAAAATTTGCTATTTTTAAAAATACAAAAATATATGTTATTCACATGAATGGATTAAATATTTAAGCACAAATAGGTAAACAGTTAATATTTATATGTTTTACTACCAATGTATATTTTAATGTGTAACTTACAAAAATATGTTAATGTAATTCATAAAAATATTTAGAATGAACATAAATAGTTTACATTTCTACAGCACACATAAATTAAAGTGGAAAATCCTTGCTATTAAGGTTTAAAACTTGTTCTTTCTTTAAGCAAGCAAATATATCTTGGAATGGTTTAAATTGTATTAAAGAAGTTTTGCAACCAATGATGATCAGTTTTTTTCTAGCTCTTGTGATAGCAACATTTAGACGCCTTTCATCATTTAAAATGCTTCCTTTCTGAAAAAAAAACAGATACGTACACTATATTATGCATTGTATAATTTATTAGAAGTATAATTTGCAAACACAAACATTGCTTAATTTACAAAAACTAACATTTGATATTATTAAAAGCAACAACTAGAACAACAACAGCTTAAAAAAGTTTTACATTTTAATGAAAATTATTTTTAAATCATGAGTATCATTGGTACAGTTTTTTTTAAACTTGAAATTTTGGCAAAAATTAATATACTTTTAATTTAACACACTGCATAAAAAAAAATTCTTCCCTTTAATCTAACCTTTTCTCTGTCTAACCCAGGGATGGGGAAACTACGGCCCGCGGGCCAACTGTGGCCCGCCGGAATGTTTTATCCGGCCCGCGGATATAATTTTAATTTGCCGATCAGTGGCAATATACATAAACAATATACATCCATTTTCTTGTCAACTATTTAAAATTATTTCTGTTTTTCCTTTTTCAACAAAGTACTGATGACCTTTTTACTTTCTCTATTTTTGTTCTACAAAACATAAATTGATGGAAATAGTTAGCACAGACAGCTTCAATTGGTAAAATGTTGAAAGCAGAAGTTCTTCATAGAATAGTCTTAGATTGGCTCTAACTAGCGTTTGTCTTTCTCGAGGAATCTAATACGAGGAATAAATTGTACTTCACATTTGGCAGACTATGCATTTTAAGATCCAACGAGCGGACAATCTAACAATCATCTGAAGCAGTTGTTTCTAAATATGCCAAAGTTTTACAAATCATTATCAAAAGCTAGTTTCCAAAATTTAATATTTCATGCCCAGAAAATTAGCTCTATGTTTGCTTAATCTTATATATGTGAACAAGAGTTTCCAACTTTGAACCTTAGAAAGAATCATTTCAGAAGTGGACTAACAGAAAAGCATTTAGCCTTGTTCCGTAAAATAGGCACATCTCGCTTCGAACCTTAATATAAGGAACTTTTAAAAAACGAAATCGCAATTTCATTCATCTCACTAAATATTTAAATTAAAACTTGTATATCGCTTCTTTTTTTTAAATTTTGAAAGTTTTATTTGTCCCACTAAACATTTTTTTTCTCGATTTTTGGCCCTCAACCAAAAAAGTTTGCCCATCCCTGGTCTAACCTGTTCATTCAATAATAGTCATTTATAAAATTAAATTATGCTGGAGTTACCACAGAAAATTGTAACACAAAACATGAGATTAACTTTATGGAACTTAACAATCGTCTACTACTTTACCTATTTTTAAGAACAATATGTTCATTTACAAACTTGATTTGTTATTCGTAATTTAAACGTGTGCCATTTTGAAAACGCACTCAATAATGTTTTAAAGTAATTTTGAGAGGGGGAACATAGTAGTGCATATTTTAGATATAAGAGCACAATTTAGATGAATTGGAGCAAAATTAGTACAAGTTAACAGCAACTTTGACCAAAAATACTTGTTTTGGATCAGGATAGGGAAGCAAAGGTAGTTAAGGACAATTTGAGCAGTAATTACATCACTGCATACAGGATTATCAAAACAATATTTAATTATAATAATTTCTTAAGCTCTTAAATATGAAGAGAAAAAAATTATAACTCCATTTGATTGTATTATATTTCAACCAAAAGGAAAAGTCTAATGATTAAATAGACTTCATGATTTTAAAATTTAATACAAATGCAACATACCAATTTATTTTCATTTGATGATTCCTTACACCTGACACAAGATATAATTATGATATCTTTATCACGGCCTTGATACTGATCAACAGTATTAACTTCAATATCACTCTTCTGAAATTCCTTTACTTTCCTCTTAATTAGGTCAACTTGCTGGCGATAGGGAGAAATGATGCCAATATCTCCACTTTCAATATTATTCTGTAAACATATAGCAAAAAAAATATTAAACAAAATAGTAGTTTAAAAACAGTAATAATTTGATATTCATATGGATTATAAATTATAGCAGTATATAAGCTAAATTATTATCTGATGTCCAGAAAATAATTTTAACAGATTATCCACAGCGACAATTTGCATGTTTTTTTAACAGATAATCCATGAATTATACGTAGGAAATACAGTAATTTTAGACTAATTTCAGCAAACATACAAAAATAACTTTTTTTTACTAATGTTTCGTATTTTACTGAAATTGAGAGAGTAATAAATAATAATAAAATATCCTTACAAAATGTTTCATCTTTCAAGTCCTTAAAACTGTGTTTTACTTTTCTTGTTACACATTTTTTCTAAGGCATACAAAAATTAAATGAATGTAACATTTTCAGATATTTTTATTATGAGTGTAAAGTGGTTAATCAGTGTTCTGGGGTAATTATAACTACAAAATTGGCAATACAGATTAATTAAATTTCAGTAATCTTTTTTTTTTTTTTTTACTCTTTTGTGTTTAGAGAAGATAAAACAACCCCTAAAGTTACCTCTCCTAAACAAATTGTTATCCTAAAATCATCACTTTTAGCACTTTAACTCTTTAAATACCGAGCACTCTAAACCACAACATGTCCAGAATACCGCAAACGCCCGAAGTTGGAAATCAGGTAGCAAAAATTTCCCAGCTTTACTCTGAAATGACAGAATGACTGATCATCTTCTTATTCACTTGGGGAAATATCCCTAAAATAGGTGTGGGAAGAAAGACTACTTGAAGCAAGAATATTGCTAACATAACAAGATTTATAAAATGTTAATAAATGTTTTTAATCATTTGTTTGTTTGTTTTTTAATTTTATTATTTACATAGAAAATTAAGTATGTAATTCCTTGCAATCCAGTTATACAATTTCTAAATAAAGCATTTATATTGAAAATAATATTCTCGCTCAAATAAAATGCTTTTTTTCGTTGTAGAACAAAAACTAATATAATTCAATAACTTAAATAATTAAAAAATAAACTTTAAATTTCATAGAAACCAACATTTAAAGTTAACATCTGTCATTAAGGAGAAATAATTTTGGTGACAGTATTAAAATAGTATTCACCCTAAATGTGTATGTATTCTATATCATTTTACAATTTGAAATAAGAGAAACTTTTCTGATTATTTAATAAAGCTCTGAAACTGTTAAAAATATTATCCCCCGAAATCACCCCTAGGTATAAAAAATATTTTTCGCTAAATCGTTTAACTAATTTTTAATTATTTGAAAGTAAACGGTTCGAAATAGATGCCAAATTTTGTATATGTCTTTCCATAATTTATATAAAAATATTTCAGTTTTTGCAATCCGGATATGCTTTTTATACGCTCTGATTATATGTAGTTTGAGCAAAGAGTAAGTCATATAAATTTCATAGTACAATATTTCTATATAGCTTCTAAAATAAATGAATTTATTATGGCTTCAAATTAATGAGATATAAAAATTTTAAATTTAAATGTGGTGACTCCCGATGTCGACTCAGTGTTATCGGAGAGTAAAAGATTAAAATTTCAATATGTATTTTGATTTAAAGCCTAAATGTTTTTTTGTTTTTTTTAAATAATGTATTTACTGTAAAATGCTTATTTTGTTATGTATATATTCTTGAAAAATTTTCTCTCTTAATTTTTTACTTGTTTGTCTGATATGGTATGAGGTAAAAGACCAAAAAAAAAACTATGAAATGTTTATTTGTAAGTAAATTAGTACTTTCTTTATTTTAATTTGCAGAAATATATATATATATAATGTCTAAATTTTTATTTTATTCACTTATTATTTTTTTTAAAATTTCATTTTTAAAAAATTTTAATGACTATATTTAATAATCTATATTTAACTACTATATTTAATGCATAATTTTTTAACCTCTAATCCCATCGTTAATCAGCCAGACAGCTATTCTTTACGTATGCTAAGGAACACAATTACTTCCTATTTCAACACTGCCTTCTAGACTCAGATTTATCTTTCTGTCACATTTTACTCGTAATTATTTCTTTTTGAGTAGGCGACTAAATTCTTCTGCATTTTACTGAAGAGTTGGAAATCAGCATCTGTTTATCGACATGTGGTGCATTATACATGGCTGTGGTGACAAGAAATTTCTTGGTAAGAAAAGGGGAATGTAGAAGAAATTTCTTACACTACCGCACCATAATTTTGGTGACAAAGATAGCAGTCCCAACTTCAAGTAGAAATAGAGAAAATCTACAATATAACATGTTATTTTTCATTCAACAATAGCCTTTAGAAGATATGCTGATAACGCTTATCTTCTACAGAAATGAATGAGTTACTAGTAATATAAGGATATGGGTAGCCTGACAGCTGAATATAGAACATTCATTATAAAGGAAAGAATAAGTTTATGAGAAATTACAGTTTACTCCCGATTATCCTCAGGCAAAAAATCCCTTTCCTAGGAAGATAGCATTTAAAATTGAAAATTAATGATTTTTGGAGATTTAACTATTTTAAGAGTTTTGACACCAACAACATTTTCAACTAGTAAACATTCGTGTTCTTAGACCAGGTGTTAACAATTAATAAAAAAATGGGTCCTTTCAGCTTCAAGTGCAATAGCTGTCCAACTGCAAATGCAAAATAAAGTTTAAATTTCAAAGAATAGTTTCGGTAACCATCAAAGCAGTTTTTTCTCCTGGATCCTTATAATATAAAATTGATTGTTATAAATATATAACCTGGATTGTTATAAATATAAAAACCATTTTTTAAGGCATCAAAGCCTACCCTCTAATTTAAAAATAATAATGTTTACCTATTTATTTTATATTTAAAATTCGATTTATAATTAATTGTATTTAGTAATCTTTCAGTCTTGTAGAATTTCTAGCAGTTCATAATTTTGAACAATTGATATAGTTTTAAAGACACAATAACTAAATAATTAAATGTTTTTTTTAAAAAAAAAACTTTGACACCATTACTCTAAGTATTTTCTTTTCAACGTAAGTAACCCAAAAAACTCTGATAAAAAAGGTAGGCAGTTTCATAATTTAAAATGTTAAAAACAAATGAATTTAAAATGTTAAAAACAAATGAATTTAAAATGTTAAAAACAAATGAATTTAAAATGTTAAAAACAAAATAGTTTTAAAACAATAATTTCACGTTAAATGAATTAAAAACAATCCAGATTTTATTTTAGCTGATAAACAATATGAACTTTTTAACCTCTAAAGAAATAATTTTCAATCAAAAAATCCGTTAAAAAAATTGACGCGCAAATCAAAATAGAAAACAAAAATAAGAAAACATTTCAAATTTAAGTACAAGTATTATAATCTATTAAAAATGTATAAATAACTCTGCTTGTGCCTATATTTTACTTAATTTCAGAATTGTTAAATAGCCGTATAATTTTTGCATGCATTATTAATGTATAAAATATTTTTAATTAACACTTTTAAATATAAATAAATCAAATAATATTAAGAAATATTTTCTGAATTATTCAAACAATTTCTGAGCAACAAATATATATTTATATTTGCAAAGAATAATTTAACATGTGATTTATGTTATAAGGTCACAAACATGTAGCGTATAAAATTAAGAAATAAAACTTTTATAAATAATATTCAAAGTAATAATTTAAAAATATTTTATTTGAAAATTAAAAAAAAGAGTATATTAATTAGTTTCTTACATTTTGCTACAATATACTAATTTAAGCTTCTTTTTTTAAAAAAAAAAAAAAAATATTATTTTTAATTTAGATACAATGTGATATTCAAAATAGGTGTAAATATAAATAAGAGACAAATATACATGCTCTTTAACAATGTTAATGAAAACAAAACTGCATTGATATCTAAATTTAACAAAATTGTTTAATAGCGCAATTTTTCACAGGTCATAGACGTGCAGAATATTATTAATTCACAACATAAAGTAAATTAATCAAGCAATATTGAGGCAAATTTTCTGAAATTTTCAAATAATGTCTGAACAATAAAGATACATTTATATTTGCAAACTATAATTTATCATTTTTATGCTATAAAGTCAAACTATGAAGTTTAGAAAATTAACTGAAAAGTGTTTTGTGCAATATTTATGATTAACAAAATATTTGACATAAAAAGACAAAATAAAGCATATTACTTAATTTATTATATCTCGATACCATGTATTTACTAATTTAAGCCCTTTAAAAAAATTAATAAAAAACTTCTAGCTTAAATACAATAAATAAAACATGATATTCAAAATAAGGTAAAAATAAATAAAAGGCAAATATGCATCCTCTCTAACAGTGTTAATGAAAACAAAATGGCATTGATATATAAATTTAACGCAATTTAAAAATTGCTCAGAATATTATTATTCACAGTATAAGAATATCAATTAATCAAAGCATGATTTACACAGGCACATTTTACATGTTTCGCATTCCCAAGTGCTTTGAATGCTATTATCCGAAAGAGTTTTCATATTCTTATATTTCATGCAGATTCTTTTACGACTGTCAATCTTTCTTCTTTTATGCACATAATTAGCTGAGGTTGGTGAATAATCTAGAAAAGGACGTTTACGTTGAATCAGATGACTCGTTTCGATGTTGTGAATGAGTTCATTTTTAAAATGATAAAGAGAATTTTTATTTTTAGATTGTTCTGTAATCTTTTTCAAAATAAATGCATTATTGATGGCGGTGTCTATTACAAAGGAAAAAATATAATACCACCATTTTGAAGATTTTCTACTAACAGAATAGTATTTACGATTCTGATCAGCAAGATCTACACCGCCCATAAATTTGTTATACATTTCAAAGGATGCTGGGCAACATACATCAATCTTTTCTTCCTTGGACTATTTTGTTTTCATTTTTAACGTTTGTTAAGAGCATNTCTGATCAGCAAGATCTACACCGCCCATAAATTTGTTATACATTTCAAAGGATGCTGGGCAACATACATCAATTTTTTCAGATCCTTTTCTTCTTAGAACTATTTTGTTTTGATTTTTAACGTTTGTTGAGAGCATGTATATTTGTTTTTTGTCGATCCAGGTTGTGCAGAGCATATTTGATAATGAAAGGCATTGCCAAGATGCACTTTCATGATCGTTTTTAAATTTGAATTGTTTTATGTTTTCCGACAAATTTTTTCTGTTCCGCATAAGAGTATCACATGCATAGTGACCCGATCGATATAAAGCATACATTAAAATTGAACTGGAAAAAAATCTGTCAAAATAAATAACGTGTCCAGAATTTTTTTAAATTTGCGTCATATGCATCATGCATCACTACGTCATATCCCAAACCTTTTCCACTTCTCTTGACATTATCCTGTTTTCCTCCATATAGATCAAAGCTCAAAACATACCCATGCTTTGATGTACAGAGCATCCATAATTTTATGCCACGTTTTGCAGGTTTAAGGGGAATATACTGTACTATGCCAAGCCTTCCTTTATACTTCAATAAAGCTTCATCAACTGTATGGAATTAAGTGCTTCCTAAAATTTTCCTGGATTTGATCAAACATTGGCTGAACTTTTTGCGAATATCTATAGTTTTCATCCGTTTTCTGCAACTCTGACTCTCTGTCAGAGATGTGAAAATAATGCTTGATTTTCAAAAAACGGTTCCTACTCATCAGTTTTTTTGTCATAGAATTTCCGTATATGGTGTCTTGGGACCAGTAATCACTAAACCCATTTTCACTAAACTCATGATGAGTAAAATGCCAAAAAAGCACCACAATTCGTCAATAGAAGTCAATGGCTCCAATTTGTTTTCTCTATGTTTTTCTGTTTTTAGCAAAACTCTGCATATTTTTTTGTATTTTCCATAACTGATTTACAAAGCTCATCAGTTAAATAGAGCTTTAGATTATCTAACGGTGACGAATCTGGTAGTAATCCTTGGTTTGGCCCTGAATTTAGACAAAAATCTTTAACAAGAATCTTTTCATTTTTTAACTCAGATGTCCAATGAAATTCTATTGGATTTTCTTCATCATCTTCCTCATCACTATTACTGTTATCGTTAGGGGCAATAGTGGTTTCAGTTGGAGCTACATCATCGAATTCTTCATCATCCCCTGATTCATTAAAATCAGACTCATCTGTATCATCATTGAAAATTATTTTCAAAGCTTCTTCGGTCGAAAGACCTTTACGGCGAAAAGACATTTTTGTTTAGAAAGAGAAAGCAACTTTACAAGAGCAGAATGATATGAAACAAACTTTTGTTGAAAAATCCCTCTATTCTCTCCCCTTTTCGTAAAATTCCTTCAAGGACGATTACTGCCACACCTCCCTCATTGTGCGTCACTTTTCGAAAAGGGGGGGAAATTTCTAACTAGCTTCACGGGCACTTAACTAACACCTAAATTTCTAAATTTACAGACATTTTTATAAGAATAAAATGTAAAAAATTCCCCGCATATAAAACATGGTACACTTACATTAATGAGAAACTCTACAATTGATTTGACAATATTTGCTTCATATTCATTAGTTTCCTGTCTTTGTAGGCTTATTTTACTTGAATTGACTATTTCATCTGTATTTAGAAAAGTAACAGAATACATTAAGTCACATTTCATTACAGTAAGAATCCATGATGGTGTTTGAGATTTCAAAGATTCAACAACACTCAACTGTATAGTAGATTTGGCAATGTTTTCTGAGCCGCACTGCAATATGCCAGCATAAGTAATTTCGTTACACAATCTCATAATTTCCCTACAAAGGCAAAAAAAGTTTAATTAATAAAGGACATTCTATACTTTTGTACTGAAATACAAACGCAAGTTACTATATAAGTACAGGGTGAATAAATAATAAATTAACAAAACTACATCTTTTTGCTAGTGGAGTACACGATTAAATTATATTAAATACTGTCGACAAATATTCAAAACAAATTAAACAGTATCTTTGGATTAAAAATATTATTCTATAAAAAATTTAAGCAACACTAAAAAAAAAACAAATATGTTTTGTAAAAGTACATTACAATATAAAAGAATTTTAAATTAATTTTGTGCAAAGGAATTACAAAACATCCATGTTTTGCTATTAAATTAGCTTCCTTAATATTTTATGATGTTTTTTTTTATTTAATTAATTTACTTTTTAATAAAAAATTTTACATTTCCCAATATTTTCGCTGTATTAAACATTTGGCTACCATTTGAGGCATATTTAACTTAGCATTTCAGGGGTCTGTCCAGACATTTTGTGAAAGGTCCGTTTTTACAAAATCGTATAAAAATTATTCGTAATTTGTGAATATAAAATAAACGTTAAGTCAAATTCTTTCAACCAGGGTCCTGCTTTTGTGAATTTGTGCAAATAGGGTCCTGTTATTGCAAAAACCTTTTTCAATGAGTTTTTAAATTTAAAGCTCAAATTAATTATGCTCAACACTGTAAAATTATAATTTTAAAAAATAAACAGCAATTGCTGCTACTAAATTAGAGATGCACCATACAAAGATTTGGTATTTAGCCTATACTGCTGAACGCAGAATATTCATTTCGGATGAATAAAGGAAGAAGCGTCTACCGAAGACAAAACTTGGTTCGTTTACATCTGTCTTTCTTTCCCCCCTGGGAAGGGTTTATTCGATTAACAAAACAATAATGAAGATAAACAAATTTGTGAAGAGTCCGATTAAAAGATAAACTATTTTGTGAAGGGTCCGTTTAAGTTAAAATATTTTGTACAGGGTCCGTTTTTATGAAAAGATATTTTGTGAAGGGTTCGTTAACAGACCCAAATTTCTTCTGAACAGACCCCTGCATTTAGTAAAGCTACTAACACTTGCAACTTTTTTCATAATAAATAATTATCTAGGAAATACAATGGATATTAAGACACTTCATCAAGACAATATTAAGACATATTAATTAGAGGTTAACTGCTTTTTTACCATTGTAAAATTTTTATTGCAATTTTTTTCTAACTCTCATTAAAAAGTAATACATGAAAATTCATATTAAATTTATTTTATTGAACATAATGTAATCTGCTAGATTCTTCACAGTTAAGCCTCTTTCAATATGTTATTTTTAGCTTATTGTAAAACAAATTTAATTAAGACAAAAAATGAGGCCAATATTTGATAAGGAAACAAAACAAGTAAAAGGCTCTATTCATGACGCATAGTCCATTGTAAGGGAAAGAATATTAATTATACTTTCATGCATACTGCCTAAAGAATTTTAAAGTAACTTTCTTTCAATAATTGAAGTTTATTTATTTTAAAATTCTGCTAAACTGAGGAGCTTATCATCACAATATTTAAGGTAACTAATTTGTACAATTGCTTTAATTACATATTTTACATAATTCCATTCAAAGCAGTTTTGTTCAAAATATTTAATGGAAGTTGATGTATATTTTGAGCTTCCCTTGCTCAAAGTAGGGATAAAAACTTACTTAATTGTTTGAAAATTATTCATATTTTACATAATTTAATTCAAAGCATTTTTGCTAAAATATTTAAAAGAAATTTGTAAATATTTTGAATTTCAGTAAAAAGTATAAGAAAACTTATTGAATTGCTTGAAAATTATAAATTTTTCATTTACCATAGTTAAGTTTACCATAGTTAACATAGTTTTGGCTCAAAAAAATAACAAATATTTTAATTTGAATATAAACTTTTGTTCTTAATTAAAAAAATAAAATGTATTAGATCATCATTTGTTTTTAAAAAAACTTAATTGAACATAATACTGGAAATTTATTGCATACTAAAATACATTGAGATAGCTATTAAGATAGATTAAATGTTAAGATAGATTACATTTATTTCAACAGTAATAAAAAATTAAAAATGTAATATAATTTGTCTAAAGTAAAAACTCCCCGAGCCATTCGTCTGGACCCGTGGTGATGACTATGGTTACAAAGCGTAACTATTTCTAGCAGGGGTGTGGGGTCATTGTTTAGGATAGGTTTTGGCTCGGGTCAGAGAGAGAAGGGGAATTTTTCTCTACCCTCCCATAAATGCGCTATTCTTGTTTCCATAGCCGAAGATGGCTTCCGATTTTGTGGTAAGAGGAGCTCTTACCACAGACAAACTATAGTAAACCTTTGCAATGTGATTATTTTAATGTAATCTATAAATAAAAGAGAATAATGAATATGCAGGAATTTAAACTGAATAACTTGAAATAAAAATGTATTTTTTAGTTAGAAACTTGTAATAATAATTTCAAGAATAATGACATTTTAATTCAAAAAAAAAATTTGTGAAAATCTGTGAATATGCAGTGAAATTAATTTAAAAAATGCTTACTCATTCATTCTGTATTGTATTACTAATTCAATACTATTTTCAGGATTTGCTAATCTCTGAAAAAGACTTTCTTCCATTCCTTTACTCCTAAATATAGAATTAAAAGAATTTGAAAATATATACATATCTACAACTAACACTATTTATCAAAGACATTCTATTTTTTAAGGAATAAATTATCATTGAAATTTTATAAAAGTACCATTTGTATGTTTGATTCTTATCTATGTGATACAAAATTCACAAAGTTTGAAAATTTCTGCCACAGAATACATAAACAGTAAATACTTACCGTGCTTTTTCATTTGTCACAAGAGGTGGAAGCTGTTTGTCATCACCAACTAAAATGAATTTCTTAGCATGAAACAAGGGACCCAAGCAGGCAATCTGATTTATTTGGGATGCTTCATCCACTATACATACATCAAATTTCCTTACACTGAATATGGCATGATTTATTCCTAAACATGTTGTGGCAACCACCATCTGAAGAATTTAATACAAAATACTCAAAACTCATTATAAAAGAAAAAATATAAATATCATATATAATAAATAAATTAAATAATGAAATTGGCATTAATATTTTCTCTAGAATTTTTTTTTTAATTCAACAAGTTGTTTTAGACAACAATCTCTTTCACTTATGGCCTTACCTCTTTCCCTCAAAAAAATATTTTTTTGAATTCAATAACTCAGGATATTTGTTGTAGGGCATGATATACATAAAAGAATACCTAAATTTCAATGGTATATTACAACTGTTTAATTTAGACTATTTACAACAAATCATGCATCAGACTGAAGGTAAACTAACCTAATTTTTCATACAAATGTTCAATAAGTGCACCATTAGTTACATGACAAACATCCAATTTTAACTTTGTTTTAACTTCACACACTTATGAACCATATTGTGGATACTTCAAGTACAACCAACTAATGACAAGTACAACTATCTTACAATTCACCAGTTTTCTTGTATTCTTGAAAATATTATCTTTTATGCTGCACATGAATCATTATATCTAAATATTTAATCCAGCCATCTGATATTTGATGCTTTTAAATGACAGTTTAAAACAATGATACAAGCTTTTAAACAATAAGAAATTAAGTTGCAGAGGAAATAAAAAATTTATTTTAAAAAATTATATAACACATTTAAAGCATAGTTTAAAAACAAACAATTTTAGTCAATAAGTTAGACAATTTGATTAGAAAAAAGAAAAAGTCTGGGAGAATATCTTATATGATATCCATTATAAAGATGAATTTTGAAATAAATTAATCCTTTTGAACGAAATATTTAATACCTGTTCCTTCATGAATGTTTGAAATTCTTCTACTGTCTTAAAATGTTTAGTTAATGTTTCAAATGAAAACTCTTTCACTCCAGAGTGAATTCTTGATCCTTGGCCAATTCTTACAAATTGAATGTGCTCCTTAAGCTTCAATAGAATATTGTCAACTGCAGAATGGGTGTAACTAGTTAACAGAACTGATAAGCCCATTTTCACAAATAGTCTCACCAAGGCAACAATTGTGGATGTTTTACCTAATGAAATATTTCACATAATAAGATCAATATATTTTTTTTAATACAAATACTATAAAAAAACACAACATATGCTTTTATAATTTTCTTATTTCACTAAAAATACTACTAACTGAATTGCCAATTAACTTTTTCTTTTGGGAAGACAAAAAAAGGTGTCTAAGGGGTAGAAACGGAATTTTGTGGCAACTATTAGCTTCCTTCCGTGAGAAGTTATTAGCAGATTCAACTAATATGAAAACAGAGAGTAAAAATAAAAACTGTTATGGTAGTCATTAAGCTATTATGTGCTAAGCAAATTTCTTGCTGTTTTGATAACTATTTCAATTAATTTAGATAATTTTCTGAACAAGTGAGCATCTAAATTATGTATGGGTATTTGAAAAATTAGAAATTTACAGCCTTTTGTGAATCGAATCATAGAGCACTTCATTTAGTTATTACAGTAAAAAAATTCAATGATAAAAATAATCAAAAGATTGTTAGATTGGCAAAACCAGGACGGAATAATAAGTCGGAAAAAGGAGACCAAATAAAAATACCATTTATTATGTAATTAATTTATTCTTAAGAGGATTGTGACATAATAGAAATGAAAATAAATAATAGTATAAAAAGAAATGAAATGAGACGTTTATTAAAGAATTCATACAAAAACGCATCACAAAGCTTTTTAGAAGAATTTATTTTATTAAACATTGTAAATTGTTGATAATTTTTAAATCATATAGCTCTAACAAAATGAAACATACAATAGCAATCCTTTACCATAAAAATGTTTTAGTATCAAATAATAATATATAACTATATAAAATAATAGAAAAAGAAGAAAAGTATGTTTGTCAAATCTTTATTGCCAATACAAGATAATTCCGATCCAGATTTTTTTTTTTTTTTTAGAAACGTTACAATTGCATCACGGGATATCAATATCTGAATTACAAAAAAGATAAAATCTATAGACTTAAAATATTTTAAATGAAACAAGATGTTGATTGGAAATGGAAAAAAATAGTCGAAAAAATGCTTAATTTGAACTGATTTATAACAAAATATATAAAAAAAAAAAAAAAAATATTAAAAATATTAAGTGTTTAAGTCACTAGCAATAATATAAGAGGTAAAAATAATAGTACACAGAAAATATAGTTTAACTGTTGTTAAAAATATAAACTAAATTTCTATAAGTAATATTTTTTAATTTAACAGAAATTTTTAAGGATATACTTTGTGCAACACAATTCTCTGAATTTCTGATTTGTACATGCTTTGATAATAAATAACATTAATTACTCATAAAATAACTTTCAAATGAATTAAACTGTTGAAAGCATTCTCGAAGTTCAAATACTTATCTTATACATTAACAAAAATAAAACTTAAAATTTAATAACAATACTTGAATAATTCACACCTAAAAATAATTTTAAAAATTTCTTAAAAAAACAATAAATTACCAGTTCCCGGCATTCCTTTGATTAAAAAGTAATCTTCAGCCATCAAAGATTTGAGAATAGCTTTTTGTTGAATTTTGTTCAGTACTTTTAATATAGAGCGACCCAGTAACACTACATTTTTAGGTAGTGACTTCAAAAAGTTAGGATTCTCTTTAGACACAATATATTTTCTAAGTCTAGCAGCTTGTTCATCATCAGACATCAGCAGCATCAGGTTGTTTCGAATGCAAGCAGTAGCACTATTTGAAACTTGTTTGTCGATTCGAAAATTATAAGTTTTATAATGTGGCACAGCATATAAATCTCTAAAAAATACAGAATAAAAGTATTTTAGTATAACTATTTATTTAATTCAACATAAAATGTAACAAAAAACTATGCAGAAATACTTCTATAAAATTGACTTATGATTTTTTTTTCTAGCAAAAGTATAGCATTTCAAAGGATATGCATCCAAAGTATAATAATACACAGTTTAAGAAAGTTGAGTTCAAAATATTCCTTTATGAAGAGCAATTTTTAAAATATTATCTCTTTCTTAGAGGTAGAGATGGGAGCAAACAAGTACTACAAAAAGAAAAAGAATAATAATTAAATGAAGCAAAATGTGGATAAAGGTTTAGACAATTTGAAGATATGCCTGTTATTTTTTTTTTTCCTTTTTATACGGAAATATATAAATTTTAAAGCAATCAATGTCTTTAATACTTACTATTTCTCTTCACATTCTGATAAGTAAAATAAAGTAGTTCATAAGTTACAAAATAAGTTTGGTATTTCTATATATTAATAAAATGTATGGAAAGTTTATATTTTTTGCTATTTTGTAAGCTTTCACTTTCAACCCTCAGACAGTTCAGAAAGTTAACTTTTATTCTTGCTCAGCATGCTTTTCTCAGAAAGTAAGCTTGTTTCTACCATTATTCCAGGGAGAGAAAAAAATGGTTTGTAAAGAAGAAACATCCTTACAACTTACAAATTTATCAGTGCAACGAAGAGATTGTGTATAAATGATGAAAAAATATACATACTTTAAAAATTCAATGTTTTATAACATTAAAAAACAACATACCTGTCAGTACCAACTTTGATGCAAACGTCATTGACATCCAAAATGTATCCCATTGAAATGGCTATTTCATCAGAATTATCTTGATTACTTAATGCAACATAATCCCCTGCCCTTAAACCACCATTTAAATGCTGCTCAAAAACAGGGCTGCTTACATTTCGATTGAAAATATTCATATAATACTTCTCTTCCGTTTCATTTATAGGTATGCATTTTTCCAACACCATCCAACTTAGACACATGCCTTTTTTCTCTCTGAAAGAAAAAATAAAATTCAAAAGTGTTGTAGACTAAAAATATTTAGGAACTATCACAATATATGTTTAGCAAAAATACTATTAATTGGGAATGATTTTAAAAAGACCAAACCATTTTCATGTGTATAAACTAAAATCAAGAGTATCTAAACTAACTACGTAGTTAATCATTCAACTCATAGAATATGCATTAAAAACACATTTTTATATTTTGTATATGTATATCCAAGAAATCAGGGCAGCTAAAAGTGAATGCTCTCAAAATTTTTATTAAAATAAAGATAAGTGATAAAATGTAATCTTTGGAGTATTTGAAGATGTTAAAGTAAAACAATAAGATTCCGATATTGTAAAACTGGCAAAAATCATTATAATTATATAGAATCAAAGAAAATAAAAGTATTGAGAAAATAACTGAGTAAATAAAAGTGTTGATATAAGAAAGTGTGTTATAATAAAGAGTTAAAAAATAACTTAGAAAATAAAAGTGTTAAAAGGATACTGCACTAAAAAAGTAATCAGAAATAACATAAATATTAAGCATAAAAGTGTTATAAAAAAATGAAAAAAACTAAATTGTAACTAAAAATTAAATACAAATAAAAATTTAAATATTTCTTAAAACTGACTTGATCTTTCAAGATAGTATCAAAACTGTGTATACTGATTTTTCTGTTTATTATTTAAAAAATATCATGCAATATTTATATACATATATACAGGGCCTGTGCTAAGGATTTCTAATTATTAGTCAGTGAATTAGCCAAACATTAAAAGTATTCACCAATTTTGGAAAGTCTTTGCCTAATGCAAATCTTAATTTTTTATGATTAATTTTCCCCCGTAGAAAACTGCTTTGCGGTAGTTTATTTCAGGCTTATATTACTTGAACCCAATGCTAATTGGTTATGCAACACATCTACCAAAAATTACTGTAATCGAATAAAAAATATTGATTTGTTTAGAAATATTCATTTTGACGTAATTTTGAAGATCGAGTTAAATATGTAATTTCCTTTCCAGTGGAAAAAAATCATTTGCCAAAACATAATTTTATTCGCCAAATTTATGATTTTATTGCATTTGGCGAGCTGATGAATGCTCAGCGTGAGCTATGTATATATATATATATATATACATTAAAAAATAACTAAAATAGCACAAAGGTGTGGTAGAAAATATTTTCAATCTATAAAGCTTTTGCAACGCCTTAAAATGTCCTTTACATGTTCATTTTTCTTCTTATTCAATGACAAAGTGTAGAGAAATTTCAATACAAACTAGCTTGAATGCTAATATTAGTTTAAAAAAATTGCATTTTTCATACGTTTATAATCAGTAAAATAATATTTTTAAACAACAGAAACACAACAATTTATGAAATTTGTAGCAAAGTAACAATAATACATAAACTTTGGAACTTTAATAAAGAAATATTCTTTTTATCTATGGTCAGCTGAAAATATACCTGTATCAAAATTATTCAAAGTTATATATATAATAAGCATATTATTGTCTGACAAAATAAAGTACTTATATCTCAATTTAAAAATATGAAGCTTACCTAGAAAAAGCATCTTCCGTCCAAAATGCATTAGACACTGCTGAACTAGTTGATTCTAAAAGAAGAAGATTTGACCAATGTATGAAATATTCCAGATGACTAGAAGTAAGATGACTAGTAGTTGATGGTATCAAAGAGACCATAGCATGATTTGGATCTAATTTGTTAGTTTCTAAAAAAGATCTGAAAATTATTTAGAATTATTAAATGTTTTCAATACATTAATACATGGTTAGATAATTCCACATGGTTTTTAAAAACAATGATTAAAATTTTCATGAATATTTATCCCTGTAGCAGACATGTCTATAATATTCATGAAAGGCCACATGAATTTTATATGTAAAATTATGGAATGCGAATTTTATGAGTTGAATTATTAAAACCCTATGTCCCGAATAAAAATGGACATTAATGGTGCTAAATGCTTAATACAATTTTCTATGATTTCTGTTGATGATCAGTTTCATAATACAATAAAAAAAATTGCCAAAACTTCTGTTGTAATCCTGTATTCTTAACCAATGATGCATATATATGTTTTATTCCATCAAATTTAACACACAGTATGGCGAGTCATGTTTGCCCATCATGGCTTAAGCCAGGGTTGGATTTCTCATTCTAAAAGCCGGTTGTCTGATCTCATTTGCTTTGATCACCATCTGCTCCCTGACCCAAATTTTAATAGAGTAATATGCACACAGACTAACATTTTCTTTGAATCATCATTAAGGATGAACCTCTGATTATCATTATTTCACCATTAGTGGATTTTGTGCAACATTGACAATCAAAGTAAGTTAAAATTACGAGAAAAGTTTCACTAAGGATAAATAAAAATAAAACACAAACTAATAAAAGCATTAATCAATAATTTAAATTGTGGGAGCCTTGACCTCCATCACCCTAAGGCCGACAAACAGACTAACATGGGAGAGCTTAATTTAATGAGTGTATTAATAAGATCTCCTCAGCACTTTCATTTTAACTAGCTACTCAAACAACTTTTGCATTAACTACTTACTTTTGATAAACTGTACATGGTAGAAGATAAGGACACTTTTGGCACATTCTCTTATTATTTATTGGAGTTGGAAGATGGCAGTGCTCAATATCTTCATTTTGGTACTCCGTTGAAGAAAACCACTTATACGTATAAAATGCAAGCTCATTTCGAAGCTGTATTAGACCTCTTCTAGAATTATGGTCTGCAGATACTAATTTCATGTTAGTGGGATCCTTTAAATACAGCAGTAATCCTTCAGAAACATCTTTCATTCTCTCATCCATCATAAGAGTGTATAAATTAACCTGACCCGTGTGTTCAGCAGAAAAGGTAGGGCGACCAGTTTTTAACTCCAAAGGTAAGATCTAAAAGCAAAAAATATTTGTGTAATTAATTAATAATATTATAAAATTAATAATTAAAAATAAAACTTATATCATATAATTCAAAAATATATCTTTTAACAAAGAAAATTATACTTGCAATTTGATGAAGAAATAGTGCAAATTACAATTAGAAAGATCATATATGGGGAATAATTAACATTGTAAAAGTTAATCTAACTTAAAAGCGAACAAACTTTCTCAGGGAAAGGCTGCAAGAAGTGGTATAACTTTTAAACAAAGAAAAAATGTTTTGTAATATAATGAAGAAATATTGTAAATTACATTTTCAAAGATAATATATGGGGAATAACTACTATTGTAAGAGTCAAACTAACTCAAGGGTAGACAGTAATCTAAACATTTATTTAAAATTTACAGCAGTAAAAGGGACATGTTCTAACAAAAGAAAATTATACTTGCCACTTAATAAAAAAATATTGCATAACTCAAAAATAATACATGGGTAACTATTGTAGAAATTAATATAACTAGAAGGTGCACAATTTTTTGGAAAAGGACTGCAAAAAAGCTAGATTTTAAGGTTTGCAGCAAATTTAATTTTTGTATCAATTGATAGTACTTTAATTATTCCAAATGTCATAAGAACAATATTAATTTGTGTAAAACTCCCAAGACAAGCACAGCAAAATTTTCAATTATTTTCAAATGTATTTATATATACAAATATATTTATAATATTTTTATAATATATTAAAGTACATTAAAATACATTCAAAGCTTTGCACATTTTCTATTCTTTAAAAAGAATTTGATTATTGCAAATTTTAACTTGAAAGGAAAAAATAATTCAATTCAATGGAAAAATAATTCTTTCTAAATGGAAAAAATAATTAAATATATCTTTTGCAGTGTATAAACTTTTTCATTTTAAAACAAATTTTTGAACTTAATTTCATTTTGCATGTTTAAGTCTAAGAAATTTTCTTAAAAGTAAAATCAAAATGTTGAGAGATTTAAATTTTTTTAACACTTTACATTGGAAACCTTACATTTTAAAAATTTCATTTCAATTTCAGTGTAGTAATTCTATTTTTTTAAATGTTTATTAAAATAAATTTGAATAACAGTTATAAAATGATTTTAAGATAGTTATGCATATTTCCCCAGTTATATTTTGGCTGTATGCCACATTTACTAGCAGAGTGTCATATTTCCCGTCATACATTGGGCACCCTTAGACAAACTAATAAATAAAATCTATTCAAAGAAATTAATATTAAATAATTTTACAAAATGTAATTCCACAGAAGTTGTTATAATTATATATTTCTTCGACTAACAAAACACTAATCTGATAACAAAAAATGCCAAATTACAAATAGCATTAAAAAATAAAATAATGCCAGATAATAAAAAAATAATTAACCTGTACAAATAAATCTATTAAGATAATTAGTTTCTATCAACTAGCAAAAAAACAACTCCAGTTATGTTTTATGGTTATTTGCTTATATTGATATAACTTCAACTGGTAAGGTGAGTCTAAAGAAAGTTAAATAAAAGAAAAAAAAAATAAACTAAAAAATCTGGTTTAAAACTTCAAGCGAAATATTAGTTTTGAGTTTAAAAATTATTTTGATACCATATGAAGAAAACACTTAATGGTGTCAGTTCAAGACAGCATTAAGTGTTTTATGTCAGTTAATGTAACAAAGAAATAATTTTTTAGAACATGTATATTTACTTTTAGACTTCTTGAATATATCAAAACTGCTTCACAAAAAAAAAACTCTTAGTGATTGGTTTAAAAAATTGGTTATTCTAATTTTAAAAAACCAAACTGAAGATAAAAATATGCAATTTTTTAAATCCATTTTTTACCAATTGATCAAACTTTGTCTAAACATACCAATCTTAAACATTAAACTAAACTTTAACTTTAAAAAAATGGCACATTTCTGCAATACATATAATGTTACTGATTTTCCAAGGTTTTTTCTGGGAAGAAATTTTTAGTCTAAAATAAAATCTACATTAATTTGAAAACTAATTGCCACACTTCAACATCGTAAAATTTTAAAAATATTTAACATTTTAACATAAAACAATTCTAAATAAATTCATAGCAATCAGGATATTTAACTTTGACAACAATGAATTCTAAATTAATATGGAACTTAAAATAATCATTCACCCAAGTGAAGTAAAAATAAAAACAGAACGAATGGGGAAAAAAGGGAAACAAATTACTTTATGTTACTAGATTATTTCATCATAGGAAAATATTTCAAAATTAATACAAACAAAAACTATCTTAAGCACATGATAAAGGCATTGACAACGTATGATTTTATTATGACAGATACTACAAATTAGATACTATATAAACACATCAAAAAAAAATCTAAAACTTAAAGCTAAGTAAACAAGATGCAGATATTTTGCAAATATTACAATAAAAAATCAGAAGAAATGGGCATTTTTAAGGAAAATACAAATCAGCTTCACAATTACAAATAATGTAAAAATGTAAAATAATACTTTAGTTTTCTTCTGGTCACGAAATAAAGTGTTCACGGTTAAATCAATTTTTCCTTTAATTCCATACTTTGGACACCATACATTGTCTTCTATACCCTCTACACACGTGACTTGTATATTTTCAGATGCATTCATTTTATTTAAAGAAGCATGCCTTTTAATCCACAGAGCAATATTTGGAACATATTCTTTTACTTGTTCCTTGATCTCAGAAAAGGACAAATTTTGGCAACTTCTAAAACATAAAAAAGAAATTTGAAACTAAAAAGTATACATTTTAAAAAAAAATGATAATCTAATTTTAAATTGTTCAGATCCTAGTAGCCAACATTTACTCAAAGCCCTTTAAAACTAAATAAATTGAATATATAAGCAGACTTTAAAAATAAGATAAATGTGTACGTTTTCATTAATAAAATTTATAAGTTTAATTATTGATTTTAATTATATGAACAAACTATTAAAATATGTAAAAACAAAATATATAAATGCATAATTAATGCAAAGAACCATTAAAACATGAAATAGAAACAAAACATACAAAAACATAATTAGTAACATCAATAATATATGAATTCAATCAAGAATAATGTATGTTATATTGTAAAATAACATGACATATAAATCTGAAATTTATAAAATAATTACACTCACAATGCTAGTAAATTCTCCTGCTTCCATAAAACTGAATCAAGAATTTTATTAATTTCTTCAACAGAACCAATCCCTCCATTAACAGTCTAAAAGAATTAAAAAAATATGCAATTAGTTACAGAACTACTGCTTTTATGTTAGTTAATAAAATTAGCAGATTAGTAAAACCAAGAAATAAAAATTGTGTAATATTTTATATCAAGAAAAGAAAAGTAATTTAAACCCTCTTTCTATATCCAGATGCATATTTCTAATAAACTTCTTTCTCAATAATGACAAAAATTTATTTGTTTTACAAGAAAGCATGACGGTTAAGAGTCAGAATTTTACAAACAAGGCCACTTAAAGTTTAATAAAGATTTTTTGTTGATTTTGTTGATGTACAATTTGTGTTGACTAAAAATTTAAATTTTTTATAATCTAAGTTTCCGTAGACACAATTTTTGTATAGTAAAACACCACTTTTGGAATTGTTTAGCATGAATGAACAAATTAATATCAAGCTCAATTTCGCAGATTATCCATCTTAAATAAAACTCATTTTTATATTTACTTTTAAAACATATGTTAAGTTAGAAGATGTAATAAATGAAAAATAAGTTAATGTACAATAAATGTAAATTTCAGAAAACACCTAACATATCCACGTGGTGAGAGAAGGAGTCAGTCAGGTTACATAATACTATAGAAGATAAAACTTTACATTTTTAGATTTAACAATAAAAATATTTAAATTTACACTATAATTCTACAATAACAATTTTCAGACACTTTTATTTTAAATTAGTTACTTTTTTAAATTTTATAAAAAATTTTAATACCTTTTACCTATCACTTGTGGCACAAATGTTAGACTGGTGTTTTAGTTATTGCTCTGATTTTCTATTTGACGTTAAAACTCATTTTTTACTTTTGTTTTTATTATTATTACTTTGTATAGGTGCTAAAATATATTTTTGATTAATATTGTTTTGTTAATTTAACCTCCCAAAGATGGATTCAACCACTGTTAGATATTGATTTATGAAATATCTATGATTTTAAAAAAAATTATGTGGATTATTAAGTCAAATTAAAAATATTTCAGATCAAACTACTAAAAGAGAGCTCCAACTCATCTCTAATGTGCATACTAAAAAGATAACTGATATATAACAATGTTGTTTCTGTTTTATGCCACTTGACAATGCTGACAAGACTATTTTAAGGCAGTGGGGTGCACTTCTCGTTTATCAGTGACGCATTCTATGACCAAAAATTCAACTTCTGCCACACACATACATCACAGCCCATTTTACAAGGAGGACACATTCACACACCATCCATCCATTCACAGATCGTAATTTTGGCCTGAACCAGAGTACAATTAATCTCCGATCCAGTACCCCCAGAAGAGCTTGAAGGGCTTTGTGACCCCAACAGATTTAGCCTGCGCCAGATATAATTTGTACACAGGGAGTCTTCTGCCCACAGGAATCGAACTCATGACCTTTTGGATTATAACCCAGGCTATCTCAGCCCATATAAAACAATAAATATGATATAATAGAAACCTGTTGAAATATATCATGAACTAAATTTCCAATCATCATAACTTTATTCCCTGAAGACCAAGATGGCAGGATATGGTTGAGGACAGCCTTCCTCATGCAGAATAATGTTGAAACAATGGCCGTGCTTGACAATAGGAAATCAGGGTTGACAACAAGGAATCCAGTTTTGTCATTTATAACACATGTGTCCTTTTCAAACTCAGACATAACATGCACAATGTCTCCAACATTGACTAAACTATCAATCCTAGAAAAAAAAAATAATTTTTAAAGCTTTGAATATACAGTCAAACCCCGCTATAGTGAACCATCAAGGGACCGAAATTTCGGTTCACTATAACCGAGTGTTCACTATATCCGTTCCGCAGGCAATTTAACTAATGGTTCCCAAATTCCTCCCTTTAATTACACATTATTTAAATAAATGACTGAAAAATATTAAGTAGTAGCAAAAAATGTGCTATTTTTCATTACTCTTCGTCTTGCGTACAAAAAAAAAATTTAGTAATCTCTAGCTGATGAGCAATCCTCAACATCAGATATGGAAACACTTCCCGACTCTCAGCTCTCAGACAATTTTTCCTGAATTTCTGTTATTCCGTTTTTTAAACATGTCTAACTTGCCATTCGAGCACATAAACATAGTCTCATAAAATTTTGTCCAGATACTGGAAGATTGCGGCTTCTCTGAACTGAGAGCAAAAAGGAGTTGAAATGAGGGCCTCATCAACACATATTAGTGTCCAACCCTTTGACCAATAAGGAATAATTACTCATTCAATCTGACAGAAATCTGTCTGGCTTGGAAACATCTGCTTGGTTTTTTCAGGGATGGGGAAGTGAGATAAAAGTAGTAAACAAGAAAAATGCTTATCACTATATTCCCCCCTATAGATGGTTTTAAAAATCGGTATATGTATTTATTTTGAAGTAGAAATTTCAAAATTATTACAAAAAAAAAGTCAATCGAACACAGAAAAAAGTTCCTTATATCCAACTTCCTCACTTTTTTGGTTCACTATATCCACAAAAAATAACATTATGCGTGTATAGCAAGGCACGGGACCAAACATTTTGTTCACTATATCCGGGAGTTCACTATAAACCGTGTTCACTATAGCGGGGTTTGACTGTAATAATAAAGTCTTTAAAATATACACATCTATCAGAACTAGTTGTGATAACATAACAAATCATTGTAAACACTATAGTAATTAGTAATGTAACATTAATTTATAATGTAAACATAATGATAACATTTAAGAAACAATGTAAATATTATGAATGACAAGCAGATGCAATAATCTAAGACAAATTTCACAGACATAAATAAAAATTTGAAACACATACCAAAATCCTCTAAGATAACATGACTTTAAACTGGAATCTTGAGCTTTCAAAATCAATTTAACTTCATAAGGAACACTGCTTCGATTTACATCTTGTACTCGAAACAAAACAGAACTTTTTTGTGATGAGCTAAATCTATAAAATATAAAGAAAACATAACTGATACAATATTTAATTAAATAAACAATGGTAATGTCTTTCAGAATTTGGGTCTACAATGCTGTGAAATTAATAAAAAATCACTAGATAACTCAATTTTTTTTTCACGTCAACACTTTAATTCGGATCTTTTCTAAGCTTTTGTATTGTGAAAAACACAAAAATTTGAAAAAATGAAAAGCAGTAGAAACCAGATTATATGAATGCTTATCCAATAACCTGAGTAGGTTATCAAACACCCCTTTTGATGCACATTAAAAGGTCCCGACACAAGTTTCGAAATTATTACAGTTAATGTCACCTAATAATTTTTTAGTTTTTGTACCTTGTGCTAACTAAATCCAATTCAATTTATTTATCTATTTAGAATATTGAGAATGAAAATTAAAAACAATTTCTAATCAAAATTAAAAATAAAATGAATACTGAAATCGTACTATAAAAAGAATAATTTAAAAAATACACAATGAAAATAGACCAAATATACGGTATCTGACATAAGTTGCATTGCTAATTCATGCAAGACAGGGATTTCTAACCAGATGAAGGGAGAGTTTAAAAATATTACACCTAATGTTGCCCAATAACTGTTTCCTTTTTGGGGCCACGTGCTAATTAAATCCCTCACTAAATCCAATTCAATTAATTTTATTTTAAATATTGAGTATGAAAATTAAAAATATATAATAAAAATTAAAAATAAATTAATAATGAAATTGTAATATAAAAAGAATAATTAAAAAAAATTCTAATTAAAACAGGCTAGATATACTGTATCTAGCTAAACTGACATTGCATCACTATCTTTATAAGTAATCTAGTTGAATTCTTCAAACTTTGTTTCTGCGTGTGTCTTTTAGAACATAAATTAACAAATTTTAGATTTTAACAAATATGTGTAAAAACTATTTCTAACAATGTAGAGTAAATAAAATGATTTCAGATTATCATTTATTAAATCTATTTAAATTTCCACCAAAAAATTTTTTTTGAAAAGTAATTTTCAAAATAATACTTAGCCGAAAATTCAGCCAAAGGACCGAATACGCTGAATAGTGGTCGAATATTCATTGCATCCCTAATTTATACCAAATGTCACATTTTGTATTCACATAATTTAAAAGCCACTATTATGATTCGTATTCAAGGGACTTAAAAATTATACATCAGAAATCATATTCACGCGATTTTAAAATTATAATAAATAAATACACTGATAAGATTAAATGACCACAAATAGCAATAATTTATCACAGAAATGAATAGAAAAAATCAGGACAATTTAATTTTGAAAACATTAAATGATTGATAACATTAACAGAGATCACATTAAGCTGAGTAATGTAATAAGAAAAAATATATATTTATTATTTAATTCCATTTATGTTTCTTCTTACTTAAAATCATTTTCATCAACATGAGGTTCCAATAAGGTGACATCTTGGATAAAAGTATCATTTTTCCATTCTAGCTCAGTCATCCAACTAAAAGAATTTTCCATATCACAAGTAATATTTTTGGAAGGAGAATCTCTGCATTTAACAACTTTATTATCAGTCTCATGACCAGCAGAATCAAGTCTCAGATTTTGAACCTCAGAGCAAATGCTTGTATCAATTACTTCTAAATGTGAATTTGTTTTAATGTTTTCACAATCTTTGCCAGTCAAGAAAGTAGAGTTTGATTTATTGTTCATGTTTGAGGCAACATTTTGAGAATCAGTCTTACTAGAAGTGCTTAGAAGAGGTGCATTAAGATTGTGACTTAGATCAATTTTTGCATTAACTTGCGGTATGAGACATGTTGATGCAGATAATTTAGAAGTATTGCATTGCAGCTCTGCAGTTTCAAACTGGTTTATTAAATTCGTTTTGACAGATTTATTCACAGAACAAGTCTGTCTTGCACTTTCTAAAACAGATTTATCAAATATGATATTAACAGAGCAATCATTTTTTGCGGTGTTATGATGTTGATTTAGTTGCTTTTCAGATGTATGTATTTTTATATTAGAAGAAGATGTTCTATAGACATCACTATTGTCTGACGTTCTGTTTTTCATCATGTAGTTAAGCAAAGAGACTTGCTTGCTCTTGTTCTTAAGTTTTTTATAATCAGGAGATCTTTTAGTTGGAGAACTTGTGATTTTTTTTCTCTTGTGGGGTTTTGAAATTTTAACATTAGATCTGGCAAGTAAAGATGCTTTCTCTTTTATATTTTTTGGTGTAGGAGGAATGAAATCATCACTATCTGATATTGGTTCCATGTTAAAATATAAATAAATCTTTCCACTGATGAATAAAGATTTCTTTTATAACTTACATTTTTTATATATTACAAGTTAATGAATAATGTATCACAATTGAAAGTTTTGAAAAATAAAGCAAATAAGTCCATATATAAAATATTGTATTTGTTTTTACGAAAATACATCTGTAACAGAGAAGATAAATACAATAGTTTACTATCTAACGAGAATCAACCTGCGCGGGTATAGGTGGTAAGCTTGTAGCTGACTATTTCTATGCAGTAGAAAGACTAGTTGAGAAACGATTTAAAAAAATTTAAATACAAAGTGGTTAGCAACAGCATGGTAAAAAATTGCAAAGATTGATTTTGTTACAAAATTAAACTTTCGGTACTTTTGTAAATGTTTTATTTACATTTTTAACAAAAGTTAATAGTATTTTTTATAGTACTGTAATTCGAACTAAACATTTATAATTTAATTCGATTTTATAATGGTTTTTTCCACTAAAAGATAAATTCTATTTGGTTGGCTGAATTGAAAATAGCTTTTAATTCCTAATATGTTGCGTTCAATGTTAAAAAAAAGTTCAAACTTTTTGTATAATATACCTTCCTTTAATAAACTAGCAATATCAGCAAATATTTCAAATCAGGTGATTTTTTATGAATTTAAATAATTACGTAAAATACTCCTAAATGCATGGATGTAATATTGATTTTCGCAGTATATTAATTTTAACAATTGTTTTAAATTAAATATATTTTACGAGTATGCCAAATTTATGATGCTTAGGATACAATAATTTATAGATTAAAATATACTTTTTTAGTTTAATTTGGGGATATTTCCGTATCGTGATCTGTAGCAGAAACTGCTATCGCCAAGGTGCCAAAGAGATTTTAAACGTGCAAATTTTTAAAAAAAAGATGTAGATGATGGCTACGAGTTATATCTTTCGAGTTGGTCCCTTTCTGTGATGTTTTTTATAGTGGGCTGCTGCCCAGAAGTTGCCAAGACTTGGTGATTATTCTTCCACAGACCACAATGTGAAAATCTCCCTCTTAATTTAACTTTCGAATCATGTTGAGAATATTCATTAAACAACTAATTATTATAACCATATTCCGTGTAAACGGTATTAATCTTCTTCTCCCCCCCTTTTTTTGCAGGTGCAGCCGAAGCTAGATGATCTTTACAAAAGTGTTCTTGTAGAAGTCAGAGGTCATGATCAAGCAGTCTTAAACAGTTATGAGTGGTTTGCTAAAACATCTGCAAATGAACTTGGATTGAAAATTGCTAAAATGTAATTTACATTTCAGAAATTTTACCTTAAAGTAATTTTCATAATTCTCTTCAACTTTTTATATGATTTAATGCCAAGGTTAATTTAATTTCCTGACTTAATACAAAAATATATATATATATAATTTTATGATTGCCCGTGTAAAGCTAAGCACAGATGGCGGTATTGGTTAAAATTCGTCGTAAGGCTTCTGGGTTACTATTTCCGATTGGTTATTATGCCTGAGATTGAAAAAAGGTGCAATCAAATATTATTACACTTGAAGTGTTTACAATATAACACATTTTTTCAATTTGAATTTCGACCAAGCAAACAACATATAAATTTGAAAGACTCTGCGACCATAGTATGCTCTGCAACAGTGTTTCCCAAACTTATGACTTTTGTGTACCCTTTCTAAATTTTTCATAATGCTGTGTACTATTAATAAAAAAATTAATGTATTTTTTTCTGTAAAGAAATTGTCCAAAAGTTAAAAATCACAACTGGCTGTTGATACCCCTAATTATTAATTGTTGACTCTGCAAAAAATATACGATATCGTAAATTTTTATGTCTAGCTTTGTTTTTAAATAAAATTTTGTAAAATTTTCGTTTGTTCCAAGATATTTCGCATACGAACGCGTACCCCCGCTAAACTGTTCCCATACCCCTGGGGGTACGCTTACCACACTTTGGGAAACACTGCCCTGCAAGATGCAACCCAAAAAATAACTAAAAGTGATATTTTACACAAATATAGCAATATACAAATAAAGGAACACACTCAAAATATGGCATGCCTTACACCTTATTTATGTTGTGATATTTATTTTCTTAAATTTGTTTTAGGCTAAAACCAGTTAGAATTTATGAATTATAGGAAATTCTTATGAATTTGTAAAATAACACGTAAATTTGAGCGAAAATAACATTAATAAAATTTCCTAGAGTATTAAGCCTTTTCACAACTCGCCTGATAAGCGGAGAGATATAATGAAAATTTTCTAAATTTCTTCCAGTTTTAGAAAGCTTGGTATTGTTTACATTCAGTCAACCATCAATATTCACTGATGGTACCAAGTCATTGATGGCATTGATACCAAAAAACCTGTATGTGGCCATTGTAAATTTTATGCCTTATCTTGGAAATAATATGATGTTACATATTTTGGAAATAAATAATTTTACCTCTATAACAAAATTCTTTAAGTCAATACATTAACAGATATGGATAAAATACACAAACACTATTTTGGGAAAATTTTTCATCATCACAGAGCATTTTCCTAGTATTAATTACAGAAAAAAAGCGTCAAAATTCCTCTATATTTTGTGCATTCAATATTTTTAGTATCAGGGACACACTTAATTTAATCACTTAATTACTCACTTGAATTTAAAAAGAAAATGATAGAAAGAAAAAAAATGGTCAAAATTCCCCTATTCTGCCTTGCGGTCAATCAATCTATCAGAAGAGAAATTTTTCTTCTCTGTTTCACGCAGCGTACTTTTCCTTTGTTTATCTCATTGTTTTTTACTTTCAGGCATCGAAAATTTAACGGGCAGCATTTACGCTCTCAATTAGTGCACTCACCGATGTGTATATTATCAATTATAGGCAATGTTAGGGAATTTAAGCATATGAACTTATGGTGCATTCGTTAAACCATGATCTAGTTAGAACTCACATATTTTGTAATTCATCTGTTTTGAAAATGATGAACAATTTTCTAAGTATGATAATCATCGAAGAGTTTTATAAAAAATCAGTGATTTTTCTATCAAATGTCATCAATAGTAAGAGTCAATAATTTGTTTATGGAAAGTTTTTTTAATTTAAATTTTGTGTTTGCAGAAAGTTTTTCATTTTATTTTAATCTGTACATAAAAAATTTTAATATTGTCTATCAGCTTATGGAGTTTTATCATAGTCTTTTTTTTATTTTATTGTGTTTTACCATTCTATTTCATTCGTTTTCATTTTGCATGTTTAATAGCTTTATTTTATACATAAAATTATAATATTTATATGCCTAATGTCATTTGTATTAAATTGCTCTTAAAAACATATATACTTACTCTTTTTATCTGGTTAAAGTAACTAACAATAATAAAGTTCTCAATGGTCTGCTTTCTTTTCTTTTTTTTAATTTCTAACAATTGGATTTTTAAAAATAAAAAATTAAACCTTGATTTTGTAGTTAGATATTTTTGACTATTTTCTCTTTTTTTAGATGGGAACCTCCAGTTCATAAGAAACGCAGGACACTGCTAAAATCAGTATTCATTTATAAAAAGCACCGAGTGCAATATGAAATGAGAACTTACTTTCGTTTATTTGAAGTGAGTACTTTATTACATTTATTTTAAACATTTCTTTTTCTAAGCCCTATTTCAAAGCCCTAGGCACACATTTCACAGTTGCATATTGCTTGTCTAATTTGATGCTTTTAATAATTAAGTTGCAGATATTTTTTTGTTCCATTTTTTTTAAACTATGCTAGGAGGCACCACCCCTAGTTCACTCTGCTCACCAATCCCCATGGTTGTTCTTCATTCATCATTGTTTTTTTGTAAAAGTCTATAAAAAAAACATCATTTTGTTTATAAAATATGCAACTATTATAATTTTATGTAAACACATTTTATTAATATTTTAAACGTAGTGAAATATAAGGGTACCGGGATTTGAAAAATATCAGCTATATGTGAAAAAAGAAAATTAAACTTAGGAATATAGAATGTGCGATACAATGAGAAGTAGTTTTACTTAATAACAATATATATAAGGATGACATTCACAGCCGGATTAACCTATAGGCACACTAGGTACGTGCCTAGGGCCTACGAAAAAATTGGGAGAAAAAAATTTGTTGACAGCAATAATTTAGCTTTAAAAACAACAAGTGTATTTTGCACAAAATTATGAAGATACAAATAAAAATATAATATTTTTCGGTAATAAATTATTTTGCAGAATCTTATGACCTAATTTATTACTTTTTTGCGATTTTTGGATTCAACGAAATCTTGTATTATGCTGTCGAATTCCAAACTACGCAAAAAGTTCAATAAACAAATTTTTAAATTAAAATCCATATTAATAAAAATCTAAAAAAAAAAAATATGCAAGAAAATTTTAGCATATATTTTGAAAAGAGGGGAGGAGTGGGGGAAGGAGGGGAGGGCCCAAAAACGGCTATGCCTAGAGCCTACGAAAGGCATAATCCGGCTCTGATGACATTATATTGTATAACAATTAGCATTAGAAACACATTTTGTTTCCCTAAAGATTTAGTATTCTTAAAAATTTCAATCTAAGTATTAAGATTTATTTATGGCAACATTTAATCAATCTCTTTTTTTTCACATATTCATTTATTTATTATTATATATTTATATAACTTTTGACATCAAGTTAAACTTGAGCTAATGAAATGAAATTCGCGCGAGAGAGAGAGAAATTTTTCTACGACAATGGGTAAACAGGGGTGGCAAGGTTTAGGACAGAATGGATTAATCCATGGTTTAAACCGTCCTGTCCAAAACCCCTTTGTACAAAACTGTCTTAAACTGTTCAAAACCCTTTTACTCAAATTATGTCACAATTTTATCTGAACAATATTTAAGAGGTAAAATAAACATAGAACTAATAACATATTGATAATTAAATATACTAGAGAATATTTGTTTTTAAAAGTATAATGTTTTATTAATATTGTTTGACTCTTCAATTTAAACAAAGGAAGATTAATCAGTAATCAAGTTCAATTGGTCCTCTCATTCAATAGTACATAACTGAAGTTTGGCCTTGCCATACAGGTTAAAATATTAGGGACTAAGTGCTTGGTTCGTCATAAACAGGTTTATTTATCTATAGTACTATTCAAGAATACTTTTATTTCATTCATGTTCAATTCTTTTAGCATAGTGGTGATACATCACCAGTGTCAGTAACTGAAACTGATGTTATGCCCTTCAAAACTGTTAATACATTTTTCAGTTATTTTGTATTTTCAATTTAAACTAATATATTTATATTTAAAAAAATTTTTTTTAAAAATAGATGTTTTTTTTATCATCCTGTGATGCAGAAATTATAACATTTTTTTAAAAAAATATTGTGAAAAATAAAAGGTTAATTTTTGAACAAATTTAGTTTTTTTTTAAAGAAAAATTATTATTTTTTAATATTGCCATATTTATCCTTATGCAAAAATATTATTTATCAGTATTAAAAGCATATTTATATTTAAAGGATTAGGTATTCACTTTTGTTGTTCAATGAATTATGGAGCTTCAAAAATTATAAACCTTTTTCTATTATATTATTTTCTTTTGATAAGTTAAAGTAAATTGTATTAAAAATTTCAAATATTTATTGATACATGTAATTATTATGTGTACAATGGTTAAACCTATAGAATTTTTACCTTTTACCAAAGTTCAAGGTTTTTGACAGTTTTACCCAGTTAGGGACAGTTTTACCCAGTTAGGGACAGTTTTACCCAGTTAAGGACAGTTTTACCCAGTTTAAGACAGTGAAACCCACGTATCCTGTCCAAAACCAGTTTAGGACGTCCAAAACCCCAACCCTGTGGGGTAAATAACTATTATTTAATGATAAAAAATTAAAAAAATACCTTAAAATTGCAATAACTTTTGCAGGAATGGAAATTTTGCAAAGAAAAACTCTCATTAATTTTATAATTCAAAACGGCCCTATCTTCACTTCAAATGTTAACTTTGCAATTACATTTCAGAGGGCAGTAGATCGACCTACAATTATACTTTTTTTACTGCAAGTTTAACTATTAATATTTCTCAAACTAATAATCTAAGCATAAATTTTTTTATTCCATTCTACTCCTTGAACATTTTTCTACATACCATTGTAATTTCAAGTTGTTAAGTTTTGTAGTTTTTGCAAGACAAAATAAAATTTTATGTAAAGCAAATAGGTGAGAAAAAATTTGCAAAAAAAAATCATTTAAAATTGCAGTAAATTTTGAATATATTAGAATCATGAAAAAAATCTGTGTTAATCTCATATACAAATATGGCCCTTTCAGCATGCCAAATTTTAAATCTACATTTTCATTCTTGCAACTTATACAGCCACCTGTATTGTATTTTATCCATGAAGTTTAACGGTTAATAATTCTTGGAGCAATTGCCTAATGTTACATTTTTTTATGCCATCATAATGTTTATTTTTCTACTCTTAGTAATTTATAGTTTTTAAGTTTTTAAATCTTATTATCTCTGCATAGCAAACCAAAATGTAATGTTAACTTGAACATCCAAAATACAATAAGTTTGTCAATTACCCTTAATAAGAGAAAAAAAATTTGTATAAATGGTGGTAATCTTAGTTTGTGCCTAGGTATGGTATTTATGGATTGAGTTTATGTTATAGAGTTGTGAGCAAAAAACCACCATACAAACCTGCCCATATGCTTAGTAATTTAGAAAGTTAATTACCTTTCCACCAAGGAAATTTCACTTCTGCAGGTTAAAAGTTTAAGCTGCTACTAAAGATTAATTACAATTAACTGTTAATTAAGTTACCTAATTACATAACATGAAGCTAGAATTGACAAAAAAATATTGATCTAATGATACGGTTTTAATATTCTTGTTTTCAATAACCATGGTTTGAAAAGTATATTTATACTTATATTTGAAAAGTATGTATATGTGTGCTATTTGATTAGTGCTGACTGTTAATTAAGTTTTAAAATTTAAAAGTCAAAACAAATTTTCTCTGAATGTCTAATCAATGTAAATTCAATAAGAAAGTGTAGTTAAAGGATACTATTAATAATACAGTATAGTAAATATACATTACTGTGAGGTAAAAAATAAATACAGATGAACCCCGCTATAGTGAACCATCTACGGACTCAGTAATGTGTCCACTATAACCGATGGTTCACTATATCCAAATTTTTTGAAGAATATTTGTTGCTTAAGACAGTTGAATGATTGAAAATTGGGTTTGCAATTTTACATAAGTCATTTAAAAAATTATTAACTTATTAACAGATAATAAAGCAAAAATTGATGAAAAAAGTACTTACGGTTTTTTAACATTTTTAAAGCACCTTGGTTTTTGAGATTTACCTATGACAGTTAATTTTCGCTTTTCCGAGCCATTCNGAACTTGGCCCCGCCTCCTAAGCTTCAAGGTTAAGAAAGAACCAGTTTTCTTTCTTCACAAGGAGGAAAAACAAAGTGGTAGAAGAATTCCTCCTCCTGAGGGGATTCCCCTTTATATTCTTTGTTATCTATACTGAGCTGATAAGATTGACTGGAATTTCCTTATCAGCTATGAACTTTCATTCACTCCCCACCCCTACCTCTTCATCTACTGCTTCATTGTTGGAGAAGAGTTGTGGTTTTGCACTCTTGCATTAAAATTTTTATTTTAAGTGATTTTTTTAAACTTTTTCTTTTGAAAATTTTTTCTGACAGAACTGGACGTATGAGTCGGATTTTAGAGATTTCCGGATTTCAGAAGTCCGGATTTTCGAGGTCGTACTGTAATTCTGTATAATACTCGGCCACACTTCAGTTTTCCACTTTTCCACATCCGTTGCATCAACACTCGCTTCTTCTCCAACAATCTTTCCTGAAGAAGTATTATTCCGTTTTTGGAATCTATCCAGCCATCCATTGTAGCACACAAAATCCCTTTCCTCTAATTTTTCAGCAAACTCATTCGCTTTAATTTGAACCATAGGTCCGGTCACAGAAAGATTTCTATCCCCCTGAGTGGTGAACCATTTTAACAAAGCTCCACGCAGTTTTTTCGATGAAATCAAATTTTTGTCGTATGCGGCAAGAATTGCACTTCGATTTTTCCAAATGTTTGAAACTCTAGATTTTGACAAGGAAAACTCCTTACACAGTGCCGATTGATTGTTCCATCTTCAATACGCTTTACAATTTTAACTTTGTCCTCTATGGGAAACTCTTTTCTCTTTAGAGAATTTGCCATTTCCACTGCTTTTGAAATAAAAATCTTGTCTCAAATAGATAATGTAAGAATATGAAAAGAGCAGCTGTAGAATTAGTTAAATTTCCCCCTTTTTGATTGTCAAGGGGTGATTTTGAAAAGAATATGGTTTGAACAGATAAGAAAATTCCAAAATTTCAGCAGGTGGCCAAGTTAACTAGTTGTAGAGCAAGCTTGGTGAAAAGAGACAAAGCGAGGCTTGTCAGGGAAGGGGGAGTATAAGATTCTGTTTGACATTTATTACAGTATAGTTAAAAGTGATGAGCATAAAGGAGTGAAATATGACACATTTTATAGGAATGCATTCATTTTCACTCCCAACACCTACATGAAATTTGCGTCCACTATAACCGAGTTTCCAAGTTCTAAGCTGTTCACTATAAGCGTTAAAAATAACATTATTTAAATAGGAGTACGGACGGGACTGCTAAAAAAGTTCACTACATCCGAGTGTTCACTATATCCAAGGTAACTATAGCAGGGTTCGACTGTACTATTCCTAAGTTTTAATGCAATCTTTTAACTTGCATAATTATTGTTGGTCAAATATTCTAAGGATAATTGTTTGAAAAATGTTTCCTGTTTTAGTGCAGTATTTGATGTGCTCACATGAAACATACTTATACAGTCTGTTTGATTATTATAGATTAGAGATTTTATTACAAATCTCAGTTTTCTAATGATACTCTTTTGATTACTACCTAATTCTATGTCGGAATTAGAATAAGTTAAGTTATGTTTAAAAAATATCCTTTAAGCATTCTTTACCTTAAATATTTTATTTTTAAGCCTAAATCATGTATAAAAATATATATATTTCATTATGGTACCATAGCTCAAACTATGTGCTTTTAGTATTCTAAAAATATGCATTATTATTTTTTTTAGTTTAAGCACTTAACTGGTTCAACTGCTGATACTTACCTGGAATATATTCAACGAAATCTCCCTGAGGGTGTTTCTATGAAAGTTATTAAGGTATTCAAATTAACTTAATAAGTTAAAACAAAAAAAGATTACTGTTTCAAATTTTTTTTCAATTACCTATAATTTTCTCTTTATTTCATTTTAATACTAATTTGTGCATTTGCTCTAATGTTCTTTTCTATTTTTGTTCATGTTTTTAAAATTCATTATAGTATTTATCAGCTGTATATTTTGCCTTGGTGTTGAAATGTTTAATCTTCTATTAAAAAATGACCAAATTTAAATAGATTTTTCTTCACTTTTTCAAGATTATTTTCTCATGTTTTAGTAAATTCTCATGTATTATGTTGGCCAATTTGCGAAATATTAGAAAAATTGTTATTATTGAAGATACAGATGTAAAAAAAAAACTCACTAGTTGTTTATGAAGGTTCATTGTAGGGTTTCATCTTTTTTCCCCCATAGTTATTGGATTTTAGAGGAACAATTTAACCAAATACATGTATACTAATGTTGAAAAAACAAATAGAAATTGTAACAACTCAGATGATGAGTTCCTTGGCATTCTTAGGTCTAGCATATGATGACTATGATAAAGTAGTATAAATAAAAACATAAATAAAAAAGAATTTTATAAGTATGAAGTGTGACCAGAAACTATGGGATTCTAGATGTGATTTAGTTAGCCTGATAAATTTCTTACTTAAAAACATACAAAAATCAAAAAAACTACAAACAGAATTTTTTTTCTTTTTTGTATTACTCTTTCTTTATATTATTTGTTTTTTGCCTAATTTAGCTAATGTAAATTCTAAATCAGTCTTCTTACATAATCATTTTTACATATCTATCAACCGACATTAATGTTTAAAGATGCTTGTAAATTCCGAAACTTTCTTAAAAACTTATAGTTTACTAGCCTTCTAACTTTTTACCTTTAAGCTAATCATGGCCAAATTAAGAAGGAGACAACTGGGGCTGTAGTCAGATCCTCAATTATTTTTAAACTCAGGTATTTTTAATTTTATCTTTTAAAGTTTATGAAGGAAAAATTTATTTGCGTAATTTTCTAAAAATTTAATTGATATTTTCATGTGTAATATTTTACAATTTTCTTTTAGAATCATTAAAAATGTATTAAGTATTTTGAATGTAAAATTCATAGAGGAAAAAGACAATTGGTCATGCTGTTTTCTTCAATTTGTCTCAAAAACTTGATTTTTGTAACTAATTTTCTGTAACCATCTACTAAACACTCAAAGTTTTCTTAGTAAAAATATAATAAATCAGTAAAAATTGCAAATTTTTAATTTTTTTCTTTTGATACTTAAAATTTTGTATGTTGGATAGTTCTTGCTACCACATAACACTTATAATTTAATAAAGGATATTTTTGCTGGCATGAACACTTAATCCTATTTTAATGTTTAATGCAATTATTTGCTTTAATGAAATTATTGCTAAACCTTTTGTCTTCTCAAATTTTTGTAAAACGAGCTCAATTGGATTTCCGTTACATAAAAAGTTTCAATATTTTAATATAGATAACTTTTTGATGATTTCCTAGGCTTTGTAGGTAGTTCCCCAAGTTACACATCAGCCACAGACCCCATCATACTTTAATCCATCCCTGAAGCAAAATATCTGTATTGTTCTTGCTTTAAGGAAATGAATTTTTATAATTTATTAAAAAAAAAATTTTTAAAAAACTGCTCCAAACATCATAGTTTTTTTTATTTGCAATGATTTTATTAATTTTGGCACAATTATTGTTAATGTTAGTATAATCATCATTACTGTATTAATAATAATATTTAATATAATATACTACAATTGTTTTTTATATCTTTTCTAAAATTATAATTTTAACTTTATTCTAAAAAATGTATTATCAAAAGCCTTATTTTTTTCTTTAAACCGCTCACTATTTTTTATATTAATCTGTATTAATATATATATATATATTATAATTAATTTATATATATATTATAATTAATTTATATATATTTATATAAATTATTATTAATTTATATATAATTTATTATTTTATTTTTTATTTATAATTTATATATTAATTTATATATATATATTTTTTTTTAAGGGACAAAAAATCTGCTGGTAAAATTAGGACAATTTTAAGATCAGTTTTTGTAGTTATTGATAGATATTCAAACATCATGCAGGATAAAACTTGAACATTGATTTTAAAATTATGAACAACAATTGCAGGCTTTGTAATTGTCCTGATAAAACTATTTTGTCATAATTGTTAGCTTTTTGTTCTGATATTCCTGTATTTCTATTGTATTCAAATATCCAATTTTTTAAGAATACAAATGTGGAATTTTAAAAAATAGATTTGATTAATTTTAGTTAATTATGCTGGTAAAAATCGCAAAATTCCGTACTTCTAATTTAGGTACCATATACGCATAGAGAAAAACTCTGGTTAATGAAACCAAAATCTGTAGTATTTAAATAATTCATTGGTGATTTTTCTGTTCATCTGATAATAGTTCACCCACAATTCTGGTTTTCAAAATTATAGTTCCTATCACCCCATATGTTGTAGAAAATACTAAACTGAAAAGTAAATTAAACCGAATAAATGGTTTTTAAGGTATCATGATAAGTTATTAAATTTTACCACCTTTACCAAACTTAATCAATGATTACAAAACCATATTTTATTGTAACTTCTACTGTAATCATTACCAAAGTGTTCTAATAAAAATTACTGAGCTTCTTGGTGTTCCCAAGAGTCCCCTTGGTTTGGCTCTATGGAGCCAAAAACACAATAAATCTTACCATATTCTGATACTTTTGACCATACTTTTTTTTTCTCAGTACGCTAATATACATGATTCAGGCATATAGCCTTATCCACAGGTTTCATAGTTTAAAATGTTTTTGGAAAAGAAACTCAATTAACAATTATATCAAATTTTTATGATGCGGAATTCAGTGGTAATACACTCATTTATTACTTTAAGCAAGTGCTATAACAAATCTTGTTGGGTGGTCTTTTGAGGTTTCACAATTATTGGTTTGTCACTTTCATCTAATTTTAAAAATGCTCTTATCCAATCAACGCTACAGTAATCATATCACAAAATTTTTAAATCATGAATTGAAGCCATTAAAATTACTTTTGAAGTCACTAAAGTCATACCCCAAAATTACTTTTGAGCAAAAATATTAAGTGTCACTGTGTTTTCATTCCAAGATTACTGAAACCCTACTTTAAAATTATTTGATAAAGAAATCTTAAGTTGAATAACAAATTCTAATTATACATTGATATGAGGAAAAGTTGACTAGTTGATGCTGTTTTGTTTTTGTTTTTTTTGTTTTGTTTTTTTTTTTTCAATGCAATTTGATAAAAAAATTTGTATACATTGATTTTAAACTTTGATGAATTGTTCATTATCAATGAAATCATACTGGAAACTGTTAATACTTTCTGTTCTAAGCAAAATAATTCTGATGCTAAAAATAGTATTTTATCATTCTTTTGTAATAAAATTCAATTTTATTACACTTAAGAAATGGAAATTGTACCTTTTTTTTGTTTACTTTTTAAAAAATAGCCTGGTTTATGTATATTGTTCCAAAAAATATTCTGATTTTTTAGAAAATTGTTGTTCTGATTTTTCCTTTGGCCCACTAAGAAGCGTACAATTCTCACTCAGGATTAAGCACAAAAGTAGCAGTTGTATTGACAAACATCGCAGTTGTGCACAACTGTGTTATAATTTATTTTTTTTATTCATCAGAGGAAGAGAGTTAAATTCATGTGAGCAAAACCATAGAAATTTACATGAACTTAGTTGCTGAAAGTACAAGTTTTTTTTTAAATTAAAATAATCAAACTTTCAACAACAAAAAATTATTTTTCATTAATTTACAGCTTTGGTAAAAAAAGCTCAATATCATCTTATTATAATTCTGATCACATTGAGATTTTAATACAAACATGATCTGTTATCTCTCCACCTGAAATCAGAAATTGAACAATATAAAATTTAAAATACAAGTGTCTAGTTTTACTTGAAGTTTCTGCATAGTTTAACCAGTCAATAGCTGATTCTTTATCAGAATAAATAATGCTAGAGTTTATAGAAGAATTATAAATAATTACTTACAAAATGCTTTTTCTGACCCATAACGCTTTTTTAGAAACCCATATTAATTTAAATAAATACAGATATTTAAGTTCACAGTATTTGTTATTATTTTTAAAGTAAAATGCGTATTTTATATCAGATTTTGACGTACGAATGTTTTTTTCCCCCTTTTAACTTAGAATCAAGTTGAGTTGACTAGAGTTGAGTAAAATGAGTAATATTAGTATTATTTTTGTTTTAAACTCAAAACCCAATGATTAATTGTTAGTTTTTTTGGACTTGTTAAGTATTTGTTTTTATTATTACTGTTAATTATGAATGTTTAAAGATTAATATTATAATCTCTTACTTTCAGCACCGAATAGAAAAGCTTCCTGACCATATTGCAAATCATGTAACTGAAAAGAAAACTGAAGACAGCCAGAGCAAAAAATAATAACAAATAATTGTTGTATTGACATTGTTTAATAAATTGTTGTACATTGGAATTAGTATTTAGTTTACTGAGGTTCCCATCATAAAGAATATTTTATTAGTCATTTTTTTAAATGTTGCCTTTGTACAATAAAGGGAAAATTTTTCCTCATATATTTCTTTATATTTATATTTTTTAAATTTAAGCGAGAGAAATGCAGGATTTGTAGTTGACCTTGTATTCCTAATTTTCTTGAAGAAAAATATTTTGTCCTTACTTTTAGCTTTTTATCCTGATATTCCTGATTTTTGTATGGGTTCAGAACATCCCATTTTCTAAAAATACAAATTTGGATTTTAAATAATTGATTTGATAAATCAAAAGATTTGGAGCTTTGTTCCAACATCTTTTTTTAATTACTTATTTTAGTAAAAATCATAAATATTCGATTGCTCAAACTTAGGGATTGCTCACTATATATGCATAGTTCAGACATGTAGCTTTATTTGCAGGATTTATGGTTAATTGTATTCAAACTTTTTGTTCAGGCAATTTCTGAAAATAAATTTCAGTTAACAAGTTTACATTATCAAATTTTTCATGTAATTAAGGTATTGTACATATTTATTATTTTCTGCAAATACAGTGACAAATATTGCATTTGTAGTTTCACAACTGATTTTTCTTTTAGAATTTTTAAATGAATAATTGAGCAATCATCCACTAAATTACTTTTGTACAAAAATTCTAAAAAGTATATTCATTGTGATTTTCGAGATAATTGAATCCATATTTTAAAATTACAAACTTTAAACAACAACTTTAATTAAATATTGGCATGAGGAAATATTATCTAATTGATACTGGTGTAGCTTTGTAAAGGTCAATGTAACCTTCAAAATGTTTGAATTTTAGAAGAAAATGCACAGGCAAAAATTGATTTTTTAAGAAGTTTTAAATTGTGCCACTCTTAATGAGTGGCACAATTTAAAACAACAAATTTAAATAGATGATCAATTATGCTCCTGATTCAATCATGTTATGATTCAACTAAAATAAAATATTGCTGCACATTAACAATGCATAAAGCAAATTAGCGTTCTTTTCAACTGTGCCAGGTTTAAAATTCGGACTAATGATAAAATTTCACATTCAATTCAAAATTTTGTTTTACAAATTAGTTATAAAAAGGTTTTAATGACTTATTTATTTCTTTAGTTATCAAAGACTGAGTGGTGAGGCCACAAAATTTGGCCTTTATCTGATATATATCATGGGCCCGGGTGGACTTTGATTAAAATTCTTCAGGTTCGGACCACCAAAAAACTCGCAAAGTAAAGAACAAGGTCAAACTCGCCTCTACTGTGTATGAATAAAGAGCAGCCCAACTTCGTTGTATATAAATCTTCAAAAAGAAGAATTGAATCAATTTTCAAAAACTTTTTAGGGTCTATCCACAGTTGCTAACGTAACATATTCAGATTTTTTTACATGTTTATTTATTTAAGCAAAAATAGATAAACAGAACTTTTCAAAAAAGTGCAGTCCCGCAGTGAAGTAATGGTAAAGACACGGTTCCCAGAAGAACACGGAAGTCAAGCAACACTGGCTCTGGTCAGTAAGCTGGTGGGTGAACACCTATGTAGGGACCGAGTGTGTGCGGTGTCGCCCTTCGTTAAACTGTTCTACCGTAAAGTGCTCTACTTCGCGTACAGGTCGTAAGGGTGCCAAATCAGGGGAACCATTCTCTCAGCTGAGGATCAAAATTGCGATGGCATGTCTACGGATCATACTAGGGGATGTTTCTCGGACCGTCGCCAGTAGCAGGGCTGATTGTGCTCCGGAAAAAATCCGGATTTCCAGATTTTTCGTTGACAGTGATCCGGAAGTTTCCGGAGATCGAAGGTCCAGACGTTTCAAAAAATCATTGATCACAGAAGTTTCCGGAAATCAAATTTTCAAAAGTGGAACTTAAAAACACAATTTATTTTGTTTGTAAGGGAGAGCCAGATACATTTTTTATCAGTAAATAGTTATAATCATAAACTCAAGAAAGTAAGACATATTTGTAAATTTTAATTACTTCTCCTAGAAAAACCTAGTTTAAATTTTTTTCAATTGAAATTTTTTTTTTTTTTAAACTCAGGAAATTTTCCGGAATTTTGACTTGGGCTCACGATTACCCCTGTAGTAAGTAATCCTATTTGATTCATTACTTACCAAGAATGCCTTGAACTTGAAAGGTAGTAACATAGTGAAATATACAATATAATTTATGCTGGCATTAAACTTATATTTAATATTTAATAACATTTCATTTTTGTTCTAAGCAGAGCGCGATGACAAGGACGCAAAACTGAAAAATACAAGCCCAAAATAACTGAAAAGTTACTATTTCGGGTATTTCACTAATTTGTTGCGGGCTTCCACAGCTTGTCACGGAAAAAAGTATCCGGATTTAACAAATAATCTTTTTTTAAAAAAACAGATAATTCTCAGGCGCACAACAAATACGGCGTTGTTTGTGTCCTTTCCTAGAAACAGCGAAATACTGTATTTGTTGTGTGTCTGAGAAGTATCTATATTCAGGGCTGATTGTGCTCCGGAAAAAGTACGGATTTCCGGATTTTTCGTTGACAGTGATCTGGAAGTTTCCGGAGATCGAAGGTCCAGACGTTTCAAAAAATCATTGATCACAGAAGTTTCCGGAAATCAAGTTTTCAAAAGTGGAACTTAAAAGCACAGTTTATTTTATTTGTTTGTAAGGGAGAGCCAGAGAGATACTTTATAAGCTTATATTCATGATTAATATTCATTTTTTATCAGTTAATAGTTGTTATAATCATAAACTCAAGAAAGAAAGACATATTTGTAAATTTTAATTACTTCTCCAGGTCATCATAGATATGTGTAAAATTTTAAATATATTTTAAATAAACTAAGAAATATTGAGAAAAAGGAAGGAAAAAAACTTATTTAAATGTTTTTCAGTTTAAACTTTTTTTTTTTTTTGAAATACTTAAGAAATTTTCCGGAATTTTGACTGGGACTCACAATCACCCCTGCAGTAGCCCATTGCGCAGCTCTAGTGCGACATAAATAAAGTACCTACCGACAAAAATGTGTAATTTTTAGCAGTTATTTATTATTACTTCTCCAAAATCAGGAATATGGCTACAATAACGTAATATTTTAGACACAGTAAAATCTTGCAGCAATTAGTTTAAATAAAATAAGAATAATTCAGTTAGAGGTTCAATAAAAAAAATTGCAGCACAAAAACAAGTGCATAAACTGAATTTACGTCTTATTCCTTTGAAATACTGTATATAAAGTTTTATAATTGTTCAAGAGGAGCCCAACTTGATTCCTCAAGCTATTTTAGATCGTAATTCTATTCAATTTTCATTTGTTTGATATTCTCATTCAGAATGCAAGTTAGAAAAACTGGTTAAAAAAAAAAAAGCGCGGAGCTCCTGAATTTGTTTATGATGGCAATGTTATATACTAGTTTTAAGAAAGCTATGGAATCAATATTTTCACTTCTCTATAAGCTCTAAAATCGTTAAAATAAATTTTGTAAGGTAGTTTGCCATGATTGTAACATTGGAATGTATCAATTGTAGCATTCAGTGATAAACTCGTGATACCCAATGGAGAAATTAGTAATGCTCAAATCGACTCCAAAAAAATGCATTTCATGTTAGTATTTATAAAATCTCTTAGTCTAATTCGCCCTTTAAAAATTTTATTTTGTGTTGAAACATGACGAGTACAAAGTAACGGGNCGAGTGTTGCGATCGCGAATGCTCAAATCGACTCCAAAAAATGCATTTCATGTTAGTATTTATAAAATCTCTTAGTCTAATTCGCCCTTTAAAAATTTTATTTTGTGTTGAAACATGACGAGTACAAAGTAACGGGTTTTCTGAAAACGTGTGATGTGTCATTTCAGCTTATTACTATGAAAATGGTGTACACCTCGATCTGGGTGAGTTAAGGGCCACTCTCAGCGAATGCGTTTCACGCACTACCGATCACTGCGTAGAAAAACGGTGAAACTGATTGGTGGGTTTTTGTAGAAAAATATTTTTCACCAATCAAGTTCTAATTCTCTCTCAACGGCTGTCGGAAGTGTGTGAATTGCATTTCGTGAGGATGGCCCATTAGGAAGATTTATATTTTATTCACCGCATAAAGTTTGATTGCAGATAACTAACCAACAAAATAAAAATTCTTACGAGGTCTAAAGAAGCTCTTACGGGTTACTCCGGTTCGGAGGGGCCGGGGTTCGATCCTCGACTCCACCAAGACCCACCGAATACCTGCAATATTCGTATTCATAAGATACTACATCCATGGAATCGAAAGTCCTGTGGTCGGTCGCTGACTAGTATCAATTGTACAAGGATCTGGAGAAAATTTCGTTCGCCTTCAGCTCTAAAGTTTAAATTGAGAACATGGCCTCACAAGGGAGATCTCTTCCGCAGAGGATCAAAATTGTGATTTTAGGACTTCAGCAGATCATTTTCTTTATGTTACTCAAATCATCGCTAACAGCCCATTATAAATAAAATATCTACCTATCTTATATGTCTAATAATTTACAGTCTCATGCCAGGAATAAAAACATATAGAATGTTATAATAATGAAAACTTTTGTAAACAATAAAATGGTTTTTATTTCTTATACTGTCTGTTTTTAAGTAAATCATTTTAGAAAAAAAAAAAGGTGTAATAGAAGAAATTCTGCCCGATTTGTCCTGAGTCCTATGTTTCGGTTTTGTAGTTGGTTTTTGTTTCTCTTTCCGACCCATTGCCACTTCAGTTAAAAAACTTATTTCATATGAAAATATCGTTTAAAATCTTTTGTGGCCAGTTGGTTTATAGACAAATTTATTTCTGATGAATTATTTCATTTTCTCGTATAATTAATAATAATTTACTCACAAGGTATTGGACTTGCCACGTCAATTACATGACGTCACGCTGCTATCGCCATCACCTCTTGTGTACACCCTCTTTACCTTCTTTCATGAAACGTCGCGAAGTGTTAGCCATTTTGTAGACTATATTTTCAGCCTGTCATATCTAAAAATACATTTTTTGAAGCTAACAGAACATTTCTAATATAACTTTATATTTATTCTTGTTATGTCCACAATGAATCCTGAATAGTAAGTATTCAAATTCTTTATTCGAATATTTTTCCTTATGTTGAGACTGCTCGGAACTAGTTTTGTTTCTTATGTTATATATTTATAAATGTCTTGCATAAATTATAGTTGTTGGAAGTTTCATATTATTTAAATATATTCGAATGGTTTTTGCTTGATTATCCATAGATAGTTTTGTAATTCTAGTTGGTTCAATATAATGCATGATAATTAATTGGATAAGTAATGTGATAATGACTCACTCATCTTGTGACTAGTTGCAAATAGTTTTTGATAACAAACCAACATATATTAAAACCAAAAAAACTTCACTTTATAATATATTCTTCAAAAAACATAGCAAGCTTATACTATATAGCAAAAATCTTGACTTTGGAAATGTGTTATGATTGCATAATGGCTATTGTTTACTTATTTTTTATGTAAACTACGTATCTAACGGAAAATTTTTCTTCAATTAAATGTAAAGGTTTAAACTTAAAGTAAGTTACTTTTTGAGTTAAATTATCCTGTTTATGAAACTTCAATTTTAACATTTTCCTTCTATGCGTATTTAGTCCTAATTGCGTATTTGTTTTGACTGGTTTCATCATGCGAGTTCGTGATCGATATTCCTTATCAAAATAGTTATTTAATTTTTATTTGTATTTGATAACTTCAAATCAGTCAGAAAATGTGTTAGTGACTGTAAAAATTGCTTTTGAGTGCTAATATGTCAATACCTCTGTTTACATGTGTGTTTGAATACTTCTTTTTAAATTCCTCCTAGTGTGCTATGCTTTTTAATAAAGGCGCTTTTAATTAAATGTTTAATTTTGAAATTTATATATATATATTTGCAAATATTTAAAAATTTAGAACCTAGTATTACTTTAAACATTTACATACACTTAAATCTTTTATAATTTTCCTTAAGAGTGTAAGACTGCTTTCAACTTTTCTGATGGAAATATTAGAATTTTTTTTATTAATCATGTACTACTTAAATCTCAAATTGCTGTTGCATGCTTAATTTTTATAAATGGGATTTATTAAAGTTAACAGGGGCAGTCTAGGTTTTTCTGAGAGGTACCTATTTTAAGTTTTTTAAAATAAATCAACACAAAAATATGGATTTATCATTTCTACAAAGAAATTTTTAAGAAAAAGTAATTTGTGAAGGAATTGCTAAAAGGTAGTAAATTTGGCCTGGACAGACCCCTGGTTAATAAATTTTAAAATTAAAGCTGATTATTAAATCAACATTTTGTAATAAGTGTCTCAAATGGGAATGTTTCCATATCATGACCTATGTTAAAATAATAGCAAAGTCTTCGCGACTTCTTGGCAGTGACCAGAGAGAAACTTTAAAAATAAACCTCATTACAAACGAGTAATTTGAAGGATATAATTTATACTAACTTCCAGGCAAACCTCTCCATGTATTTTTTTTTTTTTTAAATTTGAAAGTTTAAAATTCATATAGTGCCTTAGTGATTGTAGTTTCAAGACATCGCAATACAGAAATATCATTTCTCAAATACTGTTCTTTGCCTTTTCTTGAAATATTTCAGAACTCTTGTGAAATTTAAATTTCAAACAGTACTTTAAAAAATATTTAAATATTGGCTACCAGCTGTCTTTTACTAAAAGTAGTTTATAAGTAATTTATAATATTTGATTTGTGTAAATCAGTTTTGAACATCTTGAAAGGGAAGGGTTTAGTAAACCTAGCGGCTCATTTAAAATTTCATAGATGGTAGCATGGTACTAGTTGTTAGGAAACTGCATGGAAAATACCAAGGAAGTCATTTTAAGCTGCCTAAACTGCTGCTTTATTTGAACTGCATTTTATAAATACTGAATAATATTTCTAGAAAGGATAAGTGTTATGTTTTTAATAATTATTTTGCTTGTTTATAGTTTAGATAAAATTTCAGTATTTCTTATGCTTTTACATGGAGTGTAGTGGATCATCTTAACTTGGGGCATAGTGGACCGCCATTCAATGTACCTAAAAGTACAAATTTAATTTAAAAGCTTATTTATTTGAATTAAATTTATATAAATATGGTGTAAAGTATTAATACTAAAAAATAATAAATATTGAAATAAACATAATTTCTATTTAAAGTTAACAAATATTTGGAATTATATAGAACTAATAAAAACAGTACAATAAATTAATATGGATATAAATACAATTTATTACACAGCTTTTATATTATGTTGTTATTTAATAATTATATTGTTATAACTCTTCCTGATCTATGTGTGTTCACAGAAAATTTTAATGTCATTTTCCTGTAAGTCTCTAAATATTTTATCAGCAAATTTTAACATTTCCTGATTTCTATTTATTTTCGCTTAAATAAGGTCCATTTTGTGAGTGCACAAATTTTTTTCTTAATTTCTTGGTTTCATTTGATTATTTTTTTTTTCGTGAATATTCTGATCTATTTAACCTTTTAGTAATTTTATTTCAGAAAATATTTATTTAACCAGAATAGTGGAATAATGTAATTTATGTTTAATATAAACCACTAGGGTTGGTTCACTGTACCCTGGGATAAACACTGTTGCTGAACCCGGAAGGTAGAGCACAGTATCCCATTTTGTGAGTGCACACATTTTTTTTACAAATTATGCATTGCAATAATTTTTTCAAGCATACTACATTGTTACTTTTTACTATAAAAATTTTAAAATGTAATTGAGAGGTAACGTCCCTGAATCAAAGCAAATTTTTACCTATTTTTTGCCCCTAATATATTTTGATATTTTACTTTTATTGTTTTCAGTTTGTTGTACATTTTTAAAATGTTTGAGACATTTGTAGAACTTGATGACTTTAATATCCATGCTTTGATTTCTTTTTTTTCTTCTTTTTTTTGATTGCTAAGAATTTAATTAAGCTGAAATTGGTAATAAAATTATTGAAATTTATGGTGAAAATTTAATGAACAATGTTAATGAACAAAAGTACACAACATAATGGGTGTCCCTTAATGTCAAAGATGTTTGGTCATCAATGACTTTTCAAATAAAATCTTTGGAAAGTTTATTTCTCTAAACTACAACTTAATTCCTTGAAACTCTTTATGGAAAAAAACTTAAATTGAGCCTGTCATGATTCATTAGTCTTTAAATTAATTTTAAACAATTAATGCAGGAAGTAGCTGTTTTGAAATTAGATGTTTCTTGTTGGTTAAATTTAATACAGTTATTTTATATATGTATATATACCCTATGAGCAAAATAACTTGGGCCCTCATTGTACCAATATTCGCTCAATAGGGGTTCAAAGGGTCGTTTTTTTCCGATATTGGTTCTACATAGAATCGTCTGATTCACCCGATATTTTACAACCATTTTACGCCCTATAAAATTGTTAAGAGTCGCCCGATATTTTATATTCATTATTCGGCCAATATAGGCTGTATATTGGTCCCACAAAGGCCGATATTAGCCCTATATTGGACCAATTTTAAAAAATCTAGGCATCCTAATATTGGTGCCTCGGTGCATGTTCATATAAGACCCAAACTGGAGTCAAAATAAAATTGTTAATAGGGTATGCTCTGTGTTTTAATTATCAAACTTACTAAAATGTTATGCAGCAATTATAAAAAAAAACGTCATTCAAACTATGGCATAACATATAAACTTGTATTGATGTAAGAGGTGATTGCGCTCCGCAAGTTTCCGGAAATCTTAGGTACAGAAGTTTCAAGAAATCTATCACATTTATGTATTAAAATTCTTGTATATTTTATTAAAGAATATTAGAACTAGAATTTATACTTGGCATCTTTCATTTGTAAATATTTTTTCTGGTAGAATAATAAATGTGATTAGATAAAAATAAACTTGTACTTAATTATTCATTTAAATTATGCTGTATATAATTTATTCAGAATTCAAGGTTTTGAAAATATTAGTGATTTAAATCTATAATGACATTATGTTTCTAATGATTTTACTCAAGAAATTTTCCGAATTTTTGAGTTGGACTCACAATCACTCCTGTGATGTTTTCACATTACTGCTTCTAACAAGGGAAACTAGGGAAGTGTGACTCGCCAATTTTGAAATAAACTAGTGGGATGTATGCCTTATGAGGAATAATTTTAGGGGACAACATTCGTTTCGGCCCATAGAAGGTCCTGTGAGAGATAAAAAATAATTCAATATATAGAAAAATCGGTATTTTATTACTTCAATGCAGACTATTAGTTATTGTAATTGTCTCATACTCCAATTAATTTGTAATTAATTAATTTGCTAATCAATAAAATTCATTATTGATTAATTATTAATTAATTACTAATTAATTGATTGATTTGCAATTACATACTCCAATTAATTTGGAAAATTTTTCGAAGAAAAAAATTTATGGAAATTTTTTTTTTTAATTAACCTAAGAAGTTTTTCTGAAAAACAAGATATGTAAAATTTTCAAAATCAATTTTGACTATAAATATCCATTATATAGTACGTGAAAGTACCACAAAATTAATTGGTGTATACTAGATACAAAATTAATTGGAGTATATATATAATGGAAATAATTACAATAACTAATAATCTGCATTGAAGTAATAAAATACCGATTTTTCTATATATTGAATTATTTTTTATCTCTCACAGGACCTTCTATGGGCCGAAANGTGGCATTAATGATTTTACTCAAGAAATTTTCCGGATTTTTGAGTTGGACTCACAATCACTCCTGTAATGTTTTCACATTACTGCTTCTAAGTCAGAGTACAAAGTGTTAAGGTTTTCTGAACTACGATGTTCATTGCCTTGTTGGCTGAATCCTGAAAAGTAGAACTGATAGACAGAAGATATTAGACTATTAACCTAATAGCCTGAATTTGTTTTTAAAAAATTTCAGAGAGTTCAAATGATTTTTAAAGCTTTGTCATTCATGGGTTGAGAACTTAAAATTTATACAATCAAGCTCATTTATTGCAAGCTCCGATTTAACGAAATCTCATATTATGTCAAGTTTTTGGTAATTGGTTGATTTAAAACTGATCATCTGAACATAACTTGGATTATATGAAATTTTTTATAAAATTGGGATAAAATTGTAATTTTCAAGAAAACAATTGCTAAAAAATAGTTTGTAGATAAGCAACCAAAGTTTCTTATCTTTTTTATTACGAATTGTGATAACCTACTTCAAAGCTCATTCTAGGCAGAAAAAAGGGCAGGGTGCAAAAGTTTAAAAAGGGGCATTATTATTCTAAAAAGGCAATAATTTCTTTCTATGGGCCTTACACGTTCTATTAAAAAACATTGTCAAGTAATAAAAGATTTTTTTTAATTTTACTAAAAGTAGCAAAGCAATCATATTTATTACTAATTTTTAATAATAAATTAACATATATATCGAGTTAATGAGCTAATTATCTTAGTAATTTATTTAAAATGCATGCATATACTAATAAAATAATAAATGTATGTTTTTAAGTGTCAGTAGTTATGATTTAATGATAGTGGAAGTAACTGCAAACTTTCAAAGATAAGTGCAATAAGGGGGTGTGATAGCTATTTTTCCTTTCCCATATAAATCTATGTATTGGCAGCAACGACAAACTAAATAAAAAGCGTTGAAAAGTTTAAGAAATCCATTGTAGAATTTGGTGGAAAAATAAAGAAGGGTTGAGGAAAGAAAGAGTATGGACTCTATTACATCAGGGCACTAATTTACTTCAGGGGCAACAGGGTGGATTCTTTTGACTAAAAGGGCAGCAGGGTGCTGCGCCCTGTTTACCCTGCCTAGAATGAGCTCTGCCTACTTATGTATTATCATGATAAATGATTATGTTCCGCAGTATACTGATCGTTAAGACAAGGTTTCCAGCAGATCACCAAAGTCAAGCATCACTGGCTGCTGTCAGTGTGCGGGTGGGTGACCACTTGGATCAGTTTGCGTAGTGACCGAGCAGGGGTCTGTCTAGGTTTTTCTGAGAGGTACCCATTTTGTGAAAATTTAGACATAATTTGTGAAAAATTAAAAATTATATTAAAAAATCAACACAAAAATATGGTAAAAATATGAATTTATCGTGTCTTAAGGGATACAAAAATAAAATTTTACGAAAAGTATTTTGTGAAACTACCGTTTTTCCTAAAGTTGATTTTGTGAAACTACCGTTTTTCCTAAAATTGATTTTGTGAAACTACCGTTTTTCCTAAAATTGAATTTGTGAAGGTACCGCTAAACGGTAGTAAATTCGGCCTGGACAGACCCCTGCCGAGGTTGTGCAGTATTGGTCCTTGTTGAACTGTTCTTGTGTGCAGTGCTCAACTTCGTGTGTAGGTCGTCGGGAGTGCGATCCCCTCTGCAGAGGATCAAATTGTGATGGCATGTCTTCGGATCATCCTCAGATGTTTCCCAGACCGTTGTCAATAGCCCATTGTGCAGCTCTAGTGCAACATAAATGAGCAACAAAGATAAATGATTATTGCCATGAGTTCTGTACATTCAATTATTGAAGAAAGGCACAAAATCATTCATAAACAAAGCTTTCACATTTTTCTTTTAGTGTAAATAAAAACAATAAACTAGAACCAATTTTTAAATATTTTCTAATTTTTTGTGTTTTATACCTTATATTTTTAGAATTTCAGCTGATACAGGTTTAAAGAGCACCTTTATTTTAATGTAAAAATTGCCTAAATCATGTTTTCATTAGAAGAGTTTGAATGTGTATGAAATGAATTTAATTTTAACATACTTATTAACATTTTTGCATTTTTTTAATCTAGTGACTATTTGTTTAAATTGCTTTTAATTGGGGACTCTGGTGTTGGAAAATCATGTTTGCTACTGAGGTTTGCTGTAAGTATAGTTACTTAACTGTGTGTTAAATGTTATGGTCACTTTTTTAATCAATGCTTAAAAATTAATTTTATGTATGATGGTTTTGTAATTGTTCATAATTTTGTTCTGTCAATTTGAAATGTGCTCTTGAGGAGAGCATTGAATTTTTTTTTTTAGAAAAGGTGCATTTTTTTATTAGCTTAGCAATTATATTCATGGTATCCGCGCACTTGGAAAGTCATGAATTTCAATATTAAGCAAAATTAGTCATGAAATGTCATGATTTTTTTTTAAAAAATCATGGATTGTCATGGATTTAGGTTGTCGAAAAATCTAATTTTTAAAATCGATTGCTAGAGAACTTAATTTTCACCCATGTTCAAAATTATATTGAATAAAAAAAAATTTTTTTTATATAAATATGAAAAGTTAGAGAAATGTTTATTCATGTTTACACGAGCTAGCTTGTTATTCCATACCATATTTAGCGAATTTGTTTTTTTAATAAATTTTTCTTTTCTTGGCTGCAAATATTTCTCAACTGAAAATATTAAAAGTAGTTTCCAAAAATATCCGCAAACTGTTTCCTTGTATTGCATAGCAACTGCAGTAGTTTTGTTACATGTAGTGTTCTACTTCTGACTACTGCCTTATTTTCAGGGAGTGCAGAAATCTTTTACTCTTATAAATATTTCATTTGTTATGAAATTTTATTTAAAACAAATTTTGAAATATTTAGATTATGTTTTATTTCAGAAATTCATTTTGTTAGACTGCAATATTTTAGTTAATGTCTTGAATTATTCTAAACTTTCCTAATTTTTGATGGAGAAATTTAAATTAAGTAATAAAGTATTTTCTAAATGAGTATTTTTATTTTAAATGTAATATTATTTTATTACTTCAGTGTTAACCTGTGAAGAGATTTCAAAAATTTTATTTTATTTTTCTCATTGAAAATTATTTGTTAGAGCCTCCAAATGTTTGTTAAAACAATTATCTGCGCTTTTTGTTCAAGTAAAAAAGCTTAGCAATTTGTTAATTGTTTTAAGAAAAATAATTAATTCAGTTATTAAATGTAAATTTATTTTGTTAAAATTAAAAAAATATATTTGACTTGTTAAATTTTAATATTTAAGGCATTTTTTTTCTACTTTTAGGATGACACCTACACAGAAAGCTATATCAGTACTATTGGTGTTGACTTTGTAAGTGTTGTTGTTTAATGTTTCATAATATTTGCCTAAGTGTAACTATTTCATTTCATTCCAGCATAAAAATTGTTTCAGGTTATCTAATCAGGTTGTGTATTAGTTGCCATGATTAGAAGAAAATTTTTTTTTAACGGGAATAAATTCAAATGTTGTAAATTCAATTCTACTTCAGTAAATAGTTTTGCTGAAGTAGTTTCTTTAATTAAAATATATGATAGTTATAATAAAGAATTTCAAAATATTAAATCTCATTAAAAAATGTAGTAAGGAGATATAATAGATTCATTCTGTTCAAACTTTTCCCATTTTCGCAATTATACTTTTTATGATCCAAATTGATTAAATGTATTGGTAATTATTAAATATTCAATATTTCTCGTGTTTACTCATGTGTTAAAACTTGATTTGCTACATTGTTACATTTGAATTATTTTAGGTTTTTTTCCCCAATCTGTTGTGATTCCTGTATTTTATAATAAACAAAAGGAATATTAGTAAAATTACTTTTTTCTTAATGTATATTAATAGAGGAAATATTTTAATTTTTTCAAAAACTTCAGGTTAAATTTAGTTTATTGTCTAAGCGTTAAGCTACTGGGCGAAAATTGCATTGAAGTTTTTATGCTATACTACACATTTTTTATAAATGATACGGGGGTATGCAGTTTTTCATTGTAGAGTAGCCTGTAACTTAAAAGTTTTTTAAAGAAAACAGTAAAAGTGCTATTGTGGAATATTCTTTAACTTTTATTTAGCTGTTTAAGAAGTTATTTTAAAAAAATTCTTGTCTAACACATTTTTATTTTTTAGAAAATAAGAACCATAGAACTTGAAGGTAAAACTATCAAGTTGCAAATAGTAAGCCATATCTTTTGTTTCTTCTGTCATGAATATGAAATAAATATAAAATGAATATAAAATAAAGTTAATCTGTTATTATTGTGCAGATTTAATGAAATTCTAAAAATGTCAGTAGATAAATGAGATGTTAAAAAATCTTTCTAATTTTGTAACAATTTTTAAGTATCGCATAACTTACATTATGGTCATAATGTTAGTATTATGTTTTAAACAATGAAGTAACTTTATAAACTAATTGTTTATAAAGTTACTTCATTGTTTAAAAATGTGTAACTTTAAATAACTATCAAGAACATTGTTTTTCATAAATGCTTATGCTTTATGAAAGACAATGTTTTTGATAGTGAGTTTTTTTTTAAAAGGGTTATGCCATCTTCACCTATTTACCTCTTTAATTATTATTATGAAGGTTTTTTTAATTATACAGAATGTTTAAGTTTTATAATTGATATTTTATTATTAGTTCATTTTTATAAGAAAAGATTAAAATATCTTCTGATTTTAAAAAGGTATTGAGACTATTTTAGCTCATTCTTTGTTTTAAATAAGCTTTTAACTGCATTTAATGTTATTTATTGTTACCTCTGGGTAAAAATATATTGGATTGCAATAAATAAGAGCTCCCAAATATTTGCACCAAATGTAATGTAATGCAGAAATTATACATTGTATTTTGTCAAGTTCATGAAACAGAATTTAAAATATTAATATTTTTCAATAATTTTATTTACTTACTGCAATCTAATAAATTAAAGAAAAAATGGTATTTCTATTGATACCTATATTATTTATATTTTTAAGTGTGCTTTAAAAAAATATTATAATTAAGTTTTAAAAAAAATAAAGATCAGCAACTAATATTTAGTGAAACAGATTATAATTGTATTGTGTTAATGCTAGTGAATTAGTTAATACTGTATTGTCACCAATACTGTATTGTCACCAATACGAATAAAGTTTTTATTTAAAGATTTCAATATATATCTAATGGATCAAATGCAATATGTTTTCTAACTTTTAATGTGCCTTAAACATAAATGCAAGTCTATTAATAAAGCCAATAAATATGTAAGTGACTTCAGTCAAAATAAAGCAATAAGCATCTAAACTGCTGTTAATTAATAAACCTTTGAATGTGATAGTGTTTATTTCAATTGATTGCACTTTTTAATAAGTTAAGATTTAAAAATGAAAGCAACATAGAAACAAGCATGGTTACACTGATCATACTGAAAAAATGTAATATAAGGAGGGTTTGAATATCTGTACTTTTTTTCTATTTGTATTTCATTATCAGTAGAAGGTTATTGTTATGAAAATTTGATTTGAAATGCCTTTTTATCTGCTGAAATAAATGTTCTGCCATCCATTACTTAGAAAAATTTCTATATGGTTGTGAACGAAATAAAAAAAGTTCCGTAAACTCTTAAATAAATAAAATGCTGTGACATAATAAATTGTACACTATGTATAAATAAATATTCAACTTTTTCTTTCTAAATTTCTTAAATTATAATTTGAAAGTGTGATATAAAATTTATTTCTATTAAAATATAATTTTCATTAATAGTTTTTAAAGGAAATAAAGTTAGTTTATATTTAAATTGTTAGATTTATTTTAACTTCATTACAAAAGAAAAAAACGATTCTATGAATAACATTTGTTGGGTAAATTTTCGAAAATTATGTTCTTGAATATTTTATTGTTTTGCCATTTATCAGTGGAAACAGTTACAGGGTGCTTAGCATTTTTGAAATCTTTTTAAAGGTGCTTATTTTTGATTTTAGTTTTTTGAAAGCCCCTAAAGGCACTCTTTTCATTGAGTGTTTTTAAAAAGTGCTTAATTTTTTCCCTTTTTTGAAATTATATTTTTCTTTACCATGTTGATTTTCGCTTCGAATTATGCAAAAAGACAAGACAGAGTTCACATTATTCTATTCAATTTTTTAACAATTAATTCAACCCCAATCTATTTCGGTGTATTGTCAGTCCATAGCGTATGAAAGCGCCATTTGTTTTACACGATTCAAAATTTCATAGTTTTTGACAATTGCCAAAAATAATGATGAAAGTTTTTTCTTTTCTTTGACATGACGTTTAAAACATGATAAAACCGTCAATTATCAACTTTCCAACCCTGCCCATTTATGATATTTTTTTAAAGTGCTTAAAAGGTGCTCATTTTTTGTTGAATAATTTGGCTACACACCCTGAGTTAAATTGTGCAACTTTAATACCTTTGAATTTTGAATAAAAATTTTGCTTTCATTGTATTTAAATATATTAACTTCAGGTATATCTGATTTCTGCATGATTGATTTAAGGCTCTGTAAAATTTAAACTGTTAAATCTCCAAGGTTAATATGTTATAAGTAGTTAAAAAATGTTTTTATTTGTAGTGGGACACAGCTGGTCAAGAAAGATTTAGAACTATTACTTCAAGTTATTACAGAGGAGCACATGGCATTATAGTTGTATATGATGTAACCGATCAGGTATGTGGGATTTTTTGTACTTTCAAGAGAAATTACTTACTTTTTGCTTGTTTAATAAAAAGATTTAATGGTGGTGTCGATTGTCTTGTGTGACAAAACTGTCTGTGATTTCTGTATTTTTTGTCATTATCAGGGATAAGATTTTTCCACTTTTTAGCGGATTTCCGCTTTTTTCACTTATCTCTTGAATTTCAGTTTTTTTTAATCAAAAATTCAGATTTTTCTAAAAATTTCACTTTTTTTTAAAGTATTCTGCTTTTTCAAGAAATTCACTGATTTTCAAAGAGAAACAGAAAATTCAAACTACAAAGCTAGCAATCCTTTCTCATTTTTACTTATTATAGCTATTTTCTCCCCTTTTACTCGCAGCAGATAAGATTTTCCGAATTTTTTACCCGCCCTCCAGATAGATCCGATTTTCGTAGTTCAAACGACGCTGCTTCTGACAAGCCTTTTAGAGGTCCCAAGCCTGGAATCTGCTAATATCTCGATTCTTATTCACACGATTTTAATATCAAACATAGCTTTTCATATTTGCGTGTTGCGATTCTTATTCACGCGATTTGAATATTGTACGTTGCGATTCTTATTTACGAGATTTAAAAATCCGATATTGTGATTCGTATTTACGCCTTTTTAAAAACCTATGTAGCGATTCGTATTCACGCAAGTTTAAAATTCAATGTCTTGATTTGCTCATGCGGTTTATAATATCAAACATTGATTTTCGTATTTATACGTGATTTTAAAATAAGGCATTGGGATTCGCATTCACGCATTCTAAAAATTATGCATCATAATTCTTATTTATGCAATCTAAAAATTACGCATCATGATTCGTATTTACGCAATCTAAAAATTATGAATCGTGATTTGTATTTACGCGTTTTAAAAATTCTATATCCCAGTTTGTATTTTCTCATTTTCAAAATCGTATATCTAGTTTCATATTCATGTGATTTCAAAATCCATAATTGTTATTCATATTCACGCAATTTTAAGATCAACTATCGCGATTCTTGTAAGAAGTAAATTTTTTTTAAATTAGTTACTATAAAGGTGACTGTTTTTCTAACGACGATTATTAGTATATGTAAGTGTTACAACATCAGAGAAACTGGAAGGGAATATATTCAAAACTTACATTCTGTGCTTGCAAAGAAGAAAAAATAGGATTTGTCACAAGATGTTTGAAGATGGACTAACGACTAAATATAGCAAACATAAAAGATATAGCAAACAAAAGCAATCACTTAAAAAGGGATTTAATAAAAAAAAATTTTTGGGGAAAAAGAGTTAATTAACTCATCATCAAAATTTTATTTATAATTGCTGTTATTTATGCTATAAAATGCAAAATTCTTATCAAATAAAAAACAATTATCTAAACAGTTGCTGATTGTCATGTAATTTTTCAAACTAAAATAGCAATTTTTGTATGTTAAGGAGTTACTATATATTTCTACTTCACTGTTATTGATATGTTTCAGAGGGCTCTAGTTAGATTAGACTATAATATGAACATAATGATTCGGTCCATTGTTAAAGTTTTTTTTTCCAATATAATTTAAAAAGTAATATTACTGATATATTTGCTATAAATCACATAACAGTATTTATTAAAAGAAATGAAATATTAATGTATATTCTCAGTAGTTTTAATTTGCTAAACCAGGTAGTTTTTCAAGTAATAATTGTCTCTTATGTGAACTGAGGAAAAATATAATTTCCAGCTTTATTTTTTCAATTGGTAATTTTTATTTTCACTAAATGTTAAGTAGCAATGTAATCATTTATATAATAATCGATTAGTACACAATTGTATGTCAACACATTATTTATTATCTTAAACTGTCTGGAATTTATTATTAAAGGATTGCGCTTTACGTAAAATTTACGATCATGAAAATTCAGCTTTTTTGCCTTTTGGCTAATCTCATCCCTGCATTATGCTTCAACCTCAAATTCTACATATTCAACCTCAAATTCTACTAGTTATGACAGATTTTTTTTTCTCTATTTTTTGTGTGACAATATCACCATTCTTATCTTGGCTCTTCTTTATTTCAGGAATCCTTCAATAATGTCAAACAGTGGCTTCAAGAAATTGATCGTTATGCTTCAGAGAATGTTAATAGATTGCTTGTTGGAAACAAGTGTGATTTGACACCAAAGAAAGTTGTAGATTATGTTACAGCCAAAGTAAGTAAATTTTTTTTTTTCATTATAGTTTCATTTCATTAAACTTTTTCGTATTTTAAATGTGTCCACTTTTGTTGTGATCTTAACTCATGTTATGATCTTAAAACTTATTATATAATTTCAGATTTCAATTAATATGAGAGTTGCAAATGATTATTTATCTTTGATTTTTATGTCACTTAATCACAAGTAGTATAAATGGGGAAGGCATGTAGGGGTTAAAGCTAAGACTGGCTCATCCTGGGCTGGAGAGAGCTTAGACTACTTCACTAAAAATAAGGTTTCAGACTTGAAGTGATAAAATTTTCATTAACCTTTTACTTTTAAACAAACATTTAGTAAAATTAAGTATAAAAATTTGTGATTAAAAGGTTTTGATAACTAATTTTGTTCAGGTATCCGGCATATATCTGACCTCTAAAAAACAAGCCTGAACTCATCTAGAGGCAATATTACCAAATAAGTGGTTTGAAAGTTATCTAAAACAGTATTTTATTATTTTTTTATTAATGTTTTTGGGACATGTTTTTATAAATCTTAATTTTGTTAAGTCAGTGGTAGTTAAAATATTTAAAAATACTACAGGATATATTAATGTCACAACTCATTGTGGGCATTTGCTTGATAGTGGCAGAACTTGACTATTTTACTTGTTGGCAATAGCCTTTCTAATACTGAAGGATACTGATTTTTTTTTTTTTTAGTATGTAGATGAGTTAAACTTAGAAATGTTTTTCTTTATCTAAATATATAAAGTTAGTGAAAAAATTACAAATCCATAGATGAAAAAGTTATAATTTTCAATTTGATATCTGTTGTAAGTGCCTTTCAGATTTGTGTGGGATTTTAAAGTTTTTTATTAATATTAGTTTAATGGGTATTCAATTTTCTTTTTGGCTCAAAGAACAAATTTTCTTCTGTTTCCCCCCTTTATAAACAAGGCCTCAACATTTCTGATTGGTAATATATGGGTATATATATCAACTTGTTTCTTCTATAAAAAATAGTAATGCATAATAGTATGCATGCAATTTTTCACTTGAAAGTATTAATTATGTCATGCTCTTGGAAACTGTCTTGTAATCAACTTATGCTCTTTAACAATTATGTGTGACCATGAAAAAATTATGCACTGTAATTAAGTGAATGTTTCTGTTTTTAAAAAAAAAATGGTTTGTCCAGATACATTTTTAGTGGGTTTGTACTCCCTACCTAATGGTAACAAATGATATCACTAAACTGCCTGTATATAAAATGTGAACAGAAGATGTAAAATTCTGCGACCTGTCTTATTTTTATCAATGTCTGTTTAATTCGCATTGTTTCTAATGTTCAATTGTGCATATTTTAATTTGAATTTTTTTTAAAGGAATTTGCTGATCAGCTGGGTATACCATTTTTGGAAACCAGTGCAAAGAACGCCACTAATGTTGAGCAAGCTTTCTTGACTATGGCAGCTGAAATTAAGAAGCGAATGGGACCACCAACCTCAGCTGCAGGTGCTTCTCATGCTAGTGAAACGATCAACCCCACTTCTCCTGTTAAACAACAAAGTGGCGGTTGCTGTTAGAGAGTAACTCTGATTTCAGTGGCTTGCATTCATTTTTTTAACAGTTGGTGAAATTAAGGCACTTGGCTTCAGTTCGCTGGAGGTAGATGTTATGGACTCTGCCAAGGGAAGAAAAAAAAATCATTAAATAGACTACATTTTGGCACCATTATTATATTCCCTTGTATTCTTCTGCTTATGTCTATTTAAAAATTCAAAATCGTGTTTTAGATTCCTAGATTGTTTTTTTCCCCCTTCTGTTTTGTTCAAAGATTAAAACTTCTGTATGAAATGGAAATTTTGATTATTTACATTGCCTTTATTTAACCACTGTGTCTAGTTATAATTCAGTCTTTATTTATATATGTAGCTCATTGAAAGTGACAAGACTATATCATCTTGCATTGAATTCTTGTAAACATAGTATTTAAAAAAAAAAAAAATTCTTGATGCCATGCAAGCGTGGCGTTTGTTAATTTTAGGTTTATCATTCCAACCCTGATGTGTGTATGTGTGTCTGCTTCGATCTTAGCTGTTTGTACAATGTTTAATGTTTGGAATTCTAATATGAAATAGTTCTTTATTATTTGATTTTTTTTAAATTCAAAATTCATTTGGTGTATTGTAAAGTATTTCCCGGCCTTAGTGGATATTTAAATTGCATTGGATAAAATTTTCCCTCTCAGTTCAGGTGTTTTAAAAAGCAAATTTTATTTTAAATATTTTACAATATTTTTAAACACTATATTGCAAATTAAGTTGTAAAATATTTGATATTGCTTTAACACGATTTAGACACTGTATTATAGTTTGTAAAAATATGTAATTTTTCCAGTAAGAAATGTTGATTCCATTCATCTAAAATGTTCTGTACTTACTAAACAATTTCATTAAATTTTTTGTGAGCTGGATAAAAAATTATTAAAGATTTCTGCGCATATGTTTCAAGCCATTCTTATAAATAATTTATTCAAATATTTAGTGCCTTAAGTTCATTCATTTGTTATGCTGAAAATTGTAAGCAAAGGGCTTTTCTAGGGTTTTATTTCCCCAGTATTGTCATTAAAATATCAAACTTAATTATTTAAATTATTTATATACAGGTTTGTTTTTTATATACTCTGTAATTAAGTTATGACTTTAAAAATGCTGCTCTGCAAAGTTTCCTTTCCAATTTTGCAATGATGAAATTGTCCTTTGTATTTGTAGAACTTGTAAACTGGCTAATATAACTACTGGCTGAATCGTGTATTGAGTATTTTTAATAAAAGAATTGAAAATTATTGCTTTGAATCCGTAAAGACTGCGGTGTTTTCTATTTAATTCTGAACTTTAGAAGTAATTATTTTTTGTTAATTCATTTTTGAATAAAATTATTGATATATGAAAATAAGCCTGTTTATAGTTCAATGAGATACTTCTTAAATATACTAAAAATATTGTTCTGATGAAAGTTTTTGTCATTTAATAAATATAAAATTATGTCATATATCAGCGCAAGAAAAGTTCTCTATAGTCTTTGGCATATTATTTTCGAATTATGAATAATTTTATTTCTATTTTTTTTTAGTGTAAAATTTTTATTTTATTATGCTTTCTCCTAATTTGGACAGATTTCAGTTTTACACTTAAAAAAATCTTTTTCTGTGCTTTCCTTTTTGCATAACTTGTGATCAAATTAGCTGATAAATAGAAACTAATTGATAACCCCTCTACTCAAATGACAATATTTTCTGGTCATTGAAATATAAAGTTAAATAGCCATAATGAACTCACATCTGCAATCGATATAGTGGTAAAAGTAAGCAAATGAGAATTTTAATAATTTTAGGCATTCTTTAACAGGGTGCGTAGCGTTTGTAAAAAGTACTTAAAGGTGCTTTTTTGGGGATTTCGTTTTTAAAAGCTTTTAAAGGTGCTTTTTTCAGCTGGCTTTTTAAAAAGTGCTTTTTTTTCCGAATAATTTTTTTTCTTTCCCTTCAGTGATATCTGGTGGATCCCATGCATTTCACAAGAAATGGGGAGTTTGCTACGTAATCATTCACGCGGACTTTATGTCGTACCCTTTGTTATGACTTGCGCATGCGCGCACACTTGAAACCGAAACCCGAGTGCTCCAATTTGGATAGAGAATATCAGATCCTTATGAAATGTTTTGCTTTTTAATTTATTTTAATTTAACATTTGTTCTTGTTTATTTTACTTCTAACACTTTTTTTGACATAGGGGGTAAGGGTACTTTTGTTCTGAGTTCAGGGTCAAGTTGAATTCAATCGATGACGTGGGAAAGTACTGATTGTTTCGATTTACGCCCATTTCTTTTTGGGGTTTTTTTAACGCTAAAACTGTTGATGAAAAGTTTTTGTTTTTCAATAATATCATTGATTAAATATGAATTTTTTGAAAGCTTGAAAATTTTTGTAAAGTGCTTGAAAATTTTTTAAAGTGCTTATTTTTGATTCAAAGATTTGGCTATGCACCCTGTTTAAGCAAAAATAAATTATGTAAAACTAAAACATTGCAATACGTTTACATGCAACCAAGTAGGTAGGGGGAAAGTTATAACATGGGACCATGGTATTTTCCCGAATGGGGCAATCGAGTATTCTGATTGCGAATTAGTCTTAGAAAAAAATATTCTGTTCCCCAACCTTCACAAGTCAATCCAATCAAGAGAAAGATATACTGTCTTTATTTAATAGTTATGTTTCTAAAAAAAAAAATTTCGTGCACTAAAAAAATAATGAATATAAATCGATTGCTGGACTTACATAGCAAATCAAGATAACCATGTGATAATGTTTCAGTCTAAAACAATGCTAAAAGTACTTAAGATTTAAGAATTGGACTTTGAAATTCTAAAGTTAGCTGAACAATACAGATTATCAATTTTTAAACTATAATTAGAAGTAGATTGCTGATTATCACTGAAAGTAGTGATGTAGGTAAAGATGAAATATGTACAGGTTAAAGCTGCTAATTTTTGATAAAATAATGTGAATGTATGTTTCAAACCTGTTTCTAAGTTATTGACAAAATAGCACTAAATCTAATGAAGTAAAATCGAATCATATAATTGGCAATCGAAATGTGCTTCAGATGGCTTAAAGCAGAACTCTCTTCCTATGGGGCCGTTCAAAAAGTACGTACACAAAAATGGAAAATTTTTAACCCCCTCCCCCCCTTTGAGTACGTACATTATTTTAGTCTGCCCCCCTTTCTCATAAAAGTTAAAATGTTTTAAATAAAATTAAATATTTATTTAAGGAGTGTGTAGGAAAAAGTCTAAATTTGGTGTATGCTTATAATGTACATACAGTAGAACCTCGATTAACCGAGGCAATAACGAAGTCTAAATTTTTTTTTCTTCTCTCCAAAATGAGCTTGGAAGAGATTATACACATATTAGTTCGCTGTCCGTGTTACAGGCACTTATTCCCCACAAAAGCACTCAACTTCCATGAAATATTACACGCTGAGAAGACAGCATCCATGATTGCTTTGTTAACAGTGGTCATGTGGCTTGTAAGTTTAATCATGTAAATTTTAAAAATACAATATTTTCTTGAGATTTGTGTTATTTTTGAAAATGCGTCTTTCGAAATTTAACTAAGTATAGTTAAAAAAAATTCCATTTTACTTTTTAAAATTTACTACTAGAGTTGATTTCCTTTTTAAGTCTTTTTAGCTGTGAAACATAAGTTCATATATGTTTATTTTTATCATTTAAAAAACGTTCTATTGTTTTATACTTTAAAAGTAGTTAAATTCGCAAGCACGGAAGGTTTTTATACATGGTTCCTATTAACTGAGATTTCCGATATCCGAGGTACTAGCGGTCCCAATTAGCTCGGATAATCGTACTTTGTATAATACCTCCCCATCGTACAAAACCGTATTTTTTGAACGGCCCCTATGGCAGCACATGCTTTCACCATTGGCGTGTGCAGAGTCATAGAAGAAGGAAATACGTTAGTTTCTGTCTTGATTTTTATATAGTTTGAAATCTTTTAAGTTGGGATACTATATGGATCTGGAAACTACATTAAAAATAGTTATAAAAGAAAGCATCATGGAAATTTTAAAAAATTTCGTAGTGTATTCCCAGGGGCCCCCACCAGGGGGGGAAGGTGGGCGCATGATGCGCTCACTTAAAGCTTCGGGGGGGGGATTTAGAATTTGCCCAAGAGCTTGGGGAGATGGGGGCCACTGCATATTCCTATGCAACTGAAAAGAGGAGATGAGGGAAGGGAGAAGGGCCAAAGACGTGGAATTGGTCTTCTCCCCAGATGGCGTATTTCAGCGTTGAAATCGCCTATATAAGAAATAATTATGCATCAAAAGCCATAAAGTATTAAATGTTATCTGAAAATAACTCTTTATATTTTACTTCTAGTTAGTAATCTTTTATAAGCTTTTTCTCAAAAGTTGGTATAAAATGCAATTAATTTCTTATTTATGATGAGAGGAAATGATACTACAGAATAAAAAATAATCCATTAATGTGTGATTAAGATTTTTCCTAGAAAAGAATATTTGTTTTCAAGGTTAAATATTTCTCCTCGGAAAAAATATTCTGTAAAAGTTTTAGAAAAGTTCTTGTGAAGAAATAATTAATATTTTTCTCAAGCTAAAATTTCTCTGGTAGTTTTTTTTTCTCTATAGTAATCGAATTGCTTCCATCTGGAAAATTTATAGCAAGCAAGATTTGATCAGTACTCGAATCCATGCCTTTTCAATTGCTTCTCGAACTAACTCTCTTTTGATCAATATTCAAACATACCAACCCTCCTTTAATCGGTGCTTGAAGCTGGAACCTAATGTCATTTTAATATTTCTCAATCCAACTATCAATGAAACCTTTTACAATGAAACCGTTTACGAACCCAAACTCTTTTGAACAATGAGCGTATCTACAATCTTTGTAATCGGTACTTGAATCCGCTATAATTTTTCAGTGCTTAAAACCACCATCTTTTTATAGATTCTCGAGCCTATTATCAATTGATTAAGAATCAAACCCATTATTTTTATCATTTCTCCAACGCACATTCTTTTAATCAATACTCAATCCACCTCTTTTTATCAGTACAAGAACCGACTATCTTTCAATCTGTACTCGAACTAAAGAAAAGTTTACCAATAATTGAACCTTCCATTTTTATCAGCAAGCGAGTCAGCTATCATTTCATCAGCTTTCACCAGTACTCGAACCAACTATCTTTCTATTGTTTTTCGTACCGACCATAATTTGATCAATAATCAATCCCTCTTTTCTTTATCTGTTCTCGAACCCGTTATTATTTGATCAGCACTCGTACCTACTTTCATTTATCAATAATCGAAACCACATCTTTTTTTATCAGTGCTGGAACCCACTATTATTTGATCAATACAGGAGCCTACAATCATTTCTTCAAAGCTTAAACTCACTATCACCCACTATATAAGAACACTTTTCTAACCAATACCCTTTTATACAATATCGATCAAATTCTCATTATTTTGTAACCGAACCAAATATCATTTGATCAAGTTGTTGCAGTTATAGTTCATTTACGTCGCACTAGAGCTGCACAATGGGCTATTGGCGACGGTCTGGGAAACATCCCTGAGGATGATCCGAAGACACGCCATCACAATTTTGATCCTCTGCAGAGGGGATGGTACCCCCTGCTTCGGTAGCCCGTCGACCTGCATGCGAAGTCGAGCACTTCGGTAGAACAGTTTAACAAGGACCACACCCTCGGTTCCCAAGCAGATCATTTGATCGAGACGAACTCTTTATCAATAATCGAATCCTTTACTTTTATTTGACCAATACGGGAGCCTACAATTGGAACGAGTTTAAAGTTCAGCCCATTCCCTTTTAATCCTAACTTGAACAAACTCCATTATACCATTTGATCAATAATCAGACCCCCTATTTTTCATCAGTATTCAATACCGCTATCATTTCATCAGCACAGAAACCTAATATCATTTGAATATTACTCGAATTCATTATCATGTGAATACTTTTCTAACCCACTCTCTTTTGTTTAATACAGAAACCCGCTACCTTTTTATCTTTTCTAGAACCCACCGTTACTTAATCAATAAGCGAATTTTTGCTTTTCATCAACTTAATATTATTTGAACATTAATTATTTGAACACCTAATATCAATGATCTGAAACCTGAAAAGATAGTTGGTTCAAATCCCATTGAATGAAAGAGATTACTGAAAGTAGAAGTTATTTTTTGCCCTTACCATCATTACGATATCGATTGCTTAAAAATAATTGCTATCAAACCGGCGTTCTGCTAAGCAGCCAAGTCAACACGTCACACTATAATATTTTGTTATCGCGTTTGTGTTTTTGCATTCGGCATGAAAGAAATTCAACGTTGTTATGGCTAATTAGTTAATTTGTTGTTTTTTTTCTGCTGAAGATTACTATATTCATTGTCATCTCCAGATTTTTGTATTGTTAAATATTGATTTTCCTGAAATTAATTTACGTTAACAATGGAATATAACCTAAAATTGATACCTCTGCTGTTAGCTTTCTTTTCTATAATTAATAATGTTTATTGCGGTGGACAGACATTGGTTCTTTTAGATAATTTAGCTATTCGTGAAACACATTCTATTTTCTTTAAGGGTTTACAAGGTAATGTATTTATTCTAGTTTGAAATAGGTATTTCTAATCTTCTTATAAGCATTTTTCGTAAAATGTTTTATGTGTATCATTAAAAATTATTTATTTGCCTATCGATATGTTAACCTTCTTTGATATATTAACCTAGTTTAAAACCTTTTTTACTTGTAAAGAAAATCCCGGAAACTATTATCGTAAACTTCCCCTACAAAAAAAAAAGAAAAAAATTTCAAATATTAATATAAATACGAATCGATAAATTTTGTAATAACTCCATAAAAATCATCGGGCAGATTTCTGTATCGTGATCTGCAGTAGAATAATCGCCAAGTCTTGAAAACTAAAAAAATCATCACAGAAAGGGACTAACTCAAAAGGTATAATTCGTAGCCACCCCTGGGCAAACATCTGCATATTTTTAAAAAAAAAAATTGCAAGTTTTTTATTTGGCACCTTGGCGATTGTAGTTGCACGACAGATCACGGTACGGAAATATCCCCAAATTACCTTTGATGTTTAATTTATTTATCCAGTCCCACTGTGGACTGATCATAAAGACAAGGTTCCTAGTAGAACACCGAAGTCAAATATCACTTTCTGCAGTCAGTACGTGGGTGTTAGATCACTTTGATTAACCTGTGTAGGGACTAAGGTATGTCCTCGTTAAACTGCTCTACGGTAAAGTGCTCGAGTACGTGTGCAGGTTGTTGGGTTAATAAAGCAGGGAGCCATCTCCTCTGCAGAGGATCAAAAATTGCAATGGCATGTCTTCGGATCATTCTTAGGGATGTTTCCCTGACTGTTGCCAATAGCCCATTGTGTAGCTCTAGTGCGACTAAATAAGGTACCTATTTAAGAGAAATAACTAATCTGTCATTGAAATATGCTGGCACACTAATGATGGAGTGTGTTGCAAAATGCTTTTCTTTCCCCATAAGTACCTAAGAGTTTTTTCTCTAGTTTTCCTGTATCTGTACCTGTTCGTGCCTACTTTAAGGGATTTTTTAAAATTACAACAACTTACAAAAAGAAGATATTTCTATATCATAGTCTTGCCAACCACAGTCACCAAGGCTCCAAAGGTACCTGTTGTCAAACTACAATTGCTAAAGCGCCAAATGGATTTTAAACTTGCAATTAAAACTTCTAGAGGTTTGTCCGAGGGTGAATTATACCCTTTCAATTGGTCTTCGGTGAATTTTTTTTTTTAGTTTCTCACGGGCTGCTGCCCAAAAGTAGCTAAGACTTAGCTATTATTCTGCCGCAGATCGCAATGCGAAATCTTTCTGCTTCAATTAGATTTTAAGCTTACATAACTTGCAAGATTTAAATCTAGATTTTAAGCTTGCCAACTTATAAAAATAGATTGTTAGAGGTTTGTTTCAAGTTAACCTTTCAAGATGTCCCCTTTTTTGAAGATTTTTTAGTTTTGCCCAGGTTGCTGTTAAGACTTAGTGATTATTCTGCTGCAGATCACAATTTAGATAATGCCCCCCAGAAATGTAGTGATTTGTGGAGCAGAGGGATTTTGGATACAAACTATACCCTTTGAATTGGTCCCTTTCTGTGATTTTTTTTTTAAGCTTCATGGAAGTTACCAAAACTTGAGGATTTCCTTATCAAACTTATTTTAGTGCGGGTACTTATATGAAAACCTTACCATTACTGTAAAATTATGTTGTTTGTAATCTTGTATTTTTGCAATGAAGAAATTTCTGTCCTTTGCATTAATTATTAGTGAGTTAAACATAAAATCATGTTTTAAAAATGAATGTTTGAAACAATATTTTTTTTTTGTATTTTGTTTATTATTACAAATTAACTATTGAAACAATAAAGAACTGTAGAAAAATTACTACAAAATAACAAAAAAAAATTTATTTTGCTGCCATGAAAAAAGTCCCTAAACTACTAATGACCTTGGTGAGGCTTAATCAATTGTTATAATTAATACTACTGATATTGTAGTAATATGGCCCTAATATAGAAAATGTGTTAACAAAATTTTTTTCTGCGCCAGGAAACTGAGCTGTACAAAATCTTACTGCAGTTCATATATTATTAATTTTTCTCAGTCATGGTAATGTACTTAGAGTTCTCCCTAGAAATTAAGAAAGGGCAGAGTGCTTTCTCTGAAAAAAAGGCACTTTGAATTTTCAAAGGAAGCTCACCTAACACCATAAAAATTTATGAAATTGTGTAATATATGAATTTGATCCACAACAATTCTTAAATTACCTTCATATGCTATTTTATGTCTATTTCAAAAAGTAGTTTTCACACATTATCAGAACAAGAGAAAAATTTGTAGTTTATAAAAATCAGTTATAGACATGCTAAAAGACAAATCTTTGATCATATATTTTTTTTTATTTCAAAAAAATATTGCACTAAGAAAAATGATTAATTGATAAACAACTTAAAAGCATTTTTCTATAATTTTAACTAAAAATTATGAACGTTTGAATGTGCATTTTAAAGAAAAGGATATTTATTTAAAAAATTTAAAATCACTTATAAAATTTATTAATATACTGTTTGCTGAAGAAAAAAAAACCCATAAAAATTTTACCAGTTGAGAATAATCCTAACAAAGTAAATACTTGTAATAGTAATTGGAATTAAACCTATAAACACAGATAGTTTACCAGTGTGTTTTGCAGTATCTTTAAGAGATGGCGACTTATTTTTGCAAAAATGACTCAGTTATAAAGATCAAAGGGCTGATATTGCAAGCCACCATTCTAAAAACGCTTAGGGAGAACACTGTATTTACATTGTGGCTATTCTTTTTCTTATTTAGAAGATTAAAATTTCTGAATCATCTAGAAATTAATCTAATTGTAATTGTTTTTCACATTTCAATTTAGCATTGAAGTTTTGTTGCCATTTTTTATTTAAGCCAGTAACACTAGCAAACTACAGTCTATGTTGAACTGTTAAACCCTCTTGCAGTATTTTTCTGAGGTACAAAATGGCTTTGCATGATAAATTTTGCAAGAAATCATACATATAATTCTCTATAAATGTAAAATTTTTGCTCGTTATAAATTATTTGCCATAATTTAAAGGACACAATGTGTTCTTTTTAAATTTTTTTTATTTGGTTGTCTTATTTGTGGGTCTTTTTGCTTTTAGATAGAGGATTTCAATTGACTTTTAAAACTGCTGATGACCCTGGTCTAACCTTGATGAAATATGGAGAATATTTATTTCAGCATTTGATAATTTTTTCTCCCTCTGTTGAAGGTATGCATCAAAAATCAGTTAAAATTCATGTATTTTCATAAATTCATGTATTTACATAAATTCATGTATTTTCAACTTCTCTGTGCCCGTTATTTTAATTTCCATGTACATTTTATTTATGTAAGTAAAGGAAATGTGTCTAGATGTTTGTGATGTAGATTCGATTGGAAAAGTTTTATAAATCAAATTGGATGTATTTTTAGAGAAAGTAACATCTTCCTCATAATTTGAATGAAAAATCAAATTTACTGATTCCGTACAATTATTTTTTATCCCAATAGAATTTTTTTGTTGTGTAGAAAATTTTCAAATAACCCTACAACAATAAACTACTTATTGATTGAATATGGTAGCCTTTGAAATTATTTGTCAGATTATTATAGAAGTTAAATTGGCGAGAATACAGTATTTATTTTTATCAGAAATTTAGAGATGGGAGGTGAGAATATTTTCATGAGGCTGAAATTTAGAGAATAAACGAGAACATTCTTAATTTCTTACTGATAAATTACAAAAAAAAAAAAAAAAAAAAAAAAAAAAAACTTAAATTATACTTTTATAAAAAATATAGAACAATTATTCTTAAACAGATCACAAATTATGTTTAAATATACTCATAATATTATAAATTACTGATAGTGTTATTTCTAGAATTTTATTTGAACTGAGATTTTAAAATTTTTTAACTAAACTTATGATTTTTTGTATTTTTTTTTGAAAGTAGAAAATATTTAAAATTTCTTAAGATTAAAATTTTGTAAGGCAATCTTTATTTAAGAAAAACAATACCAAAAAATGTAAACAAAATTTAAACTTGGACAAAAAGCTGATAAAATTCTTTATTAAAAATTAAGCTTTTTTAAAGTTTTCAAACAAAATTTTATATTTTTGAAAATTAAATAATATTTTCATGCTCTAAAAGTGAAATTTCATCTTCACATTTTATACTCATTGTCATCTTCATTTATTCTGTGATTAATAGCTGAATTTGGTTGTGTAATTCTTGAGAATAAATACAAATTCTAAATTAAGAACAATATTTTTACAGCATTATAACTGATTTATTTGTCCTTTAGAATTATTTTTAAAACAAGATTAGAAAATTAGAAATGTTTGAGAACAATTTTGAATGTTTTAAAAATAATGTGCAAGGAATGCTTGTTTCATTTTAATTATCTAATAATTGCTACTATATAAAATTTGTTATGCTTATTCCAATATATTTTTTTAGCCTTTGAGATATTTATTCATTCACAATAATTATTTGAACGTTTCGAGAACAATTATCGAAAAATGTTTCTTTTTCATATTTATGATTGTATAGCTATTTTATCTGATGAAAACCTAAAAGGAAATATATTAATAATTTTTAAGTTATGTGATGAAATACATTGTTTATATTTACACTTATTATTGTGTTTTCTAATTTTTAACACATGTATATGTAATGTATTCATGTGTAAAATACAATTAATTATAAAAATATTTGCTAAGAAAATATTCTTGAATATTCTCCTTGATACAAATACTCCCAAGAATATTCTCTAAATGAGTATTATTAGAATTTTATTTACTTCTTTTTAAATAAATTATAGTAATTCTCTACAAATATTTAATGGGGGGGAAAGGAAAAACTATTTTTATGTGCATTTCATGAATACTGTGCATTCGCTTATATTTATATCAGAACATATGAATCTTTCCTTCACATGCAATTGCTAATTTTATTTTCTGAAAGAATTTCTGAGTTTGGGAGTTTGTAAATGGAATGATGATGGATGAAGTCGTTATATCAGTTAATGATAAAAATTATTTTTGAATGTTATTAAAAGTTATATTTCTAGTGTGCTAAAGCGTTATTAAATATAGTTTAAGTTATTAATTAGTTTATTATTTTTAGAATTTGGAGGAAACTTGAATGTGCAAGCTATTACAGATTTTATCGATGCTGGTGGAAATGTGTTAATTGGAGCTAGTTCAAATGTTGGTAAGTATCAGTTCTGATATACTGTTTATGAAACAAATATGATATTGAATGTTTTTTGTTCTACAAAATTGTTCATGTGTGTAAATAATTCCAGTATTGTATATTTTACAAAACAATCTAGTGCTTAGCCAAATTTTCCTAAAACAAATTGTTTCGAAAGAAAGCTCTATAGACAGACAACTTTTACTGTGAAACATTTTCTATGAGAATAAAATGGAAGTTTGTAAAAATGCATGTCCCTAAGGTTTTGTGTGTGAATCCCAATTCTGATAATTTATTTTTCGCTATTCAAATGAATACATGAATTAAAAAATGTTTCATCCTTCTGATACAACTTTTCTTAAAAGTACACTGAATTCTAACACAGTTAAGTTCTTGTAACTTAAAACAATGTTAAAAAAAATGCAATATTACAGCTATTATAAATTTTTTTTGTTAATTTTTGTTATTATGAAATATTATAATTCTGTTATGCTAACCATGTCAAAACAATCATTATTCCTTTTTAGAATTGTTTAAATTATTACTTTTGTCAATGAAAGTTACTATATTATAATTGACACTTGCATGCTGTATTCTTTTGAAGTAGACTGTTGTATATTTTTCATTAAAAGTCAAGCAACTGAAATGAAGTTACTAATGTTATTTTTTAAACATGTTATTTTTTAAATAAATTATAACATGGTTATAATTTATTTTAAAATTTTGCTATATCTTAAGTAATGTCATAAACCATATGGAGATAGAATATGCGTTTGAAAATCTGACGAAATTTGAAATTTAAAAATTGCTTTATATAATAGTTATAAAAATAATACTGAAAGTTATACTTTTGATGTTTTGCTATACACACATTTTTTATATTTATTTAGGGACATTCTCTTCTGTATCTTTATTTTAAAATTCAGATTAATATGCTTTGTGCATGTTATAAATTAGTTATTGGATTAAAATAAAATACATAATTTTTAAAAATGTTCAAAATATTTAGTGAAAATTAAATACAATTTTGCCTAGAAATTCAGTTTTAAAGTTTTATTGCATACTTTATTTTGATTGTGCAATTGTTTTATAAGCCAAATTAACAACAAGGATTTCTGCGCACATGGCATTGAGGTTTCTTTTTGTGTTTTTGACCTTTGTTGGATGTTACAAATTGAAAAATAATAAAAAAAATACCATGGAGAAAAAAAAGCTTAATTTTTTTTTTGTCAAAAATCCTTAGAACTTTTATAGTTTAGAATCAAAACCTGGGTTTTTTTTTTTTTTTTTTTTTTTTTTTTTTTTTTTTTTTTTTTTNATTTTAAATATCATAGCATTTTTAGATGTTACATACAATTTTTAAAATTAATTATAGAATCTATGACAAATATATTTTTTAAAACTTTTTCCAATAATCAGTAAATTTTGTAAAATCCTAGCAAATTTTGTAGCAAGTAATCATTATTATACAATGCATTTTTAATTTTTTCTGTTTGTTTTTCAATACATCAGGAGATTTAATCAGGGAGCTTGCAAATGAATGTGGATTTGAAATTGATGAAGAAAATTCAGCTGTTATTGATCACTTGAATTATGATATTGAAGATGATGGAAAAGTATGTGAACCACATTTATATGCAATTTTTTTCTGTTTTATTTTAAAAGCCCTCCTTACAATGCTTTCGCACAGATTAAAAATTTGTTTACTGGATTTTTATGTGCATTTATATTGCATTTATTATGTGCATTTATCATTGTCTCGTTGTTCATTAAATGTTAAATCAAGATTATTTTGTAAGTCTGCTGTGTAACAACTTATGTTGATCTTAAAGTAAATAATTCTCTGTTAATTGATCTTAAAAATGAATAATTCTTAATTGATCTTGAAGTGAAAAATTCTCTTTGGCAGTAGATTGTTGGGCAATTAGATTAGCTGACAAACTCGACAGAAAAAGTGATATACCTATATGTGTTAAACCTATTTGTGATAAACATTAATTTACCTATATGCATTTTTGAAATGCTTGGTTTTGTTATCAGAATACAATAATTAAATACTTTTAACTTTCCTCTTAAAACTATATATTTTTATATAATTTTTACCTGCAAAATATTTTTCACTTTTCTAATGAATTCAGAAATTTTTTTTAAATTGAACTCTTACTTTATAACAAAACCAGTCTTTCATTATAAAGTGAGAGTTCAGTCAAAAATGTCTATGATAAGGCTTGCAATAAAAAGTTACCTTTTATTTGAATTTGATGTGTATTTCATCTAGTAAATACGAGGGTTGTCCATAAAATAAGGTTCCCAATGAATTTTCACAATGAAAAATCTGTTTATTGGCATTGAATAATACATGTTTGGAAAGCTTAGACTTCCCCCTTTTTTTCAGCATAATCGCCGTTTAGATCAATGCATTTTTACATGCGGTGTACCATCTTCTTTATGCCTGAGTCATAGAACTCTGCCGCCGATCCGCGAAGATAGCTTAAAACAGACAGAATTTGCTTAAACTTCTTCGGCTTTGGCGAGCCTGGATGCTTCCACTAACGCGATTGTTCTTTTGTTTCCGGTGTCATGTAGTGGACCCAGGTCTCGTCCCCAGTGACAACAGAGTCCAAAAATTCCTTGCCATAGCTTTCGTAGGCATGAAGAAATTCGCAGGCGGCTTCCACACGTTGCCGTTTGTTGTCATAGTCACCCGTCAGCATTTTCGAGACCCACCCTGCCCAAACCTTAGCATATCCTAAGCGGTCTCTCAAAATGTTGTGAATGCAGGACTTACTGACAACAGGGATCATCTCGCTGAGGTTCCGAACCGTCACCCATCGATCTGTCAGCATTGCTTCTTCCACTTTCGCAATCGCTTCGTCCGAAAACGATGGCCGGCCAGAACGTTGTTCGCTATGGACGTCTGTAAGTCCGTCTTTGAATTCTCTGCACCATTTGCGCACATGTTGCACACTCATACACTCTTCCCCGTACGCCTCACAGAGATGGGAATGAATGTCCACCAGAGGAAAGTTTTTTGCACTCAAAAACAAATCACAGAGCGTAATTCGCACCTGGCGTGAGAAACAAATGGAAGCTCCATCTTTCACGGCTACCAAGACTAGACTTAACGTTGTAGATACCTCGCCGGGGCGGGAACTGGGGGAAAGGGAGCCAAGTTACACGCCAGTCTCAACAAATCCCGCTTAACAGCGTTCCTAGCGTTCGCAGCTCCTTGGGAACCTTATTTTATGGACAACCCTCGTAATTGAATAAAGTAATTTTTAGGAAGCTTAAAACTTTGTAGAGATATTTACATTTTATTTTCATTATTAAATTTGCTTAATAAGGCAAATTGATAATTTTGTTCATGTTTTATTTGATATTACAAATATATGTGTAAAATTTTTTTTTAAATTTTAATAACGTATAAATTTTTTGAAAGTATCTGAGACAAATATATTTTAAGGCTTTACAATACTAAATAATATTTTAAAGTTATACATTACAAGTAAATATTTTAAGGCTATACATTACTAGTGAATGGTTTCTATTTCATTGAAAACCAAAAATTTTTTAATTGCTTTGTTTGTCTTATAGCATACCCTTATAGTAGCTGACCCCAAGAATTTAATTGATGCTCCAACAGTCATTGGTTCTAAAAACATTCCTCCTATTCTTTTCAAAGGAGTTGGGTAATACTTTTTATTGTTTATCAATTAATTATTTTTACGTACAATAGAGGTGATAGAGTGTAAACCAAAATATTTTTTTCTTTTTTTAGTATCATATCAGATCAAGAAAATTCACTTATTTTAGAGGTTTTGTCTGCTTCCTCTACAGCTTATTGCTACATTCCAGATAATAAAATTACTGAGGTTTGTATAAATTGTTTCTGAATTTAAAAAAAAAGAAATTTTAGTCTTCTATCAATAAATTAATGTACAGTATAAAAATATAAGTGATCTTTCATTTCACAACTTATTGTAAAATTTTTATACCATTTTTGCAAGAACACTTCTATTAAGATTCGTAGTTAATTAAGAGTTTTACCTACTACTGTCGGGTAATATTAAGATTGTTTGATTATTAAGATAGTTTGATCAATAGTTATAAAAAATACTTCTTAGAAAGGAAATTGACCTTGCTCTTACTAAGTCTCCTAATTTTGGAACCTTTGAATAAGATTTTGTTCCCTTCATGAATAGCTAATTAATTTTTTCTACTGAATCTTGTTAGTATTTTTTTGTTTTTGTAAATTGTTTTCTATTAGTTAAATATAATTCCTTTTTTTTTAATTATTCAAATTTTAATGAAATTGTCTTTTTTCGCATAAAAATAAATTCATTACAAGTAATTTATTCAAATGAGACAGTTTAGAAATATTTTATGAGAATAGTATTAAAAATAGTATAACAATATAATAATTATAATATAGTAATTACAATATAATAATAACAATATAAATAGGAATAATAGTTTTTAAGTAATAACCAACAAAAGGCACGAAAATTCTTTTTAATAGGGGTTTTATGACAATGAGGGACATAGTGTCTTCTGACTAACCAGATAAATTTTGATTTATTTTTGTTATAATGTTCTGCTAAAAGAGTACGTTTTATACTCTTTTGCTTGAGTATATAACTTTTAAATTTTTTGAATTCGTTAAAGCTATTATGCAGATTTGATATACCGATAATTAAGGTACTGTTTCTTATGTATTTTTACTCATTTAGTATCTTATTATGTATTTTTTCTTATTATGTATTTCTTCTCATTGAAATCAAACATGAATCAAAAGAATTAATAAATCAGAAATAAAATTTTTCTTTTTTTGTATTAAAAGTACTATTTTTGAATTGCTCTTACTATGTGGAAAAAACACGATAACTTCTAACTTGTTAATCATACGGGATTAGTATTATTCGTTTCATTATAAAAATTGTTTTTTTCTTTATTGCTTCAATTATTCTTTCTTTTGAAAATTCTGCTGCTTTTAAGTGCGTTTCTTTCAAGGAAAGTTCTGTTATTATAGAATTAAATATTTTGTATTCTTATACTATTTCATATTCTTTTTAACAATTAATGCTTTGGAGTTTTCAATTCAATGTAACAACTTCATATTTTCAAATATAAATCAGAAGGAAAATATATTGTATATTTTATTTTTTTCTTGACATGTTGTACATATAATATCAATGTTATGTTTGAATTTAAACTTACATGTAGGGATTTAATCAAAACTTTAACTTTAGAGCTAAACTGCTTTGAAAAAAAGAAAGAAAGAAAAAGGCTGATTATAAATATGTTAATCAATGTCAGTTTTCTTATTCTTTTAGTAATTTATTTCTTAAAATAGTCATTAATTTTATTAAAAAAATTAACCTGTTCTATTATGCATTCTATTTTGATGTACTCAGTCCACAGAATTTTTTTTTGTTGAATTTTCTTACTTTCTGAAATGTTCTAGTTGTTATTAAATAGCAAAAGTTCAGTATATTGCATGCATTTAAATATAGTCTGTGAAGGAAAAATTTCAATATATGACATTGTTCAATTAAAGGTAAGATATGCATATCTCTAATGTAATTTTAATCAGCTTTTTCAATATTTGTAAAATTATTATTTAAACAAATAGTTTTAAATTAAAATTATTAATATGGGGAAAATAATTTTATATTTATTTTAGTATCCTCATGCTGTTGGCAAAAACACATTATTTATATCTGCTCTACAAGCCCGCAACAATGCAAGAGTTATGTTCTCTGGTTCACTTGACTTTTTCAGTGACCATTTCTTCCAGTCAAGTGTACAGAAAGTTCATGGAGGTCAAAAGTAAGTGGAGTAAGAACTATAAATAAAGATCTGAGTAGAATAACACGTTAAGTTACTTGCTTTTTGGTTTTCAATAGAAAAAAAGTGTTTTGAAGGTGATCCGTAATTCTGAAGGATATTTCCTTCTTTCACTAAACATATAGAATAAATGTTGCAAACATAAATAAGAAAGGGATATTTTTTTTGTTGCGTATTGTTTTTTTTAACATTTTATTTTATATTGTCATAACAAAGCTTTCTTAAAGCATCAAAAAGTATAAATTTATTTCTTAACATAATATTAATTAGACACTATAAATGCCTATAGTAACCTGCACATAGATTCTTTCACTAAACATTTTAAATGTTTGTTTCCATTCATTTCTTTATGCATCTGTATAATTGAATATTTACAGAAGAAATTTAAAAGTAAGTTAGGTTCACTACAAAAATCAATTCAGCTTACATGGAGAGGGTATGAATTGGGAAATTCATTTTTTGATTAATCTTGGTATATTAATAATATAGCTAAATGGTGTTTGTAGTGGGTCTACTACTACAACAATACAATTCTAATTTACTGGTATGTAAGACATATTAACTCGATTCAGTGTTGGGGTAGCTTTTCATAGATGAAGGTTGACATTGTCGATAACTACTATCCCCACATTTGTGACCTTCGAACATGATGTGAAAGCACCTAACTTGATAGAAACTCCCACTTCCCCTTGAACACGTCTACTTCAATGGATGGTCCACATTGTACAGTTGACTTGTGACTGGGACATTATCCACATCCTCTCGCTGTTGCTACTCAGTCTCGATCACACACATCGACTTGTATACACTCTACTGCTAATGGCAACACAGGAGGGACCACGACCGCGAGCATAATACAGATTGCACTGTCAGCATTTAAAAGTACAGTGATCTTGATACAGCTCTCCCAGCTTCTCACAAAGCAGCAATGAATCAACTAGTGGTATCCGCTCATCGAATTCTATGACACATATAATTCTGATGGGGGAGTACTGTAGTGTGTGGACCACTACAAAAGTACAATTCCAATTTGCTAGTATGTAAGACATGTTAACTTGATTCTATGTTGAGGTAAAGGTACCTTTTCACAGATGAAGGTTGACATTATCGATAACTACTATCTCCACAGTGTTCATTCCTAAAAATGATAAAGCACACCAGCCAGCCAATCTAATTTTGAAAAAAAAAAAAAAAAAAAAAAAAAAAACAGTTGAAAATTAAACTATGCTAGTTTAATATATTATACTAGTTAAATCTTCAAATCAATAATATAGATTCTACTTTGATCATATTCGTGCATCTATTAAAACTTTGTTTTGAAATATATCTTGTTTTGTTTTAAGGTATGATAAATCTGGCAATGAAATTCTCTCTAAATCTTTGACACAGTGGGTTTTTAAGGAAACTGGAGTGCTCAGAGCTGGTAATATAACTCATCATAAAAAAGGAGAAACAACAGCACCAGAAGCTTACACAATTTTGGATGAAGTAGTAGGTTAATTTACTTATTTTTTTAACAAAATTTACTTAATTTACTTTATTGTAATTTTTATCTGTCTTTTTAATGTCTGTAGAATCGTTGTTATTAGTAAATAATTTATGAATTGTATTTATTTAAATTAAAATAAATACAGGTATGTGATTCTTCTGATAATTGTCAAGATTCTGTGAATCCCAAGACTGTTAATTTTAAAATTTCCACGAATCAATGAATTATGTTCTAACAAAATTTTCTGATTCTAAAGATTACATTTCGTTACTTATGCAAAATCTCGTTAATGAGACATTTATTTCACCCTTACTAGCACCCTCATTTTTTCACGTAATGGTGACTATTTTACTCAGATTTGTTAGAGAAAAACACTACCTCAGATAAACTCAGACTGAAAAAAAAAAATTCAATTCCATAATAACTTTGGTTAGAATTAAGCTACTGAGGCGATGGCAATTTTTTTTTTTAATTTAAAAAGTAATTTTTGAATGGATCATTCTAAAAGATCGTTTGCTAGAATAAATGTTTGTTTTTTTTTCTAAATTTATGTTTTAACTTTTTTACCCCAGCTATATTAAATACAGTCTTCAAATTGATAAGAAAATGAAAGAAATTTTCAATGGGGAAGAAGTATTGAGAGCATTTAAGACATCATTTCAACCTGAGGGGTCTCATAATCTGTGTGGTCCAGATGAAAAGAGCAAAAGATGCTACTGTCCTAAATATTTCAAAAGAGCTGTATCATTTTCTCTCCTTTCTTTACAAAGATAAAGCAAGGTGACAGGAGAAAGATTGATTCTTTAGTAGTGAAATAGCTTAACAATATTTTTAGTTATGTATAAGGCAAAAAATTTACATGCTTTAAAAATGGTGAAAGGGTGTATAGTTTTTTCATGCAATTTAAAGCAGAAATAGCTTCTTTTTTTTTTTCAAGTTTGGAAAAAGTAGTGTCCTGTTTGAAGAGTTCAGGGCATTTGAAGTCCGTTTCAGGGCAAAAATGACTGTTCGCGTCCAGTTACGGGAATGTCTGCTTTGCGGGGAAAGTGCATAATGGTTTAATCATGGAAGATTCCCGGAGAATTTTTCCGGTTTTTTAAATAAAATTTCATCCCTTTTTTTTTATATATATTATATAAACTGTTGTTTGTTATTTTTTACTTATTATTACCCCCCCCCTTTTTTTTCATATGTCTATAATTTTTCTTTGTTTTATTCTTCATTTTGAACTTATATATATCAGGGTTGGCAGGTTTTTGACATGTGACAGTTTTTGACAGTTTAAACCATGGTTTAAACCGTCACGTCAAAAACCTNTGACGTCAAAAACCCAACCCTGATATATATATATAACATAACAGTTCTCATTTTTAAGTGTAGAAAAGTTTTATTTTTCCTTTTAGTTCTTAATCTGAGCTTGAATTAATTTTTCTCTTTAAAAAAAACTATTTCATTAAAAATCTAGCTCATTGTTTTTAACACTTGAATACATCTTCTATATATTTTTATGATTGACAAATCTTTTTTTCTCTCAATCATCATGAATTTTTCTGATCTGTTAGATATAGATTTTAGTAAATGAAGATTTCTCCTCTTTTGCTCTTCATATTATACCATTGTCTTAGATTTAATTTATTTAAATATGTTTACACATTTATTACTAACACTTTTAACTATTTGATATTTTACGCTTTGATCAATGTATTTTTTAATTCTTAAGAATGTGCTTTTCTTTAATATTTTTTATTTTACGCTTGTGTATTTAATTCAAATAATTATTTCTAGTATTCTGATTATTAAATATTCAATTTAGGTATATTCAATTGAGGTAGAGATACTAAAAGATGGTGTTTGGATGCCATTTGAAACATCAGATTTGCAGTTGGAGTTTGTACGAATCGATCCATTTGTACGAACATCTTTGAAAAGGAAAGGTAATGTTGTCTATTATTTTATGCTTTGTTTTTTAATTATTCAATGTTTTTTACATTTGTATTTAAAAGAAAAAGGGAAAAAATGGTGAAATAGTGAACTGAACTTTTGACTTTTCTGTTTTGATTAAGTCTGCAAATTTTTCAAGGTTGCATCAAAAATTAGGTGTAATTGTATATGAGTGGTGGTAGAAGTGTAACAGCTTGTACATATTTCTGTTTCAATTGGTACATGTTTCTAGCTTACTTTTTTTTGTACACTTTTGTATCTTATACTTTTTTTAAATAGCATCAATCAACTTCAACAAAATAATAAAAAAGCATCAAAGTTATGATAAATATTATTGTAAGAAATGAAATACCAACATTTCATAATACTAATATTGAGATTACAATTCTTGGACACAAGATTTGGACCATTTTTGGATAAAAAAAACAAATAAATCAAAACAGTTTTAGGAAAATCATATATATATATATATTTTTTAAAATAACTATTTCTTAATTATTTAAACATAGAATTTAAATTTTACAAATATGTTTCGAATTATAAATAGTACTTTGTTAATAAGTAGGTTAACTTTTTTGAAACATATTGCATGAATATAAATCATGTTTGATTTTAAAATTGCATGAATATGAATCCCAATGTCTGTAAAATTTAAGAATTTTCACAATAGTATCTGTGCGCATCTATATTATTTATTATCTTATATTATCTGAGTCTTCCTAATAACAATATAAAAAATTTTGTAAAAATCAATTAAAAACTTTAAAAAGCATTTATTTGTCATAAATGCTCTTAATGAAATCTTCCGATTTTGCATTAAAGAATTAAAAAATGTTGTAGAATTTATAATTCACGCAGATCTTATGCTTTCATGAAATTACAAGTATTTATACTACCACAAATGAAGACCTGTGATTTGAATTTTTTTTTTAATCATATGTTCAGTTTGTATCTTTTTCTCCTTTTTGTATATTAATTATTGTTTACGTATGGTTTTTGTATCATGTTTCAATATTTATTGAAGAGTTATTTAGTATTATTATTTAGTAGCATTAAAATAATTGTTCTAAAATGTTGATAAATGTTTTGAAGCATCAATAAGTTTAAAGAATGTATAATTTCAAATAACGTTAAGAAGGTATGTAATGAGTAATTTGTTCCACTTTTACCATATTAAATTGATGCAACTATATATTTTTAATTATTTTAGGTAAGAAATATGTTGCAGAATTCAAACTGCCTGATGTATATGGAGTATACAAATTTAAGGTAGACTACAATCGAATGGGTTACACTCACCTGTTTGAAACTACTCAGGTAACATATATGCATTTACTTTTTTTTATTATTGTTTATTCTTAATTTTTATTATTGTTTATTCTTAATTTTTATTTAAGGAAAATATTTTTTCATGTTTTAGATCACTGGTTAAGTTGTTAAGTGACAAAAATTGTCATATCATTACGTTTCGAGCTTTTTTATTGGTTTATGATAGATTTAAATAACTCCCCTTGGTGAACTATAATTTATATTTTCTAATTAGTGTTCTACACTTATATTGTGAAATATATAAATATTTATTACAATACCTATTTTATTGGATACTGACATAAAAAAAGTAATATATATATATATACAATTTTAATTTTTTGTTGGCAACAGCATAGCAAATGGAAGAAAGATCATTGTTTTATATATGTCTATATTAGAAGTTTTATAACTTTTTTTTTGGAAATTTAGTTTGAAGGCTTTTTTTGCACATTATTGTATATTTTATAATTATTATAGTTTTGTAAATATTTTTTTATTGATATCTATTCGCAGAATATTTAGTCATCTCATTCATTGGAATTAAAAAAAAAAAAAGTCTGCACACAAAGTAACTCTAATAACCTCATGTTTTCTATTCACATTTAAACTCTATAGCAACTGTCTGACTTATTTTTTCAAAAATTGTTTTATTTATACCTTTTATATTAACAATCTGATGTTTGTAATTAGGCTTATTGTTTTACCTAAAAATTTATTTAAGCTTTCTTACTTTATTAAGCTTTTTAGTTAAATGCATTTTTTTTGCATTTGCTGTTGTTATTATTTATAATTATTTAAAACTTGATAATTAAAATTCTTTGAGCTAGATAGCTTTATGATAAATTGTTGTGCAGTTTTGATATTGTTAAAATTATAAGCAATTTATTATTTAAAGATAAGATAAATGTCTTTAAATATTAGTATTTATTTAATAATGCTAGTTTCAAATAGAAGAAATATTTACTACATGTACATTAGATATGGTACATATTATGTTTTATAATATTAAATGCTTTAGCATAATAAGGTAAAATGAATTTTTATATAAAAATCCTTATTTTTATGAATGTGAACTGAATGAAAATACATTATCTTAATAAAATTTTTGTATGTTTTGTTTATATATTAACTATATAAGTTAACATGTAATAATATATAATATAATATATATTTATTTATACTTATTTATTAACTTATAAATAAAATCTTCATTTATTTATTGTTAAATTAAACTAAGTTTACATGTTAAAGTTTCAATCAATTTATTCCTATTTTTAAAAACTAAGAAATATTATATAAAAATTCATCATGGTTTTGTGCGTTTAAATGGTCGAATATATAACTGATTTTTTTTTCTGTTTGGAAATTACCACATTATAGGCATTGTAGTTGTCCTGTTATTCTTGATTGAAAATATTTAGTCCTTATTTTTAGTTTTTTGTTTTGTTATTCCTAATTTTTGTGTGTAATCAGAATCCAGTTTTCTGTGAATGTAAACATGGGTTTTAAAATGAACTACTTGAAAAATCAAAAAATTTCTATTTTGGATCACTAAAAAAATCACTTAAAAAACAAAAGATGTCATCTTTTTAATTTAATTTATAATGCTTGTAAATATTGCTAAAATGGATAGTTTGAACTTAAGAACTATTTCTTCACGGTTCCACTAATTATGCATGGTTCAGACATATAGCCTAAACTGCTGGACTATTAGAAAAATTAGAAATGATATCTATATATTGATGATGAATAGTTTTGGTAAAAGAACAGTATTGGTAAAATTTCATTTTAACTGTATAAATGTAATGAAATGATATCTATATAAGTTTCTCATATTACTATTAATTAATTAGTACTCCATTAATAAAATTATATAGGAAAAGTTTTTAAAAAATTATAATTCGCTCATTTATGAAGAAGAAATTTATTTAACAATTTTACATTATTAAACTTTTATGCTGAAGAATTCAGGGATCATATACTAATTTCAGCAAATGTAGTAACCAGTCTTGTAAGGTGGAGTTTTGTGGTTTCACAATTATTGATTCGATTTAAAAATATTTTATCACTATCTACATTACAATAATCATAGAATTTTTAAATGATTATTGAGGAATCATGCACTTAATTACTTTTCACAAAAATGTTAAACAACATGTTCACTGTATTTTCACTTTAAAATTATTGAAACGCCACTTTGAAATTGTTTGATTTACGAAGTTTCGAACTTGATACCAATTTTTAATTAAATATTGACTTGATTCAAATTAATTACCTCTAATTGATCTGTCTTATTATTGACTGAAAATGATATTGGTTATTTTTTTATTGCAAGAGTACTACATATTAAAAAAAAAAAAAACTTTGTATATATTGTTTTCATGCAATTATGAATTATTCAGTGCTCCATTAATAAAATCATATTAGGAAACTGATAATACTTTCTTTTCTGAATGCATTAATTCTAAAGTTAAAAATATTACAATAAAATTTGCAATTATTACACTTAAGTTGAGTAAATTTTACTCTTGGGTTTGTTCTTTGTCTCTATAAATCATCTGTAGTACCAAATAATGTCCTGTTTCGCTTTTGATTTTTTGTAAAATGTTGTCCTGATTTTTTCTTTGGTCCGCTACATGGCCTGATATTATAAAGATGGAAATGGATTTTTATGTGAATAATAATAGACATATTGTTTTATTTTAATAGGGATATGAAAACATTGCATTTAAATACAAAATTTTAACTAAATAGCATTTAACTATCTTTATTTAAAATTTTTGTTCTATTACATTAGCATATTAAATTTAATTACACGCAATATTTATTTTCTTTTATAGGTGTCTGTTCGACCCCTTCAGCACACACAATATGAACGTTTCATTCCCTCAGCCTATCCATATTATATAAGTTCATTTTCAATGATGATTGGTGTCTTCATATTCAGTTTTGTATTTCTATACCACAAAGACTACACTAAGGACAAGGCGGAATAATACTTAGCTCATGGATTTCTTTTTTTGTGAACAAGAACTTTGTACATACACTTCATCTCACGAATAAATATTCTTGAAGTTCTTTATTTTTAATGGATTGTTTAAAATTTATTTTTGCACTACATTTTAGATTTTTTTAAAATTATTACCCAAGTCTACAAATATGTTTCTTAATTTTCAAGTCATTTTGTGTTCTGATTTATTTATTTTTTAATTAATTTTTATTTTCTGTTTTATATCTTTTTTTAGGATGAATATTTTTGCTCTTCATTTTTATTTATTTATTTTTAAATATTACCCAAGTCTACAAATATTTTTCTTAATTTTCAAGTTATTTTGTGCTCTGATTTATTTATTTTTTAATTAATTTTTATTTTTTGTTTTATAATTTTTTTAGGATGAATATTTTTGCTCTTCATTTTTATTTTTTTTAATTATTACCCAAGTCTACAAATATTTTTCTTAAGTTTCAAGTCATTTTGTGTTCAGATTTATTTATTTTTTAATAAATATTTATTTTCTGTTTTATATTTTTTAAAAAATATATATTTTTGCTCTTCATTTTTATTATTTTTTTTTTAAATATTACCAAAGTCTACAAATATTTGTAAGTCATTTTGTGTTCTAACTTATTTATCTATTTTATTTATTCATTAATTTTTTGCTGTTTCATTTTATAGCCTTTTGTGCTACGTAAATCCACAAATATTTTTTGAACTAAAATTTTTTTTTTACTCGTTTTGTGCTCTGATATTATGTTTCTTTCATTTCTTTTCTTTTATTTCGGATATTCACTTTTTTATTATCATATGTTCGTATTTAAAACCAAGCAATCCGAAGTTTGAAGTATTTGATCACACAGCCTTTAAAAAACTAAATTTATTTACATTTATTTGCAGTATTTGAATCTGAATTTCTTTTATTATTTTTTTTTTTAACTTGCAGATTTAAGTAAATTTTGCATACTTAAATTATGAACTAAATTTTACGATACACCCTTACAAAAAGAAAGTGTTTCTAGAATTTTTTACTGGTTTGACTATATTTGGGTCACTATTTACAAATAGAAAAACAGTTTTAATTTCTCATCTACTTTTGCATATCACTTAGTGCATGCAGTATGTTGCATTATAAAATAACTCATGATTTAGATATGTTTATCTCCTATAGTAGAGCTGTAAACAAAATTTTTTTTTCATGTTTCAAATCAGCACACCAAATACAGTCAGTTTAATTTGATTTAAAGTTTTTTGTCACCAAACCATTTATTTACTTGTTGCATAACATCAAACTTATAACCACACATGTACCAATGAGAAAGATTTGTGTCATTTTTTTTCTGTTTATGGATTTAGTATTTTAAATTTTTATTTAAAATATTTAAGAATAAATCAAGCGTTCCATATACATAGTGTAAAATTCGAACAAACTTAGAAAAGAATTTTTAATTTTATCTTCAAAACTCATTTTTATATTTCTCTATTGACTTTCGAAAGATAAGCTAATCCAGCTAGGGTAACTACGTTTACTAGCACACGCTTTGAAAAACAAGGATAACTAGGTACAGCTAGTTTTCTATGTCTAATTTGATAGTAAAAGCATTTAGAAACCATATATTTTGAGGGAAGAAGCATTAAGTAGTATTTTATTGAATGCACCATAGATATTTACTTAAATTCTAACATAAATATGACTTACAAAATAAAAAAGGATTTCAGAAAATTGTGTTGGAACATTGCAAAAATCAGATGCAAGTAAAGAATGTATTCTCTTCCAACTGTAATGCATTAGGGGTATTTACTTTCTGTGCTTCTAATTAGGTTGGGGGACAGCAAAATAGGGAGCAAAGATTAAACCCTGAGTAACACTTGTTCAGCTGATCATGTAAGGATTGTGGTTGAAGAACTTAAAAGCAGCAACTTGTACTTAGGTAGTCCCAAACATTCTCTATTGGATTCCTGTCTGGAGATCTAGCTGTGTAATCCAATTCTAGAAAACCCTCGATACGATGTGGTCTATGCGGCCTTGCACAATTGTCTACTAAAATGAAATCAGAAGCTCTCCAGAAGCAAACTTAAGAGCTCCAAGAACACACATCTGTTAGCATAAAACTAAGAATCTCTCTTTCAAAGGCATGATTTGTTGTGAGGATATTCAACATGTCGTCTGAAACCACAAATATATCACTTCCATAATGGTCAGTGGAGAATGAGTAAACTATCCTTGGTCTGTCCATCTAAAATTATCAAGCAGAAATATGATACCTGCCCAGTAGTTACATTTTGGATGCAGTGTTTTGGCATGTAGTGTTTTTAAAAAGTGCTTATTTTCGATTTTGCTTTTTAAAAGCTCTTAAAGGTGCTTTTTCATTGAGTGTTTTTAAAAAATGCTTAATTTTCCCGTTTCAAAAATGATATTTTTTTCTTTACCATATCGATTTTCGCCACGTGTTATGCAAAAGCGTGCTTTTCACACTGTTCTATGCAACGTTTTCACAATTCATTCAACCACAATCTATTTCGGTGTACTGTCGGTCCATAGCATAATGGAAGCGCCAATCAATTTACATGTTTGATGAAATACTTTGGAGTCCGCATGTGCGTCTACTTAGCTGGGCTCGGTGAGATTATTTCACTCTCATGTACAACTCTGCTACATTTTTCAAGATATTCTTAATTTCAGGCTTCATCTTTCACCCTCTGATATCGAACCGAAAAATCTCTCAAGCATTTTAAATGGCTAATATAATCAAGAAAAGAGTTTTTTTTGTTTGTCTGAAACTAGTTATTTTATCATGATCATGTAAAGTCTTTGGAAATTATTTTGCACTTTTTTAATGTATATAGTGCTTGAAAATGTCTTTTGAGTGCTTAAAAGGTGCTTATTTTTTGGTGAAAGATTTGGCTGCGCTCTCTGTTTCACTTAGAAATGTAACCTGCTGGAAGCCTGCGCCCCCTCCGTCTCTGGTAGAATCATTAAATTTTTTGAGTATATATATGTTTTTTCAGCCCTATGTTTTCTCTTTTCCGGATTTATTATTTTTTTAGATTAACGATCACTTAGACTTTATTTTATTAAAGATTAATGGAATGCGAAGATATTCACTGGATGGTTTGATTAGCCAGCCAGTTCTCCTGATCAGAATTTGATGTGGAATTCCATTAAATACTTGTTTTCGGCTTTTGCGCGTTAAGAGCCTACAGTGACTAAGTGGTTTGAATCGACGACGTTCTTTGCTTTAGATCTTGACACTCTGGAAAGCTCTTGCCCTTCAGAGTGAAAAAGCTGGTACAATATATATATAGATATTTTGTTTCTAATTCGTGGCGTCAAATTGTTGCCACTTAATGAAAACTATAAAGTATCATATCTAACGATAACTTTTTAAATGGAAATTAATTTAGAGAATATTCTATGGAGCGCCAAAGATTCTGAACTGTGACAGAGAAGGTCACTAGATCATGCCCCCAAAATCTTTGTAGAGCCTTGACTATTTGTAATTTTGGATGTTTATTTCAAACTAGAGCTTCTCAAATGGGCTACAGGTGGTGGTTTATGATTTATCCTCAATTTTGATTAAAAAACAATACTAGCATATTCACGCACTACACTGCCATAATTCAAACAGGAGGGCAAATATATATCACGCATATATAAAATAGTAATCACCTCCACACTACACTCCTAAACAACCCAGTCGTTTGTGGACTCTGAAATCACCGGGATATTACGTGAGGATGGGTTTCGAGCACGCTACTGAGTGTTTGGCAAAACAATGTGACAGCTCGGCTAGGGAGGCCCCTTGTTAAGCACATTTGTATGTTTGTGTGCTCACGTTACGGTTAATAAGTTATTATAGTCAGGTTGAAGAACAGATAGCACAATTTAGAGAGGGGCCTCCCTGGCCGAGCGGTATCGCCGGTCCAAACGCTCTGTTAAGCGTGGAGGTAGCGGGTTCGAATCCCGCCGTAACCCTGGATGTATTCTTTGTGATGTCTTTCTCTGAATTGTTCTATCTGTATTTTCTACTTGACAATGACTTATAAGCCTATATTGAGCACACAAGTCAGCAAATGTATGTAATTTCAATAAA